AACGAATTTTTTTGCAAAATTCAAGTTTACATGACATTATTGTTTCAGGGAAACGATAAACAACGGAAATTGCAAAAATTTTTTTCAATTTTTTTAAAAAAAGTTTATATTACAAAAAAATACACAAATTTATCAGGTCCAAAACTAGAAATACAAAAATAATAATCTCTATTTTCAAAAAAAGGTTATTTCAGTACAAAAAAATCCGTTTAAGATTGCTTTAACGTTGATTAAATAAAATAAAGAATTTTTTAAATAAAAGCTGAAATTTTGTTTCTCAGTTATCCTCAGAAATGCATACGAATTAAGTTTAAAGCTAAATCCTCAGCTTGAAACAGTGCATACGAATTAAGCCTCAGAAATGCATAAGAATCAGTTCAGAGAAAATTTACCAAAAGATTATATCCGAAATTGGATTATCGCAGTAGATTAGCCAAACTGAAACTATCGACGTTATGGACTAGAAGACTTTTTAAAGACGTTTAATGCGTTCACAAATACTTTCATGGATTTTTTTGGAGTGAGGCGCCTGTTAAATTAATGATGAATTCGAGTAGAAATAATCAACTCAGAGGAAATGGAATGAGACTTGTTCAACCAATGAATGAATTGATCAAACAACGCTTCCTAAATCATAGAGTCATACCCATTTGGAACCAACTGGAGAGAGAAACTATCATTGAATACGAAATCGGCAAGTTTCAGATTATGCTCACCTCATGGTTCGAATCAAACACATCGTTTTTAAAATCATTAGATCCTACTAAAATCTAGGAAAATTCTAACTTATTAAAAAACAAAGAACAAACTTAAATACCAAATGGGGGTTAGCACCGTCTACTCAGACAATCTTTTCCTCCAGCCGTTTCCACAGATCAGCTGTTAGATTGATTTGATTGATTTGATTGTTTTGATGTATTATTTTTTGTATTTGTCGTGCAGATTGCGGAATGGCGAATAAAAACTTGAAATGAAATGAAATCCTCAGAAATGCATACGAATTAAGTTTAAAACTAAATCCTCAGCTTGAAACAGTGAACTCACAAAATTCCAGATTTAATTTCGAAAAAAAAGACTCAAGAATTTGGCATTTTTCAATACTCAGTAAAAAGATGAGTATTCGAAACCAAGAAATATAGAACTCTGAAAAATCTTTTAAAATTTATTCCTTTCAAAAAATTAAAAATAAGGAATATAGTTTTCTTGAAGTTTACTTGAACCATTAATGTTTCAGGGATTTAGCAAAGCGATTATTGAAGCAACAATATCGAAAAAAAATTTTTTGAGGTTTTAACTTGGAATAGAATCGGTAAAGTCATGATAGATTGAAAAAAAAAAGAAAATTGTGCGTTCTGGAGCTTGGACCTTGGTAACACGTAGCGGACGTTCCTGAGCATTTCTAGAGACCACTTCAGGGGCGTCAGCACTCTCAAGTGATCCCTAGAGTTGCCTAGAAATGTCCGGGGCGTTACCCATGTCCGAGTAGTGTTTTTGAGCGAAAATGTTTGTTGGTTTTTGGTTTCAGGTTGTAACTTACTAGGAAAATGAGCTGGTGAACTAATTTTTGGATAAGTAGAAAAGAACTGTAGAAAGTTTGAGAATAATTAGAAAAGTCTTTGAAAAGTTATGACGAAAAAAGTGAAATTGTGTACCTTACTGCACGGTATTGAAGGTCCTTCTTGAAATTTAAAAAAAGAAAAAAAAAGAAAGAAATAGAAGATTATTGAAAAGAAGAAAAGAAGAAGCTCCTCTTCTGACAAGACATGAGGAAGTCAAGGGAAATCAGATTTTGCCGAGGTGAAGACGGCAGTCGCAAACAGAGTGGATTACCCTTGTGGCCGGCGGCAAAACTCGATTTTCTCGAAAAATCCGTTCTATTTCTAGGGCTTATAAAGATGGGGCTCAGAGATTCCTTCGAAAAAGTAAGGCGCTACTTCAAAACTCTGAAGTGGTCACTAAAGGGATGGAAGGGAGTTCAGCCCCTCTAGGGGTCAAAATTTAGGTGGTCCCTATAGGGGTTCAGGGTATAAACCCAAGGTCACTGGAGACTGAGTGGTCCCTATAGTGATCATTAAATCGTCGTTAATTTGAAAGTCAAAAAACGTGTATATATGAACCATCCTGAGAACGATACAGCAGTCACTAGAGGGATAAAATTTCGGTGGTCCCTATAGGGGTTTAAAGTCGCGCCCTTAAAGCTTAAGTGGTCCCTCTAGTGGTCTTTTGACTTTTATTGATAAAGGTAAAAAGACTTATAGGGACAACCCTAGGAACGCCAGAGTGACCCCTACAGGGGTTAGGGAAAAAAGCCCCTCCAGTGGAAAAATAATGCTCCCCAAAGGGCTAAAATTTAAGTGATCCCTATAGGAGTTAAGACCCGGCCTCTAAAGCTTAAGTGGTCCCTCTAGTGGTCTTTTAAATTTTTTTTTGATTTGAAACTTCAAAAAATGTCTAGAGACCACTAGAATGCTCCCCTAGAGTGGTCACTTTTGCAAGGTTTTTAATTCCCCTATAGGGGGACGTCAAGTGGTCCTTTAAGGGGATCCTACGAAAGCCCCTCTAGTGACCACTCTGCCGCTCTCTAAGTATCAAACCACAGGGAGAAAAAGAAGATTTATTTTAAAATTTAAAAAAAAATGCCAATCTGAAAATTTATCTGCAGTCACTACTAGAGCCTGGTTAGAAATAAATATAGAGATGTCTGAACCTCTTCATTCCGCCTAATCTCTCGCTGATCGTATAAAAAGTCGATAATTAGTGTCTAAACCCCAGCGGTGAATGGACTAGAGTCTACAGACGTCTAAAGAGAAGAAAAAAAACGATTTGAATTGAAAAAAATCGAATTTTGATTCCTAAAGGTACTCTAGAAGAATTGTGAAAAAAGAATTCATAAAGTCTGCGGAGAAGATCACTTAAAGATAGAGAAAATTGTTAATGCTGTTTTTCTTTTCAATTTGAAAGAATTTTTCATTCAGCCCTTTTTCGAAACGAAGTCCATTCATCAGTGACTTGTGAAAACACGTAGAAAACATATTTCACGGAAAATATTTTGAAAAACTCCGCCTTTTTTGGTTTTTCGCATAGTTTTCCGGTGAATTTTTCTATTCTAAATGAAATTTACCTTGATTAAATCATTGTCTGAAAACTCCCGAGTAATCAAATTTTCCAAAAAACATCAGAACATGCAAACATTGAAATAAACGGGTTCAAATTTACAAAAAAAGATTTTTAGGCCTAAATTCTTAACTCATTTGAAATTTTTTTCCCGCCAAAAACCATTCTGGTCTTTTTTTAATGATACTAGAGTAAAAAAACGCTTCAAAAATTGAAAAAAATTTTCATCTAAAAATTATACAAAAAAACAATATTTTAAGCCTAATTTCCGGGCTCATTTTTTTGAATGTTTTTTTCCCCGCCAAAAAAACCAGTTCCGGTTGTCAAATATGACACAATAGTATACAGTAAACCGCAGATTTTCATTCAAAAAAATTCATGAAATCAAGCTAAATTTATAAAAATCCACAGAATGAGGTAGCCAAAAGACTTCCGCAAAAACATTGCGTGTTCAAATTTTTCGAAAAAAAACCCGACTTATTTTGGAACTTGTAGGAAAAACAAACTTCTTCATTTCTTGAAAAAAAAAACATTCCAAACTGATGATCAAGTGGCTAAGGCGCTCAAATGACGCTGAGGAGGTCACTGGTTCGATCCTTTCAGGCGAATATTTCCAAGGAGAGAAAAATCAGACGAATAAATCACAGAACCGTTAAAAAATGTTAGTGAAGTTGCATGCCTATTTCTAGCATTTATAGGGACCACTTTAGGGGCGTCAGAACTCCTAAGTGATCCCTTGAATCGCATGAGCACTTCTAGCTTATATAGGGACCACTTTAGGGGCGTCAGAACTCCTAAGTGATGCCCAGAATCGCAAAACGATTTCTAGCTCTTGTAGGGATCACTTGAGGGGCGTCAGAATTCTTAAGTGACCCCTAGAATCTTATGTATATTTTTTTGCAATTATAAGGACCACTTTAGGGGCGTCCGAAGTCTTAAGTGATCCCTAGAAACGCATGACCACTTCTAGCTTATATAGGGACCACTTTAGGGGCGTCAGAACTCCTAAGTGATCCCTTGAATTGCCTTTCTCTTTCTAGCATTTATAGGGACCACTTTAGGGGCGTCAGAACTCTTAAATGATCCCCAGAATCGCAAAACGATTTCTAGCTCTTGTAGGGATCACTTGAGGGGCGTCAGAACTCTTAAGTGATCCCTAGAATCTTATGTATATTTTTTTGCAATTATAAGGACCACTTTAGGGGCGTCCGGAGTCTTAAGTGGTCCCTAGAAACGCATGACCACTTCTAGCTTATATAGGGACCACTTTAGGGGCGTCAGAACTCTTTTTAATCTGAAAAAAATCATTTTGATCATTAAAAAAATAATAAATCTTAATCAATAAGTCACCTAGAAAGTCAAATTTTTTTATATTCAATGCACTTTAAAAAAATGGAAAAACCTTCGGACGAGCCTAGCCGACTGGTTAAGCTCCTCAAACATGGTCAGAAAGGTCCGGGGTTCGATCTTTTCGCTAAAAATGGATACAAGCACAAAAATCAACCAAATTTGGCCAATTTTCACGCTTGCAACTCTAAAAAAATCTATTTTTTTTCTATTTTTTCGACACAGCAAGTGCAGCAGGCTGGGAATTTCAGTGATTTACATTATTATTTTGAATATTTATTGAAAAGAAAGAATTATGATACAGAAAAAAGGGGGGGAATAAGCAGCAGCAGTGAGGTGAAAAATTGCGGGAATGAGATAAATTACAAAGAAACAAAAAAAGGGGATAATATTAAAAGGACCATCATATTGGAGAGGAGAAACGTAAAGCCACACAACATTTTTCGGAAATATTCTGGAGACGACCTTCAAATTTGGCCAATTTTCGGGGGGAGGTGAAGAAGCTCAATTTGCACGAGAGAATGATACTTTTTGAAGATTTATCGCTGGTCAACTCGTGAGAAAATGACGGATCGAAGGTCCGAAATCTCTTTTTCGAGTCGGATCGTCTCGTTTCGGAGGAAATCGTTGCGCTTCATCAGTCGGGTGCCTTCCTGAAACTCGAAAGTTGTCACGGAATAAATTATTTTTCATATTCAAAAATAGCCTAAAAATACTAGGAATCAAAATTTAAAACGCAGTAGAACTGAAAAAAACGTTAAACTCTCAAAAATTTAGAATATTGTGCGGTCACAGACGTTTTTGGGGGTTTCTAGGGACCACTTAAGGGGCATCAACTCTTAAGTGACTTCTAGAACAGCCCAGGCTCGCCCGAAAAACGTTTAGTCCAGTAATTTTTTTTTCTGGCGTAGCGCGAAAGTCGCAAAAAAGGGTAATTGGAGTGAAAAAAGGTTTCTTGGACTTTCCGGCTTCAGAAATAAATAATTAAAAAAAAAAGTCCAAAAATGATAATTTTTGAACATTTAAATGTGTACTGAAATTTGTAATTCCTCGATTTTTAATGAAAACGTTTTATTTGTCAGTTGAACTAAGAAAGGTTAACTTGGAAACGCAAAAGTGGTCCCTAGAGGGGTTTGGCTACAACCGGGACCAAAAAGTGCTCCTTATAGGGGTTTATGGTCTGACCTCCATTTTCAAGCTTTGGTGCTACGACAAGAGCGAGTTTTCCATTTGCGAGCAGTACTGTATGCGGCAAAGCGCATTGCGTGCATGCACTCTGCGTGTTTACACTTTTTTGTGGCGTGACGTCATCGCGCCGTACATCTGCGGGTTTTTTTGCTTTGCGGGTTTTTTTCGGATTTTTTTTGAATTTTTCCGGCTTATTTATTTTTTTCGAAACAAAAAGAAAAACTTTTTTTAATTGATGAAAAACTCTGTTTGTCAAGGGGGCAGCTTAGGAAAAATGTTTCTTTATAGATAGCTATAAGGTCAACTCCACAAATATAGAAAAAAAGAAGTAAGCTAATATTGATATTTCAAAGAGGAAAATATCAAAAAAATTGCATCATAACAAATACCAGTAATTGAAATAAGTTATAATAAAAAAATAAGAAAAATAAGAAAAATAACAAATTTTACAGAACCACCATATCAAACAAAAGTCATTTTCCCAGAAAAATCTTCAAGATATTTTAAAATGTACATTGAGAGATTTGAAGGGACTTGTCAGAAATTTTACGAAAATTGGTTTCTTGTACAATGCCGGTGTTGAGGGTGGAGGAGCAGGGACATCTTTTTTCGCCAAAACTTCCTTTGCGATTTCTTGTTGCTTTGAAACTGAGTCGAAAACAATGGCGTTAACATAATCGTCACTTTCCATCCTGAATTTCATTCATAGCACCACTTTTTTTCATTTCAAAATCTGAACGAGAGAAAAAAATATGAGGAGAAGAAGAAGAACACGAAGATTTTTTGAGGACAAAAAGGAGCCTTCTTATGAGGTAAAAAAGAAGTTTTCTTTTTGTTTCGAAAATATTCGCACAATCAAAACCAAACCGGAAAAAAAAATCCAAAAAAAAATTCCGAAAAAAACATTGAAAAAAAAACCCGCAAGCAAAAAACCCGCAGATGTACGGCGCGATGACGTCACGCCACAAAAGTGTAAACACGCAGAGTGCATGCACGCAATGCGCTTTGCCGCATACAGTACTCCTCGCAAATGGAAAACTCGCTCTTGTCGTAGCACCCAAGCTTTAGTGGTCCCTAGAGGGGGGTTTTCAAGGATTCTTAAGGTCGCCCCTTTGGGATCACTCTGACTTCGCTAAAAAAGTGCAGATTTTCAAACCCGTCTTTTTTAAAAGGCAGCCGTTACGGAAAACTGAAGTTAGAGCGAAATTTTTAAGCTTTTCCTATAAAAAATCATTTTCTTCGTGCTTGTCGGACCTCGGACTCGCTGGCCTTGCACTCCTTGATCTTCTGCCGGTATCGCTGGGCGGCGACGCGGTTCTGCTCTTTCTTCCGCTCGGCGATCTCCTCGTCGGTCATTTGGGCCAGGGAGACTCCGGGGGCTCGTTTCCGGACCGGCTCAGCGTTGTCGGAGCTCGGACGGCGTTTGGAGGACTTCCGGCCGGCCGAGGGAGGCGGAGAAGACGTCGATGACGTCGGCGAAGAGGCAGAAGACGTCGAGGGGGCGTCCGGCTGGACCGGTTGAACGACGAGCTGAAAAAATTGATTTATTGTCTCCTTTTTGTCTCATTCCTTCAGGGTGCGTGTAATTCGGCTTTTTTTTTAGATTCCTTATAGTCAAATTTGCCCGATCTTGTAAGGTAATAAGGGCGAAACTGGAAAAGGTGACGCGTTGCGGTCGCGATGCGGCTTTTGGCGGGAAATTTGAACTGAACTCTCCAAGTTCTACATACTATCTAAGCACCTGCAGACTGATTTTCTTCACTAGTTAGAGAGCATTGAAAAATTGGAGAGGCCAGAGTCGTACTCTCCAAGTTTTACACACTATCTAAGGATCTGCGCGCTGATCTGCTGCATCCGTTTAGACAGCACGACAAGCTCGGAGAGCCCAGAGTCGTTTTACACACTGTCTAAGGACCTGCGCGCTCATCAGTTAGAGCATGGCAAAATCGGAGAACCCAGAGTCGCACTCTCTGATTTTTACACACTCTCTTAAGACCTGCGCGCTTATCTCCTGCATCCGTTTAGAGAGAACGAGAAGCTCGGAGAGCCCAGAGTCGTACTCTCCACATTTTACACACTATCTAGGAACCTGCGCGCTCCTCAGTTAGAGAGCATGACAAATCGGAGAGCCCAGAATCGTACTCTCCACCTTCTACACACTGTCTAAGGGCCTGTGCGCTCATCAGTTAGAGAGCACGGTAAATTTGTAGAGAGCCAATTTCACACCAGACAGTGTGTAGAAGACGTCTCTGTTCTCTCCAAGTTTACCATGCTCTCTAAACTGAACGCGCTTCTCTTCTGAGAAGGCTGAAGTTACCTTGTACTCCTTGCCGTCCTCGCCGATCAACGTCACCGGCTTTCCGGGCTCGACGAACACCGGCTGCGGAGACGTGCTCCCTTGGATGAAGAAGACGTCGGAGGAGGCGGCGCTCGACTTCCTGGAGTCGCCCTGCTTCAGAAGAGTTGGTGGAGGTGACATCCTCACTTTGCCGGAGGGATACTTGGACGGGTTCGTCTGGAAATGAGGAATTTTTTAGGGTTAGACTTCAGTCGCCACGATTCGAAACACCGCACTGGGAATGGCTCAAATCATTGTGGTTGGAATGAGCCATAAAAAAGGACTAATTCACTTTTTTCAACCCCACAGTTTTCTTCTCACTTTAGCTAGCGTATAAATTTCAGAACTACTGTAGCTTTTTTCAATCTCTGCTTTCACAAAAGCTACAGTAAACTACAGTACCGCTTTTCTCAAGTTTTTCAACTCGATAGTGAGTTTTCGTTTCGATTTTTCGCTTTTATATACAGTAACGTATTTCCGTTAGACCTACAGAACATACTGTAGCTACCGTAAACTTGGTATTATTGTATCGTTGATTTCACAGCAACTACAGTAAGCTGCAATACCACTGTTCTCAATTTCTTTTGGCGGATTTTCGCTCCTACAGTAATTTTTCACAGCTGAACTCATAGAACTTACTGTAGCTACCGTAAAATTGGAAAATTTTCTCTGCCACTGTAGCCTTTTTAACCTAGGTTTTTACAGCAACTACAGTAGCTACAGTACCGCTTTACTCAAGTTTTTCGGCAAATTTTCGCTCATACAGTATTATTTTCAGTTAAATTACAGAGCATACTGTAGCTACCGTAAACTCAAAAATTTTCCCCAAATACTGTAGGTTGTTCTTTGATTTTCACAGATGTTTGAATATCGTTTTTCTTAAATTTTCCTGCGAATTTCGGCTCCTACAGTAGCCCTTTCTTCGTTAACTTTCTAGATCATACTGTAGCTACCGTAACTTTGCGCTGATTTGAAATCACCTTTTCTGAGTGGATTTCCTGTCGGACCTGCTCAATGATGCCATCGATGTAGGTGAAGTCGGCATCGTAGGCTAAAACTTCAGTTTAAAACTCGATTTTTATCGATTTTCTGAACTGTAATCAGTGTAGACGTCGGCGCCGAACTCGTCAAAGTTGGCATGGTCCAAGAAGCGGTCGACGTCGACGATGCTGCTGTCCGGGGAGTTTTGCTGGGGCTTTAGTTCGGAACATGATGGTGGGGATGAGATATGGTGAGAGTTGAGAGAATGATAAGTTTGCGATGGAGAGGGGCTGCTGCTGCTGACGTGCTGGTGTTGTTCAGAAGACAAAGCGCTGAAAATTTTGATAAGTAGGTACAGAAAAAGAATAGTCATCTTTTGAATATCAATAATCAGGAGGTATTTCCTCAACAAAGTTTGACAGAAAAATTGTCATCTAACTGAAAAAAAAATCAATAACTAGGCCTTTTTAAAAATTCTACAAAAAGTCATTTTTCAACGGAAAAACTTCCATTATTTAACATCAAAAAATATAAAATCTTGTTTCCTACGCGCTCTCCAATACATCATCACTTTTTTTTGATTATTTTCCGCTCCTAATTGGAAAAAGTCGATGCGCTGTTCGATACAAAAATCGATACAGAGATAAAAAAAACGTTTTACTTTTCTAAATTTTGGGACAAGTTTCCGTGCAAAGTCTTCACTCGAAATGGCCATTTCTAGTTCGAGACTTCCCCCTAGAGGACGGTCTCCGGGCTCCAGTTACAAGATCCGCTATCTTCTGAGCTCGTCAAGGAGCAATTGAATGGACTACGTGCTGAAGAACAAGGGGAAGAACCGTAAGACCATGTTTTCACCTTGATCATCTACACCTTTGATTTTCTTGATAGAAGTTGATCATCTACCCCTTTAAACTTCTTGATTCAGCTTGATAATCTACACGCTTGGACTTCTTGGTTCAACTTGATCATCTACACGCTTAAACTTCTTGATTCAACTTGAACAACTACACTTCAAAGACGGCTTTTCGTTGTAGCTTCAAAAGTTTTTGTTCCCCGCCTAGTCGACTATATCTATGACGTCATTGATTGACCTTCAAAAACACAAGTTTTTGTGGAGTTTCAGGCCTACTTGCTACCGAATCTTCGCTTCCGAATCGAACATTTTTCACCAGATCCAAACATTTTCCGGCTCATTTTCCTAACCCTCTTGTAGGAAATTCGTTATCCGAATAAAATATAGGTTTTCACTGTCCCTACACCTTTCAGGTAATTTCCCCTCATAGTCACCTGTCCGCCAGAGACGTGAACAGACGATCCACTGGAGGAGGAGGAGCAAGACTTTCCTCCGCCACGACCGCCGCCGATTCTGCCGTCATCTCCGCGAATGAGTCCAGAGGCGCGATCAAATCGCATAAAACAATGTTGCTGCAAAGATTTTCTCTTACTTTTTATCCTTTAAAAGAAGCAATCTTTCAATACAAAGGTGAAAAGTCCCTGTTCTTCACGACCTTCTCTCAGTACGTTTCAGTGTAATTTTATAAAATTCCAAAGTTCAAAATGAAGTAATTTCTTAGTTTTCCTGATATTGGGCATTGAATCCTCTCGAAAAAGTCTTAAAGCTTGAATTTCAGTTCAGGTTGAAGCTTAAAGTGAAAAGTGAAATAATTTTCTTGTCAGTCGGAAATTTGACATTTTTTCATGAATCCTGTGAAAAAAGTCTTGAAAATCTTAAAATAAACTTAAATTTCACTTCAGGTGAAGCTTAGATGAAGCTTAATGTAGAAAATGAAATAATTTTCCTTTCCAGTTGAAAAAAATTTAAAAATTTTTTTCATGAATCCTGTGAAAAAAAGTCTTGATAATCTTAAAAATAAACTTAAATTTTAGTTAAAATAAACCTCAAAACTAGCTTTTGATGAACCTTAAAGTAAAAATTTAAATAATTTTTCATAAACATTCTCAAAAAAATCATGAAAAATCTAGATACCGAGTAGATTTCTCCCATATTTTCAACCCTAAATCCAAAAATTTTCTTTTCAAAAATATTCTTTTTTTCTGACCCCAAGAACTTTCCAAATCCCTTCCATTGAAAGATCGCTTCTTCTTTATAAAAAAATAATTTTAAAAAATCAAAAATAACAAGCCTATATGGCCACTCAAAAAAAGCCATTGAAACTTGAAAATTCGCTCTATAGATAAAAAAAAAACAAAAAAGTCGGCTTTTTTTCAATTCTGTAGCAATGTTTTCCCGTCGTTAGCCGCGAAAATTTTCGTGATTCATGGAAAAAAAAGATCTGATAAGGGTTGCCCTTTCTGCACACTTTTTCTCGTCTTTTTCAGAAAAAGAATCTTTTTTTTCGACGTTTTTCTTTTTCTTTTCAGTTAATGCTCCGAAATTAATGACATTTTTGAAATTTTCCGTAATTTTTGAAAAATTTACTTTTTTTAGGTACTCATTCACATTTCAGAAGGTACCATCGGCTCGATTTTTCAAAATTCATGTTTTAAATTTTTTTTTTCCATTTTTTCTCAATTTTCAAGGATTTCTTTCTTTTAAACCTGTAGAAAACTTTTGTAATTAAAGTTACAAAAGTTCTTTTTTTCAAAAAAGGGTCCAAAACTACAGATTTTTTTCTTGAAAAATATTTTTTTCCAAAAAAATCTTTTTTTAGATCTCTTTTTTTCGTATAAAAAAACTTTTTTTCGAAGCTTTTTTTCAGCCTTCCTATTCATTTTATTCACAGAAAAAAACATCTCTTACTTCAGTAAAATGATGAAATTTCGAAAATTCACCCAGAAAAATTCTTCATTTTTTTCATAGCTGAAAAAAATGGTTATTTTTGAGCTTTTTACGCCTCAAAATTGATAATTTCATGTCCGAAAATTGCTAATTTTTCATAAAAATCACTATTTTCACGTGAAAATCAGTTCAAAAATTTTTCTTACTTGTTTTTTGAACCATATTCTCATTACGTTCTTCAAAAAATACCCTTCTACCAAAATTTCCCACTTCCAGACTCAAAAAAACTCTTCCTAGACCCTCCCTTGACAATTTTATCCACAGAGCGAACATTCCAACTTCCATACTCATTTTTTGCGGCTCATTTTTCCAAGACTTCAATTGTCCCTTATTTCTTCGGCTCTTCCCATTGGCTTGACTATGACTTCAGAGAGGGAGAGAAACAGATCAAGAAAACGGAGAAGGGGACAAAATAGGGCGATTGGGAGTTGCGAGTACCATTTCAGTAGTCGACGTGGTGGAGGTGAGAAGAGGGCTTCCGGAAGGAGCAGCGGCGGCGGCGGAGGCTTCGGCCCACTTAAAAACACACTTTCCGTCGTTGGAGAACGCGCAGCAGTTGCGATTAACGCAGCCGGTGCCACAGCGAACTCTCGACATGCCGTCCTGAAACAGGGGATCGAATTTGTCGAAGTTGTAAGATTGCTCTACTGATAAGTTTACTCTGGTCATTTAAGGGATATGACTGCCTTTTTCGTGAAACGGGGATCAAAGTTATTGGAGAAATACAGAAACTTTTTTTTTAATCATAAGTTTGCTCTACTGACAACTGTACTCTGACCACTTAAGGGATATGATTGAACTTTTCTTGAAACGGGAATAAAATATAGCGCTTTTATTTATTTTTTTTTTTTTTTGAATCACAAGTTTGCTCTACTGACAACGATTCTCTGATCACTTAAGGGATGATTTTTTTTTACTCGGCTGCAGTTATAGCTGAGCTTGCGCCATCAAAAAAAGATTATCAAAAAATTGAACCAAATTACAAGATTCTCAAAAGATTGCTCTATTGACAACGATTCTCTGATCACTTAAGGGATGTTATTGATTTTTTTTTTGAGATATGTTATGATAAAAATACAGCACTTTTATTTCTCTGAAATCTCACAAGTTTGCTCTACTGATAACGATGCTCTGATCACTTAAAGGATTTTTTTTACTCGGCTTTAAATAATCGACTGCATTTATAGCTGAGCTTGAGCCATCGAAAAAAGTTATAAAAAAAATTGAAGCAAATTACAAGATTCTCACAAGTTCGCTCTATTGACAACTGTACTCTGATCACTTAAGGGATATCATTAATAATTAATGAAACGGGGATCAAAGTTATGATAAAAATACAGCGCTTTTATTTCTCACAACTTTGCTCTACTGACAACGATTTTCTGATCACTTAAGGGATGATTTTTTTTTTCTCAATTTTAAACGATCGGCTGTAGTTATAGCTGAGCTTGAGCCATCAAAAAAAGTTATCAATAAAATGAACCAATATACAGTATTCCTTTTAATATATCAAGTTTGCTCTACTGATAAATATTATCTGACCACTTAAGGGATGAAATTCATTTTTCATGAAGCGTGGAATGCTATCGAAATTGAATGAGAACACAATACTTTCACTGATCAATCTTTCCTGGAACAGGAACCGAAGCTATTAACGAATTTAGGCAAAATGAAGTGTCTTTATCTCGCAAGTTTGCTCTACTGATAAAGATTTTCTGATCCCTAAAGGGATTTCATTTTTCTCCGCCTGCAGGTAGACCTCACGGCTCAAGCCATCGAAAAAATGTTTTTTAGGCGGATAAAAAAGAAGAGATAGTGCTTGGTTTTTGGAGAGCGCAGACACAAAATCAGCTATAACGAGCGGAGCGGTCGCGACGCGGTTTGACGCCAATTCGAATTTTATGGAACTGAAAAACTGACGGTTTCGAAAGCGGCCGTCTCAGTAGAGTGATCAGGCCAAACGCCCCACTGGCCGGCGGGGAGCGGGCTCTCGAAGCCCGATTCTTCTAAGAACGGGGATAAATAGGGCAACGGAGGGGCCGGCTCCGAGAAGGCGAACGGCGAGAAGTCGGCTTCGGCGTAGTAGGCGCACATTTTCTGGAGAAAAAATCCATGATAAAGTCGTTTTAAATCTATGAATCTGAATTTTTAGTGGGTACTTTAGGGTTTTGACATTTTAGGGGCCACTATAGTAGTCAAATTAGTGGCCACTCAAGAGGTTAGAAATTAGTGGCCACTACAGAGGTCTAAATGCTACTACTGGACCACTAACAATTTTAGCGGCCACTTTAGGGGTCAATGGATCAACATAACTGGTCCAATCCGTTTATTTTAAAACTATCAGAGTTACTGGAAGGAGTACTGGATGAAAAACTACTGAAGTGGCCACTTTACTGTCCTCTCCAAGTAGTCCCTAGACGAACCTCTTAAGTGACCGCTAGAGATTTCCTCAAGGATCCATGAAAAAGTAACATCAAAATTGTAAAATCCATGACAGAGAAAATTTATGTTGGATCAGTGAAACTGTAAAGTGAATTAACTTCCCAAAATGAAAAAAATAACCGTTTTTCATTTTGACGATGGTCTCAAAAAAACTTCAAATTTTGCAAAAATAACCTCGAATTTCTTTTTGATCCGAATGGGAAAAATTATGAAAAAGCTGACAAATGAATTTTTTTAATCAGTAAAACTTCAAAAAAATGACTATCGCCACGTGGATTTTTTTCCGATTATTCACGTTTTTTTCCTCTTTTTAATAAATCTCAACATATTTTTGAAAAGAAATGCGTGAAAAAATCCTTTAAAATTCCATAAAAATCTCAAAAAATCACCTTGAGTTGCATTTCAGCGAGGAATAGTTCAAAAAGACTGGAAGGTCTTATCAATATTTCTCCGGAAAATTAACGAATTATCAAAGAAAAATGTTGATAATGATGTCATTTGCTGACAAATATACGGTCAAAAAATGATAAATTTTGAAAAATCGACGGTTTGTATGAATTTTGCATCTTTTTTTCTCGTTATAAATTGTTAAAATTTCTGAAAAATTGTTTGAAAAAAATGTGCTTTTTTTGCAAGGAAATTTGATCTAATTCATGAAAAAAATAATTAAATTTACCTTCTGAAAAGTTCAAAAAAATGGCGAAAAATCCTATGGAAGTAGATCTACTTTTTCAACAAAACTGTGAAAATTTGAGCTGAAAAAAATTTTTTTCGATTTAAAAATTTTCAAAAAAATTTAGATGGCAAAAAAATAATTGTTTAATGGAAATAGAACTTGAAAAAAATATAGATATTCATCGATTAACTTATTTTTTCCAAGAAAACACAGCTTTCAAAAAAATTTTGCTCGAAAAAATCATATTTCTATTGAAGTTTTCAACGAAAACCCTTTTTTTTTCTCTTTCCAAAAAGATTTTCTCTCTCCGAAAAGCCAATAAAATCTTTTTGGAACAAAGTACGGAGCCATATTTCACGTGAAAACCTTCGACAGAATGTCTGATCATAAAACAAAAAGAAAAATAGGAAATCGTCTGGGTTTTCTCGTTCATCAACACCGCAATAAATGTCACATCCGATTCTTTCCCTTCTATTTTTTTCTTATCGTTGGAAAGAATCTTCAAAGAGGTCAGATACCTACCGACTGATTGACATCAAATGAGAAAAAGGAAAGGAAAAATCAATGGTTTTTATTATCTTGTTAAAAAAACCGATGAAATGATCTTTCAGAGTTAAAAAAATCTAGTATGCAAAAAGAGGAAAAACATACAAAAAAACCGAAAATTTTTTTCACATCAATTTTTCCCTTTTCCGTCAAAAAAATTTTAACTGGAGAGCTTTTTTTACAAAGATTTTTTTACGAGATTTTTTTCCGAAATTAACCATTTTTTTGAACATGAATAATGTATTTAAAAGAACATCCTAAAAAAATAAAAAAATATTTTCAAAAACCACAAAAAAATCAGGTGTACGAAAAAAAGTGAAAAAGAACACAAAAAAATAGCAAATTTTTTTAATCGAAAATTTGCTTTTTTTCCGTCAAAATGTTCATCAAGAAGCTTTTTAAAAATGTAATTTTCTAAAAAAATTCGAATAACAAAAAAATTTTTTTCAAAAATTAGAAAAAAATATTTTTTTCAAAAAAATCTCTTGAGAAAAAGTGAACGGCAAATGAGAAAAATCATCTATCTTGAAAATGAAAAAAATTTATCATTTTCTGAGAAATCTTCAAGAAAAACATTGATTTTCAGTAGGAAACTTTCAAAAATTTGAAGCTTTGAGAAACGAATTCTTCAATAAATACTAACGAAAAAAATTTTTCAAAACTGTCTTTTTTTGGATAAATCTGACAAAAATAGAACATATTGAACATAAGTAAACAGATTTGCAATGAGCAATTCTGAAAAATAATCACCAGAAATCATAAATTACTAACCAACAACCTTCCAAAGTACTTTCCAATAGCAAAAAAATTTAAAAAAAAAGTCATATTTTTAGCGCAAATAATTTTTATGCAAAAACACGAATTTTCAACAAAAATATTGTCGAAAAATAAAAATAAAACAAACCGTTATCTTTTCGTTCCTTTTTGAAAAAGTTTCAATGAAGTTTTCAGCAAGGTTTGCTTAAATTAGCAAGGGAGCTTGGAGGCTGTTAGCTGGGCGAAAGTTCAAGTTGATTCCTAAATTGCATATTTTCAGTTCGATTCACAGAAAAAACGATAAAAATAACAAGTTATATAGGGACAACGGGAGAGACAAACAGAAAGAGAGAGAGAGAAAAAACAACGGAGTGGTGCAAAATTTCGCAATTTTGCCTAGTAAAAGTCCAAGTGATCTTTCATAATAGTATTGTTTTCCCTTTTTAATCAATCGATAAGAGAATGAGACCCAAACAAGGAGCGGAAAAGGCCTTATCACATGCAGAAATACACGTTTCCCGCGCGCACGTCGGCGGCTACACTTTGAGACGCGACGCGAGCCGCGCCGCGTCCGACGATCCTCACAATCTGATGCAATGGCCGTCGTCATCAAGCCATTTGTTTTTCACGTGGCATTTTCCGTCCAAAATCAGAAATCAAGATATTTAAAGGTCCAGGCTATCGTGCCAAGACCATTTCAACTACGAATACGATTTTTGAAGAATGACAAGATCAAAAGGTTAAAAATCGTAACTCAACAGTTTCTCAATTTTACCGTAACCTATAAAAGTTATTTTCTCACTGTGAAACTGAAATTTATCAAAAATACAGTATGTAAAGACACCTTAGATTCAAACTTCTCTTTGAAAAATAAACTAACGGATTGAAAAATTGAAGATTTAGAAGTCAATTTTTAATGCTACAACCTATTTTTTTAATACTAATAAACTACCGTAACCCTAATATTCGAAGAAAAAAGCTCTTTATTACTGTAAAAATCCAAGGCCAGGACCTACCGTAATTCCAAATTTTTTAAAAGATAATTTTTATTCAAAATTCTCAAAAAATTTGAATTTAACCTTACCGTAGGATATCACTGCCTCAATGAAGTTTCACAGTAAGTTCGGTAAATTTTCAAAATTTTCTGAAATTCTCGATTTCTACTGTTACCGTATATCTTAATTCAACTACAGTATTTCTTAAATTGAGAAAAAAAGTGAAAAAAATAAAGAATTTTTTTAAACTCAAAATTCGATTTTTTTGAAAAATTTACTACCTTTAAAGATTGTTGTAAGTTTCTACATACTTCAAAAAAATATTAAAAAAATACCTAAAACGATTAAAAATTATATCTAGCTTCAATATTTTGAGCCCTGGCCTTTCTTAATTATTTAATTTTCAAGTTTAATCCTTTCTTAATACCGTAAACCTTACTTTTTTTCAATACCGTAATCATCTAGCCTCTATTTAAGTTCTGGTGTTTTCAAATTATTTATTTTTCAAGCTTATTCGTTTCTCAATACCGTAATCCTTACAATACTCCATTTAGAGCATCTTTTTCTAGAATTTCTCAAAAAAATTGAAGCTTTTCTGTATAAAATTTGATTGTTTTGCAAGTTCCAAACATGTTTTCCAGTCCATTCTTCACAGTCCAAAGTCAAAGTCAAGCCATGGGGGAAGGTCTTTCGAGGAGCCTTCGGAAATAAGTGACAAATGGGGCTGAGACACGAAAGAACCCTTCGAAAGTCTCCGGCATGGTTTGAACTTTGAAAATGGACCAAAAAATACACACCAGACCGAGAGACCTTCGCCGAAATCTTCGGTTTCGGCCGCCAAGTGCCCCAAAGGTTGCAGCCGACCGGCGGCGGCTTTTATTCGGCCCAGAAAAGGGGCGTGGCCTCGGCGGAAGTACCGCCCACGTTTGTGGGCTGAAAGTTCTCTGTGCTCTTCGCGGAGGCAAAAAAAAAGCGTCTCGAACGATAAATACGTGGCAAAGTTGTATGTACTTTGATGCTGGTATTTCCACATTTTTCACTTTTTTTTCAAGTTGGAAGTCGGTTTTTGTTGTTGGAAAATGGAATAAATGCGCTGAAATAGCCTTTTTGAGCGCTTTTCTAGAAAGGAAAAAAATCCTTAAAAGTCTTTTTCAGCACTTTAGAAAACGTGAAATAGGGCAAAAAGGCTTTTTATTTCAAAAAAATGATCCAAGTTCCTTCAAAAAAAAATATTTGAACAGATTATTTATTTTTGCCATGCTCAAGTTCCGTTCTTTTCATTCTCAAAACTAAAAAATTGCAGAGTGGTCCCTATAGGACCTTTATATGAAATGGGCACTTAGGCTTGTCTGAAAAAAATCAACAAAAAAGAGCCGCGAAAAAATTGCCACCATCTGCGCTCTATGGATAATGTAAATCAAAGATTTTGGTTCTACCATCATTTGCGCTCTATGGATAATCCTGAAAAGAGACTTCAATTCTACTATCATTTGCGCTCTCCGGACAAAATTGACCAAATATTTTGATCCTTCCATCATTTGCGCTCTACGGACAATGTTGGAAAAATAATTTGAATCTACCGTCATTTGCGCTCTACGGATAATGTTGACCAAAGAGACTTTCCAAGAAATCGTAGCAGTAATTTTTGCCCTCTAACAAACTTTCGAGGAAAATATTTGTCAACGGACGGCAGGATTTTCGGCGCTCGTTTCTGTTTGCTGGTTTTTTTTCGGCCGGTTTCCTAGAGTATAGCTTTTCTGCAGCTTCAATTCAATCTAGACCTTCATTTTGGGTCGATTTTGACAAAAATTGCGCGGGGGGAGAATTCCAGCTCAAAGTGGGACTAGGGTCATTAGATGGGGATTTCCACGCTAAATTCAAATCTGGCCTCAAAAACTCCCGTAGAAATCCGTGAAAATAAACCTAGGAAAGCCAGAGTGGTCCCTATAGGGGCGACCTTAAGGGCTCTTGAAGTTCCCGCTCTAGAGACCCTCCTTAACTCCCCTATAGGGGCACTAAAGCTTGCAAAAGTGGCCACTCTAGGGGTTTTAGTTAGCTTTTTTCGAAAACCGAAGGGGTTCTTATAAATTCTACTCAAGGAACCCCTCAATTCCCCCTATAGGGGGTACTTGAGCTTCCAAAAGTGGCCACTTTAGGGGGACATGCTAGAGGTATCTATACTTCGTTTTACTGTCAAATCATGCCAAAAACTTAAAGAACCCTATAGGGTCCACTTAAACTTTACGGTCAGATCCTGAGCCCCCATAGGGACCGCTTCAGCTTGAGGGACTTGTGAATCAACTGCATATCCCTTTATGGAACACCAAAATTTTACCACTAGAGGGAGCACTTTTCTGACCCCTATAGGTAGGGACCGCAGAGCCACGCCCACTTCGCTGTTCAAAAAACTTCGTCATTTTCGTTGCATTTTGGTTCTTTTTTATATTTTAAAACAGTTTTCTTGTACCGATTTGGGAAAAAATTGGGGGAAACATACAATCGGCTATGCTTAACAATCCTACATAGAATGAAAAATACTGAAAAAAATGAGAAATAAGAATGTATGACGACAGTTTTTAAAAAACGCATTTGTGGCCGAAAAACGGATAAAAAAATCCCGTTTTTTCTTGAAAGTTTACGGGCAACTTTTTTTATTCTTGAATATCATGAAGCAACTAAAAAAACGCATATTCTGGCAAAAAAATAAAAAAATTCTATGGTTGGCCTCAAAAAAATAACGCAATTTGAAAAATCACGATTTTCGAAATTCCTTATTTTCGAAAAAAACGCAATCGATAATTACTGATTATATTTTTTTAAACGGTTGTTTGCAGTTGATTTGTAAATTTTAAAAAAAGAAAAACTAAGTTTTTTTCATCGACTATATAGTTTATATGAAAGCTTAAAATTTCCGTTTTTTTGTAACGCTTTGAAAAACGGCCCAAAGCGTTCTGGGCAAGTTTTTTTATTTCATAATATCAAACATTAGACATTTCTCTACAACATATCAAAAAATAAAAAAATTCCTAGGATGGCCCGAAAAGTATGGTTAATTTAAACGCTCGAAAGTAATTTTTAAAACTGCGCGTCGCTGGAAATCTGCAGACACCGCGAAGGCCACGAAATTTTTCGAAAGCGTGAAGAAGGTTTTTAAACTATTTATGTATTCTTTTCAAGTTTTTCTCGTTTTATTGTGGCTTTATAGTTGCTTTTTACTCATTTCATAATTGGAATCTTTTTTTCCTATATCCTTATATCCATTATAGCAGCGAGAGAAGTATCAAATTTCGCTTTTACTCAACTTTTTTTGAATTTTTTTACAGAATGTCAAGTAAAGAATTCTAAAAAAATTGTCTACGTACACTCCATGTAGACGCACGAACTTTAGAGAAAAAAATAAAAAGAAGTAGAAAGTCAAAAGTAAAAAAACGCTTTCGCCCTTTTTTTAAAAAAACTCTCTGAAAAAAAGGACTTGGTGATTATTTACATATTTTTTTCAGTAAATTTCTTAGTAGACTGTTACATTTTTCAATTCGGTTTAATGCTGTTCGTCCTTCGCAAAGGTCTATTTTGTCGGTTATTTTCTTTTTTTACAAATGCATTGAAACCTTCTTCAAAAACTCGCTTTTCAGCAGCGTGAGTGCTTGAAGAGTGGGCTCATATTGAAAAAAAGAGCAATATTCAATATGAAAAACTCTAATATTTCATTTAAAAACTTCTAAAAAAATTCAAATAAATATGTTTTCGAAACGTCTCCTGCGTGAATTAACGCACAGCAAGGAGCGCGCGGCATCTATAAACACGCCCCTTTTTCCTGCGACCCTGACGAAAGTTTCTACACAAAAAATGGTTCCCCGATTTCGCCACTTTTTTTGCTTATAACTTTTTTTCATTTTTTTCATATTTTTTTCTTTTCTGTTTTCGCAGTTAGCTCTCGATTGCCATCAGCTTTCTTTTCATATAGGTTTCAACTTTATATCACTGACTTTGGAAATTGGCCTGCGGTCCCTACCTATAGGGACCACTCTGTCGTTCCCGCGATGAATCAAACTTTGCTCAAAATTCTGCTTTTTAGTTTTAAATTCATCGAAAAACTTTCCGATTTTATTTTCTGTACAATTTTTCAAGTACAATTTAGAACATTTTCCAAAATATTCTTGGCTTATTCCTTCTAAGACCCGTCAGCAAAAGCTGAAATCACGCCATCTGGCTGGTACATTGGACATTGGATCGCGTCGGAAAAAACGACCCCATTCAGATCGATTTCTTATCACAGTCACGAACGTTCTCTGTGTGGATATACAGTACTCCTAAGAAATTTTTGATATACTTGGAAACGCCAGAGTGATCCCTAGAGGGGCTCTTGAAGATTCCCCTCAAAGGACCACTTTACCTCCTCCTATAGGGGCGCTAAAGCTTCTAAAAGTGACCACCCTAGGGGTTTCAGTTAGTGGCCCCTATAGGGGGGAACTCTAGGCTTTTATTGTCATGAACTTTATGAGACCACTCTAGGGACCACTAAAGCTTCAGAAGCTTAGGATTTTTACATTAAAACTCCAGAAGGATCACCTAAAGTTTAGCCCTAAAAGGATCACTTTTTTGTCCCCTAAAGTAGCTTCTTCCTTTTTTTCCTTTTCACTGTGTTCCAAGCTTCGTAAAAACAGCTTGAAACTTCCAGAAATAATTGAAAATTACACAAAGAAACTTTGAAATCACGGTTCAAACTCAAAATCGTTGGAATCTTTTAAAAATTCAGAAATGGTTCCTTAGAGCGCTAGAGTGGTCCCTAAAGGAGTTAACCAAAAGAACAGCCCCTATAGGGATCAAAATAGTGCCCCCTAAAGGGGTAAATTTAGGGCGGAGATCTAAGGTCCTTAAGCCCCTAAAGCTCAAGTGGTCCCTACAGGGATCTTTCAACTTTCCGTTCCAATTTTTAAGCTGGAAAGACCACTAAAAAATTTCCCTAGAGTGGTCACTTTTTGAGAACCTTCTAGAGCCCTCAAGGATGCCCCTCTAGTGACCACTCTAGCGTTCTCAAGTTGATTTTTTTCAAAAATTTTTACTAGATAAAAAAATTTAATGCTAAAAATGGATAGAAAAAGGCTCAAAAAAAGGCGGTTTTTCCCAAAATCAGTCCTTAAAAGGCGAAATTTCCAGCCTGTCACTTCCAATATCCATCCAGGCATGGCCTAATTCAAATTTGTTTATTTTTTTCTTTTTCAAAAGGGCAAACTTTGTAGAAAAATTCTTATTTTCGATCAGTTTTTAGTGCCGATTTCCCATCTAATTTCGAAATTTTCCTCAAAAAAAGAGTCCTTTCCCAATTTTTCGATTAAAATCACAATAAAAAAAGTACCACGCGATTTTTTTCCACACGACTCAAGAACCAAAAAAATTCTAAATTTTCTTGAAAAAAATCATACAAAAAAATAACCGTTTACTTCCACAAAAAAAACTAACTTTTTTTCAAAAAGCTAGATCTGTACATGAAAAAGATGATAATAAGACAATCGATAAAGGAAAATCAATAATTTTTTTTAAAATTAGACAAGGGAAGATCCAGTGTTCTTGTAGTTGGTCAGAAGCATTCTGGAGATGATCATTCGTTGGATCTCAAACTTGAAAATTAACCAATTAATTAATTAATTAATTTACCTGGCTGGTGCCTTCGTAAATCTGGAAAATCTTCGCATCGCGCATCAATTTTTCGACGGGATATTCAGAATTGAAGCCGTTTCCACCAAAGATCTGAATTTTTCATTGAAAAATGTCGGAGCGGTAGAGTGGTCCTTAGAGGGGTTAGGCAAAAAAAAAAGCCACTCTAGGGAGGGAAAATAGTGCTTTCAAATGAGGTCACGACGGTTTTTCCGGGCATTTTTCAATTTTCGACTCTCTAGGGACCACTTTTGAAAGCTTAGTGCGTCCTTCGGAGGGAGGTTAAGTGATCCCTGGAGGGGAATTTTCAGAAAACCCTAAAGTTGCCCCTCCAGGGACCACTCAGTAATTCCTTCAACAGAACTCAAAGTTCTCCTTATAAAGACTCATTTTTCGATTATTTCTTCTAATTTTCGTTTAAAAAAACTTTATTTTCTCACATTTCCCAGTCAAAAAAATTGCGAAAAAGTCATTTTTTTCACTCGTAAAAAAATCTCAAGATTTCAAGTATAGTTTTTTTGATTCAAAAATTCATTTATTGACAGATTCTGACTTAAAAAAATCTTATCAATTAGTACGAAAAAAAGTAATATTTATTTTAAAAAGGAAAAAAATATTTTTTTATTGTCCGATAGCGACTTGATAACCACTAAAAAAACAGCCCCTGAATAATCAAAAAAAGTACTTTTTACCAGTCTTTTATTTGGCTGAAAAATACCCACAAAAAAACACTGTAATATTTTTTTCGATTTTCTTAATTTTTTTCAGATAAACAGTTCTCTAAGTCAAGTAAACTTGAAATAATGAATTTGAAAAAAATGACCAGGAAATACGAAATTTTGAAAAAAATATCGAAAAAAACGAGATTTATTGTCAAAACTTCCGTTTCTCCCCACTATTTGAGCAATTTTCGTTCCATATTATAACGATTACTGTTGATTTTGAAGGATAAAATACAATTTATTCTCTTTTTCTTTCAATTTAAGTTGGATTTTTTTCTCGAAAAATACTCCCAAAAAACATTATTTTTTTTCGAAAAAAATAACATTAATTCTCCAACTTTCCGATTTGAGTTGAATTTTTTTCGCAATAGTTAGACATTTTTTTCTCGATAAACATCATTTTCTTTTTCTAAAAAAATCGTTTTGAATCTATAAATAGCTCTTTTTTCTTCAAGAAAACCAACCTGAACCGCATTTGTAGCCGCCTGATTCGCGATATCGGCAGCAAAGCATTTGGCAATGGAAGCGTGGTAAGCAGAGAGCGTCTGGAATTCAAAAAAGTGCAAAAAAATGTCTTTCTGAACTTCTTTTTTTTTTGGTTCAGTCCTTCAAAAATGGAACAAAAAGTCATGGAAATAAATAATAATCTAAACTTCATAACGAACTGAACATTTTCTGAAGCTTACCTATTAAAATTTTTTTACCTAATTTTTTTTCCAGTTAACCTCATAAAGTCGTACGAGGAAGCTTTTTTTAGGTTACGTTAAAAAGAAAAATAGCTTCATTTCTAGATTTTATAAAAAAACTACAGACGAAATTTTTTTCCAGTAAAAAAATTTATTTTTTTGATTTTTTTCAGCTCAAAAATTCCGTTACAAGTCCGAAAAAAAGACCATTTTTTAAAAAAAATCTGCGAAATTTCCCTCTATTTTTCCTTCCTTTTCTTTATCAAAAATCATTTCAAAAATCAATTTTTCAAGCCCTGATCTCCAAGTACCGATGCTTTTCACAAAATAATTGCTTTTTTTCGAGCTTTTCAGTTCAAAATCCAGCTACAACCTCTTAAAAAACTTTTCATGGATTCCGCCTCATTTTTCTTGAATTTTCACCGACCCCCTTGTCGACTTCGGCGGCGGCGCGGTAGACCATCAATTTGGAAAGTTCGACGTTCATCACCATGTCGGCCAACATGAACTGCACGGCTTGGTGCTAAAATTGGCAAACACAAATATTCAAAAATCATCGAGTACATTGGCAATCTCGGTTCCGAAGGTTTTCCTTTCCAGGGAATATTTGGTGGATTCGTCCAGACACCTCCAGGCGAGACCGAGGGCGCCGGCGGCCACGAAAGGACGCGAAAGATCGAAAGCGCCCATGGCGACCTCAAAATTGATCAATCAGACGTTTTTTGACATTTTTTCCTTATTAATCAAAGTTTGCTTCACCGGAATAGCAAATAAAAAGTAAGGATCTTTGCATAAAACATTGAAAAATTAAGGAAAAAAACGCCGATTTTGTCGAAAAACAAATCCAAAAAAAATTTTTTAACACGAAAATTCTTTAAAAAAATTGTAGATTTTTCAAGTTCTACTACTTTCCGAGGCCCTAGAAAAGCTATGAAAAATTAACTTTTAAGGAAATTTTTTTTCCAAAAAAAGGGGCGGAGCCTCAACGAAATTTCATAAAAAGCATTATAATCTCAAAACTTCTCTATGTTGAATTTTAAAGCAATGAATAAAAAAGAAATTTTTTTTATAACAAGCTGGGGAATTTTCAGTGGCTACTTTAGGGTTTTTGACCCTTTGGTGACCACTTTAGTGTCCTATCCAAGTAGCCCTTAAGGAACCTCTTAAGTGGCCACTAAAATTGTCCCAGAAGGTTCATAGTTCTCTGAGAAAACGTGGGTTAAGCTTAAAAATTATCTCTTTTACTTATTTTACAAATATAAGATTTAGATTTTCTTCCAGAGCCATTTTTTTATACCTTAAAACCAGCGCCCGGAGCTCCCAAAACGTTCTTTTCGCTGACTCGAACGTCCTCAAAGGTTATCAACCTTGTGTCGGAACACCTTTGGCCCATATTCTTCTCCTAAAATTTTACAGATTCCTCCGATTTCCCTTAAAAAATGATTGACCTTCTTGCCACGAATGATTCCAGGAGTGTCTCCATCGACAATAAAAGCCGTGAAGGCCTTTCCAGCCGGAGTTTTAGGATCCGTAGCCGTTCTGGCAAGACAGAAGAACCTAGAACTCGTCAGTTTCATTTCATAATAAGTACTTTCTATTGATAGCTTATTTTAATCAATCCAATATCCATTAAACTTCCTAGCAAATAAAAAAAATTCTTTTCTGGGGCAAAATAACTAAAAAAAGAAAAATGTATACTCATGATTCAAAAAACAGTTCTTCCCTTTGTACCTCCAAAAAGCAAAAATCCTATTTTTCAATGACAGTTTTTGAACCACATCTGAAACTATTAAGGTTTGAATCAAAAGAAAAACAGCAAAATAACACTTTCAATCAAAAATTCTGATGTAACAAATCGCATAGAGATCTTATTAAAATAGCTCGAAAAAAATCTCTTTTTTTGAAAAATTTCGTTCCATTTTTTTAAGAAAAAGTTTACCTTTTTGATATCATGCTAATTTTTTTGGCCAGATGATATATTCTAAAAATCTATTCCCCCTTCCCCCCTGAAAGTCAAAAACCGACCGTTTAGCGTGCCTTCTACTCTCTTCATTCTTTCATGAAACTTAAAATTTTTCGAAAAAAAGCCGTTTTTTGTTTTCAAAACAGCACTAAAAAAACGCTTAAAATCATTAATTTCCTCTTTTTTTGCTATTTTTCCTAGTCTTTTCTCATTTTTTCTCTAAATACCGACCATTTAGTAAGTCTATCGCTTTACTTAATCCTTAACTTTTTGTTTTAAAAATCTTGAGAAGTCCCCTAAAAAGTCATATAGAAAAAAGCACGAATTATGCTCAAATTCCTCTTTTTTCCACTATTCCATTTTTTCCCCATCCCTGTAAGAACCGACCATTTGGCGTGTCCACCACCGGTGATCCAAGCCTTGGTTCCATTGATGACATACTCGTCGCCCTTTTTCTCGGCTTTCGTCTTGACTCCATTCACGTCGGAGCCACAGCCGGGCTCCGTGACGCAATAGGAGGCGATGATTGGCTCCGATGCCAGCCAGCCTAATTTGCTCCATTTTCGACGCTTTTTTTTAATCATTCAGTACCCAAATATTTCTTCTTTTGCTCTTCATTTCCAGCCAGAAGGACTGGGGAAAGAGCTAGGGAAGGTCCAGCGACCGCCGTTTGTATTCCGGTGCAACCGTAGGCCAAGGCTTCCGTTGCGACGCACATTTGAAGGGTCGACATGCCGGGGCCGCCTTGAAATCTTCTTTTTTCTTTTCTTTTTTTACAGTTTTTCATATACAAAGTAGTCCCTAGAGCAGACCTTGAAGGTTTCCCTCTAGGGATCGCCTTACTCCCTCTATAGGGGCGCTAAAGCTTGCAAAAGTGGCCCCTCTAGGGGGTATGTTAGCGGTCTCCATACGTCTTTTTATCTATCCAAATTCAACAAAAACTTGAAAAAAAACCACTATAGGGACCACTTAAGCTTAAAGGGGCTTAGGAGTCAGACTTTAACTCCTATAAGGACCGCTTAAACTTTACCCCTATAAGGAGAATTATATTATCTCCTATAGGCTATAGTCTTTTTTACTAACCTTTCTAGGGACCACTCTGGTATCTGCTCAAATTCTCGAAGTCTTCAAAAAAAAAAAAGCAAAAAAAAAATCGCGAAAAAATTTTTCTCTATCTAAAAATATAATTATATAAGCCAAATCAAACAAAAGTGCCTAGAAATTTTGAAAGTTTTTTGAAATCACTAGAGTTACCACTTGAAGATTTGTCTATTTATTTGAATAATAGGGTTTTTTTGAACTAGAGAGAAGTATATTTTTCATCAATTCTGGAAGTCAAACAAAAAAACTTTAATTTCGAAAAAAAGGAATTTTTGAGCTGAAAGCTTTTTGAATGTACTTATAAAAAAATTATTCTTTTTTTGAATTTCTTCCTCACAAAAAAATCAACCTTGAAATAATAAAAAAACAATTTCAGCAAAAATAAAAAAATAAAAAGCTTTCTTTTAAACAGATAATGATATTTCAAGTAACTTTCAAGTTAAAAAAAGTTGACTTATAAGCAACTCATAAAAATCGACTAATATGTATAGGAAACATAAAAAAAATTTATATTATAAATTACACCCTTATCGATTCTTCTACACTCACCGTACTTCTCGGGAATCACCGAGTTCATCAAACCCAAAGAATGAGCCTGCTTAACGATGTCCCAGGGGAACTCGCCGGTCTCGTCGTACTTTTTCGCGTTTGGGATCAACACCTTCAGAATTTACCCATTTATCATTTCAAATCCTCTTCTTCTCATTCAAAACCTCCTTGGAGAACTTCAGAGCCATACTCTGAACCTCGCGTTCCGTTTCGCCGAGTTCTAAAAACTCCATTTTTCTACTTTGTTTTCTCGATTTTCTTACCGAAACTACATTGTCTAGCGGTGGTCGACGACAGACGGCTGAAAACACGGGAAAGCATTCTGAAATGAATATCCAACTGAATTTGCGAAAAGAAGTAAATAATATATAAGACGGTCAACAAAAAACGTGGCCTTTGATAAATTGCCATTCTGCAAAGAGGAAAATGATAAGAAAACTAGAAAACAAGAGTACAAGGTGGCACGGGACTTTGACCCTTTTGTGAAGCGGAAAAAAGACCATCCAAGAAAGCTTTCGATAAATATTTTCAAATTAAAAAAAGGCAAAAATGAAAAAAAGTCCTTACTTTGTCTGTTGTCATAATTATAAAAACATAAACTGGTTTTTGCACTCTCGAATTCGTTTTTCCGTTCAGATAAAAACTTCAGGATTGAAACAAGGTAGAACAGGATGTAATTTATTGAAGAACCTTTTTGAAGCATTAAAATGAGCGCAGGCTAATTTTCAAATTTATTAAGACGACGATCTTTTTTGTAGTATTTTATTAGGTCAACTTCTTCTGCACTTTTTTTAAAAGCAAAAATTTTTTTAAGATTTTTGAAAAAAACAACTAAACAATAAACTTAAATTAAGTGAAAAAAACTTAGAAAAAAATATTGAAAAAAATTGTGAAACGGGCGGACTGTCGTAAGATTCGATGTCTTGTGCAAAACACCTCTCTACGGATATCCTGATGACCGTATCTCCAAAATTAAATTGCCGTGGTTTAAGCCAATTTTTTTTTGTATTGAATTACGCTTTCCTTTGATATTATTCGACAACTTCGAAACATTCGCTGTAATCCGAAAGAACAAACTTTGCATAAACGCCGACGTAAAGTTCAAATCGACAATAAACGCAAATTTATGGGCGAAAAATCGGAGAAAAAAGACACATGGCCGACAAATACACGCGGAACGCTATCGCCTCAACAACACAAACATCGGAGGCTACAATGTAGCCGAGGGACTTTTTTTTTTCGTTCCTTCCAGGCGCTTTCAGCAACTTTACACATGGAAATCAAAGAGACGAGTGAAAATTTCCAAATTTTTATTGTTTATTGTTTAGATTTTGGCATTGAGTTTTAGTTTTCAGGATTCGCCGGAGCTGGAGCTGGAGGTGGAGCTTGAACAAGCTTTTGAAATATGGGAAAGTTTTCGATACAAATTTACCTGGTGCTTTAATTTCGACCTGACCCAATTTATAAGCTGGACCAAGATAATCGGTCATACAGTCCCAGTCGGGCGGCGCCATCCGGTTCGACTTTGTTTTCTAGATATAATTTTGAATAAAATAAGGGAATTGATAATCTTTGAAATATAAAACTGTACTACTAATCGATTGGTATACATTTCGCCGAGGAAAACCCGCATTTTTTGGACTTTTTTCACTTTCCAATCACAAAATGTACCGTAACCCAAAAACCCCTACAGTAACCTTTTATGACGTGTACAGAAAAAGTCTTCGAAATTGGATTACCTATCGATTGATATAAATTTCAACCAGATAAACTCCATTTTTTGGACTTTTTTCACTTTCCAATCACAAAAAGTACCGTAACTCAATAAAATTCTACAGTAACCTTGACTTTCATGTACTGAAAAATTTTTCCAAATTGGATTACCTATCGATTGATATACATTTGGAGCAGGGAAATTCCATTTTTTTGAACTTTATTCTCTTTCATTATACAAAATGTACCGTAACCCAAGAAGTTCTACAGTAACCTTAATTTACATATACTGAAAAAGTCTTCGAATTTGCATTACCTATCGATCGATATCCATTCCAACCAGAAAAACTCAATTTTTCGGAATTTTGTACACCTTCCAAGTGCAAAAAGCATCGTAACCCAAAAACTTCTACAGTAACCTCTGATGACATGTACTGAAAAAGTCGTCCAAATTGCATTACCTATCGATTGATATACATTTGAACAAGAAAAACTCAATTTTTCCAAAGTTTATAGACCTTCCAACTACAAAATGTACCGTAACTCGAAAAAATCCTACAGTAACCCCAAAAGACATGTACTGAAAAAGCTTCAAAATTGCATTAACTATCAATTGACATATAATTTGAACAGCATTTTTCTTTCTGAACCCCTATAAACGGACCGTGAAACACTCATCAATGAGAACCCAGATTTTGTCGTAGTCGCAGTACTCGCTGGGCTCCTTGACATTATCGATTGATTTCAAAATTAGATGGAAATTGTGCGCGACGTCTGGCTGACGGAACATCTGAACATGGAGATCATGAATTTTTCTGAAAACCTTTAAAAAAACCTTGGCAAAATTTTCTTCCTTCCGGTAAAACTCCTTCATACCCATGACTTCCTTCTCGTTTTGCTAATAATTTAGAGATTTTGAGCGATTTCGTGATAAAAAAAAGCAGCGAAAATGTCTCAAAATAGAAAAAAAACCTTGTGAAGGCTATTCCAAGGAAGGCCGTGCATCAGAAATTCGATAACCATGTAGAACCAGCTTTCCATGTCGTCTTTGTAGCCGACGGGTTTCTGGAGAACTCATTTCGAAGCATTCTTCGAACAGTCTGACTTATCTGCACTCTCTCTTATCTCTAATGAGAGGAAAAGAGAGCTTTTTTTAATTTGGTACTCGTGTCTTCTTTTGCGCCCGACTAGAACCGATTTACGCTCGATGGATTAAAAAAGCATAAGCCAAAAATGAGTTGAAATAAAAGATGTCCCTTTCTATCACAATGCAAACAAAAATACGAGAAATTTGCGAAAAATTCTTTTTTTTTTTGCGCCCGACTAGAACCGTTTTACGCTCGATGACCTCGAAGAGAATTAGCCGAAACATGATTCGAATAAAACAAATTTCCTATCCCACAGCCGTTCAAAATGCGAGAAACTTTCAGAAATGCTCATGTTTTTGCGCCCGACCATAAGACGACTTACGCTCGATTACTTGAAAATAACAGACTTAAGGCGAAAAAATGACCGAAAAAACGAGAAAAACTGATAATTCAATCTCGTCTAGCCATTCCAAATGCGACCGGACAAAAAATAGCACGACAAATTTTTTTTTTTCTAGTTTCTGACGCATTTTTCAGGTTTCACAGTTTGCTGTTTCATTGTGTTTCGCAGCGATTTCACGAATCTTCCCATTTTTCTTCTGGAATTCTTCCTACGAACCGATCGATGAGCGTTGAGACTGGCATATTTGAGGATTCCTCGGTAATTTACGCCTTTTCGGAGTTTTTTCTCCTCCTCGTCCCCGTCATCCTTCGTTTCTTCGCCGACTCCTCTGAAAAGCATTTTTCAAAGATCATTCGCAAGGATTTTGAAAAGTCTGACTCGTCTGGGCTCTCTTCTCACTCATCTGCGAGGTCATAGTAAAATGAAAATAGCACGTAAAGGTGAGAGAGTCGCAGAGAAATCAGATTTTTTTGAATTTAACCGTTTGATAGAGCACGCGAGGACTTCAAATGCTTCAGTGTTGCGAAAAATTGGCTCGGGAGAACTTTTATTGCACCCGACTATAAACTACTTGCGCATCGAGATATTCTTCAGCACAGGAAAAGAAAAACCACTCAAATTCAACCTCTGACCTTCCTTTTTTCAGGTCAAAAGACGATACAACCGCAAGAAAAAGGCTCAACACATGGGGAAGAACTCTTATTGCACCCGACTCCAAACTACTTGCGCGCAAAGGTATCCCAAGTTCATTCTAGCCTTCATTTTCAACCTCCATGAGTATTTCTGATCTTTTTGGAACGCACTTCGGCCTCTTACAGAATCCGAAATCGATGAAATAGACGAAATGATGGGTTTTGTTGTCCTCCAACCCGACGCAAAAGTGCGACGGCTTGATGTCCCGATGGATGAAGCCGTTCTTCAAGAAAATCGAGGTTTTGAGAGAAAAGAAAGGAAATTAGGAAAAGGACTAAAAAAAGACTGAGAAAACAAAGCGCGTCCTGTAGGAGTCTGTTCAAATTTTGATCTACAATGACGTCATGCGAAAACGCTCTATGATTGGTTTAGGGGCGGAGCTTGAGCGATGACACTTGATAGTCAAAATCTGAACAGACTATAACTGACAAGGAAGGCCACTTTGTTTGGAATCATCCGCAAAATTCGCCCAAAAACTGTCTACAGGGATTTTTTCCATTCGGTCCACCTGTCATATAGACTTTTCTTAGACCTTAATTTTTGCGGTCCCGACGAGATTTCTGGCGCGAAAAACAAATTCAAACACGAACGCTCTAGTTTTTCATGTTTTATTCATTCGGATGAAATTCCAGTGTCATTCATAATAAAACAAAAAAGGTTCACAAAATACTAAAAAGACGAGTCGCGTTTAAATCAGCATTTCCCGCCAAAATCTCATCACCTTCCTTGTTCGATAAGAATTTAATTAATTAACCTTCCAGATTTGAAAAGTGAGACTGGTAGATTGACAAAGGCGATGCGTTGCGTGTGCGACGCGGCTTTTACGTGGGGAATTTAAGCCACGGCATTTTTCTGATTTTTTTTTGTTTTAAAACACAGGGCGTGTTGAAAGTATTTCCGCGAAATTCAAAATAGCCACCAGAAAATGAAAAATATAACTGAATTTCAGTTAGCGAAAATTACATTGAACGCGGCGTGTGTCAGAGCGTCGCAGTGTATGCACACGACACTCTACACTTTACTGAAAAAATATGGGCGGGCGGTCGCCAAAAAAAAATGCCGTCTCAGGTCAAACGCAATCATAAAAGAATGAAGAGAAAAAGTTTTTTGGTATTTTTATACTTCTATCCGTTCCAGTGAATCTTTTGAAAACCATAAAAGTTACAATTTATTGAAAAACTGTCAAAAAAGAAGAAAAAATTGGTGGCTCGAGGTTGATCTCGAGTTTCGCGCCAAAAAAACCGCGTCGCGTACGCAACGCGTCACCCTTTGTCAATCTACTCATCTTGCCTTTTAAGACGGGAAGGATTTATTATATTAGGAAAAATATGAACTTTCAAATTCATTACAGATCATTACAGACCTTGGCAGAGTGCCAAATTTATCCAGGCCTCATGAGATTTTTTGGACCAATTTTCGAAAAATTACAAAAATTCCATCAAAATGTCCTCCCTTCTCACAACAAAGGTCAATAAACTTTTTTCTGGGGAGTTCCTAAAAATTGGCTAGAACACTTCTAGTTGTACCAGAAACAGATCCTGACAGTCTCAACCTGCAAAATATCTTAATTATCGAGAAAAAAGGGCTCAAACCCCAAAAATAGCTCATTTTAACGGGTTTTTCTCTGATTTCAGGCCTTGCTTCTCGAAAATTAGGAAGTTTTGCAGGTTGAGTCTTTCAGGATCTATTTCTGGTCCATCAAGGAGTTTTCTGGCCGTTTTTCAGGGAATTTTCAACCACAAGTTGATATAGTCTGTTCAGGTTTTGAATTTCAAGTCGTCGCTCAAGCTCCGCCCCTAATAGCGCGATAAACCAATCAGAGAGCGAGCCATCCACAGAGTCTTTTTGAATGACGTCACTGCATTTGACATTCAAAATCTGAACAAACTATATGACCTTCCTTCTCAGGCTTTCGAGTGATTTTCCATATTTTCTATTTGAATATTTTATAATTTTTATGTACCTTCAAAAACCTCGAGTTTTGAAAAAATTTAGCTTCATTTGGTTCGATTTTAACGAGGCGAGGGGGTTCTTGTTCAAAATTTGAAAAGATATCTAGATAATGACCCGATGGAGATCTCGAACGGCGGAAAGAGTCTGTTCGGCGAGGTGAAGACAAGTCGGGAGGGTGTATTTTCCGTCGGTCGTCTCGCTGATCAAGTCAACCAGGTTCTTGCCCAGCTTCAAGGAAATTCAATTAATTTACGACATTTTTATCAGTTAAATCCAATTTGAGACTTTTCCAGGATTCTTAAAAGGCCCGAAAGCTTGGAATGATCAATCTTATGTTCAAAATACCTTTTTCAAATTCTTGCCCAAAGCCCAGAAAGATTGTATAACTAAGGAAAGCCAGAGTGGCCCCTTGAGGGGTAACCTTACGGCCAAGAGAAGGTTTCCCTCTAAAAACCCTAATTACCTCTCTCTATAGGGGCACTAAAGCTTGAAAAAGCGGCCACTCTAGGGGCTTCAATTATTTGTCACGCTAGGGGAGCATATTAGCTGCCCCTATACGTCTTTTTTATTTTCAAATCAAAAAAAAAAATTCAAAAATCCCTATAGAGGCAGAACTAAAGCTATAGGGGTTTAGTTAGGGACCGCAAAGCCACGCCCCTTTTCGCGATAGAAAAAGTGGCTTTTTTTTGGTTTTCAACTTTCATTTTGTTGTAGTTGTAAAAATATGTGGAACTGGCGAATAAAATTTGACACACATGTACAGAAAAAGCTTCCTCTTTCGTTTAAAAAAATATTTCACGCTTTTTTTGATGCGTTCTCGCGGAATGTCGTACAAAAAAACGTGAATGGAGCTAAAAAAATTTTTGTCATTTTTTTGCTTTTTTTCATGTGTTTTTCAGGTCCAACGCACTCTTTTTTTTTAAATAATGATTTTTGATTCAAGTAACGGTAATTTTAAAACAATAAAATAAAAAAATTCGTCTTTGCCAAAAAAATTTTAGGGAGTGCCGAAAGTCATAATTCAAAAATATCGTTAATAAGCGAATATAATCGAGTTTTTTTGTTTTTCTTAAAAAAACTTAGACCATGGGCTTACTTAAATATTTCTCTATAGCATTTTTGCTTGAAAAAATTTTTTAATACCCAAAAATGCTCTTTGAAACTAGAGAAAAAAATTAGCGGCGTTTATCACACAAAAAGCGGTCGAAAGCAGGTTTTTTGAACATAATTTCAAGCCGAGAAAAAGGGAAAATATGACTTTGAATAACACTAAAGAGGCCCCTCAGCTTCAGATTTTTTTTTAATATGCTATATCTACTCTTTACGCTCATAAATTGACCAGATCCGTTCAGTTTGAACTCAGAATTGCTCACCAATGGGTAAATAATGAAAAGAAATCGATTCGGGACGGTGCCACGTTCCTCAGAAATCACGAAATGCGGCGATTGGATCGTACAGGCGGCGAGGACACTCGAGGCTTGTCGCAGAAGCTGAAAAATCCAGGTAATGAGCTGTAGAATGAGCAATAAATATCACGGGCAAAGTCCAGAAGGACCTAGAAAGAACCTTTAAGAAAAGGCTTAACCCGTATCTTTTTTTCTCGACCTTTTTCTGGAAATTTAGAAGACGGTCAAAGAAACGTCCGACACTTTTTATAAGAGGTCAAAAAAGCTCTAGATTTCAAAAAGCTTTAATCAGAAAAGAGATTCAGAAATGCCTTCTTTTAAAAGCTCAAAAAAAGCTCTAGATTCTTCTTTTTGAAGCATTTTCGAGGCCGTTCGCAAGTCTTTTTCAAATCTTCTTTTTCACGTTCCCAAAGAAAGCAAAAGCTCATTTTTCAGTTCCTGATAAGGTTCGAAATATTCTTCAAAGTTTCTGTTCCTCGCTTTTTCAGGCAATTCTGATACTTGCGACCTCCATTTTCAACTTTGTATATGCTTTATTCAGGAAAGAGATTCAGAAAGGCCTTCTGAAGGCTTCTTCTAATACTTTTGAACATTGCCTGTGATAACTCGATCCGAAAGCGAAGTTTTCCCTTTTTCCGATTAATTTTAAATCAGCACACCTTAAAGTGCTTCTGTACAAAGTTTATTCAAATCTTCATATCTCTTGAACTTCCCAAAAGGTTCCTTATTTCTCAAGAAATCCCAAAAAAAACCCAAGTACCGATCTTTTCAGCTTCAACGACTCGCACTTCATCGCGAAGGTCATGTTGTCGCCCTCGCGCTTCACTTTGTAAATCGAACCAAATGTTCCAGTCCCGACGGCTTTCACCACCTTGAAATGTTCGAAATATAAAGCAAAAAAAAAAAGGAAAATTCGCAAAACTTTCCTTCAGGCTCTTTATTAAAGCTTTTAGCGCACCCGACCAAAACCTACTTGCAAAAAGAGACATTTTAAAGCGTATGAAGGCTAAACTTGGAGCCCACGTGATGATCGTTTCAAAATTATCTTTTTTTCATAAATGCTTTTTCATCAAATCTTCCAGCGCACCCGACCTAAACCTACTTGCGCAAAGCGGCATTTTATAGCTCATATAGGGGCTAAGTACACATTCAATCTTGCTAGGCGTTCTAAGATTAGAGATTTCTCGGAGAACAGGTTTTCAGGAACGGAACTACACTAAGTTTCTCAACGCACCCGACCAGAAACTACTTGTGCTGCGTGGCATTCTGTAGCATATATATAATAGCTAAAGTCGCTAGAAGTCGGGCGCAGCTTTTAGCCTGGCCACTACTCGAAAAAATCTGACTTCTCTGTGCCTCTCTCTCTTGTTACCACGCTATTTCCAAGTTTCTATGACCTTGCCGGCGAGAGAAAAGAGGGTGCAGACAGTTTCGACTTGTGGAGAAAGATATAAACTAGAAACCCGGAGGGGTTAGGAAAAACAACAGTCTCTATAGAGGATAGCATAGTGCTTCCTGAAGGGGTGGCCCCTATAAAGTTCTGATTACCAGCCCCTGAAGCTTAAGTGGTCCCTATAGGAGCTTTTCAATTTTCGTTCAAAGTTGAAGATTAAAAATTCGTGTATGGACTACTAGCGTGCTCCCCTAGAGTGGCCACTTTTGCAAGCTTTAGTGCTCCCTAAAGGGGGATATAAGGGAATCCCTGAAGGGGAGCCTCTAGGGATCACTCTGGCGTTTCCTAGGCAAAATGAAAAGCAATTTCGATACCTCATAGGTTCCTTTTTGAGCTCTGATGACTTCTTTGGCTCCTTTCGGACCGGGGGCGGCCATCTTGGACTTCAGTTTGAAAGAATGACAAGTGGGATTCGGGAATCGACTCGTCACGTTGAACGTGAGTATTTTTTATATCCTTGACTTTAACACGCTGTCAACGACATTTGTGCTCGGGATGATCAAAAAACCAACTTGCCAAACACAAAAAGTACCGTATCTAAAAAAATTTCTACAGTAACCCGTGATGGTATGTACTGAAAAAGTTTTTGAAATTGCAATACCTATCGATTGATATACAACTTGCCCATAAAAAATCAGAAATATTTAAATACGCCTGTGAACACTTACCTACCCTAACCCGGCTACAGTAAGAGGGAACGGCTCAAAAAGTTGGGTCCGAAATTCTGATCTGGCTATCCAACTGGATGAAGTTTCATCAAAATCAAAAAAATAACTTTTTTTTGTGACTACTAAATTCTGAAAATTGCAGAGACAGTGTAAATTCGTTATCACAAAAAGCCGTGAAACTAGAATTTCGGGGGAAAAAAATGAATAGAAAATCTTTATTGAACCCTTTTTCATTCAATGCATTTCGAAGCTCAAAATATGTACAAATATCAACAAGAAACACGATTCAAGCGATTCTCCCGTTGATTCTTCGCGTCCTGTGGGGCGCCGGTTCATTGAAGGCGTTCCTCAACTGGGAGAAATAAATCTCCGTTTCTTTCCGATGATCTTTGTAGATCATTTGTTCGCCGAGGGTCGATTTCGGCTGCACTTGGCTCGTTTTTCTGCCGCAGGCCATCTGAAGAAAATAATCGAACTTTTAAAAAATGCTCTTGAAAAAGCCGAATTCCCAGCATAAATGCCGGCCTCACTAGTTCAAAATTCAACCTTTTCAATTGGATTTCTTGAATTTTCTTTTCAATAATTCTTCTACAGATATACCCACCAATCTTGTCGTTTCCCTTTGCCATTCGGGCAAGTGTGCATGCACCACGACGGGTAAAACCATACCGTATCTAAAAATTCTCATTTTCAGGGACACCATAGCTGTCGATAGAGGACACTTAAATAATCCATTCTAAAAATTAAAAAGATCCTTATAGGGAGCACTTAGGGGCTTCGGGGTCAGATCCTAAACTCCTGTATGAACCAGCTAAGTGTGAAAATCTCAAGTGGCCCCTCAAGAGACTTGGATAGGAGACTTAGGTGGTCACTGAAAACTTATAGATGCCACTATTTTGCGTCTTCGTGGCCACTAAAACTAGTAGTGGTCCAGATTACTATAGTCAATGTTTCCCGACTTGAAAGAGGAAGGAGGCGGGGCAAGGGGCGGGACGCGTAGCGTGTGCGTTCGCGGTTCTTGGCACGTGTTCAATTCAATTGCCGCCAACTATTTGAAAAGCTCGGCAACCGCTCTTTTTCAATTTTTTCTACTATTTTTTGATGCAAACATGAACATAATCAATAATTAATTGAAAAGGGAATGAAAAAAGCGGAAAACGGGCTTTTCAAAGAGTCGATGGCGGTTGAATTGGACACGTGCCAAGGACCGCGTACGCACACGCTACGCGTCCCGCCCCTCCTCAGCAAGTATGGCGTAAGGTGCATTCTACTTTTTTGCACTCTGGTGCGTAATTAGGGTCTACACCGTGCGATTTCGGTGACTTTTTGGTGTCAAATCAGTGCTTTTAGCGCGCTGCACCAGTGCGACACCAAAAAAGCATCAAAACTGCACGGCGCAGACTCCAGTTTAGCACCAGAGTGCAAAAAAAGCAGAATGCACCGTGCGCCATCCGTGCTGAGTCGCCCCGCCTCCCTCGCCTTTCAAGTCGGGAAACATTGACTATATAGTGGCCGCTAAAACGTCAAAACTCTAAAGTGGCCACTAAATTTCGATTTGACCCCTCTAGGGAGCCTAATTATGTACCCTTCAGGGGCTGCTTTCCCCCTAACCCCTCTAGTGACCCCTCTACCTTAATTGGAGCTTAAAACTCACGCTAGGCAAAAAAAATTAAAGAGAAGATAGGAAATACAGAGAATCTTGGGTGGGACTGCAAACTCGTCCATTAACAACATCAAAGTCGAGCCGATATTGAACACGATTATCACGCCTTGGACACTTTTTAGGAGCTAAACATGTCAATTTCACGTTTTCCTACTTATTTTGGGCAAACCTCACAAGTTTTGACATTTTCGGCGACTTGAAATCGCTCGCTTAATGAATAATGCCGACCGAATTTGTGAGAACATTCGATTAAACTTCTGAATTTTCCCATTTTCTTTCACTTTTTTGACCAAACTAACGTGTGTCTTTTCAGATTTCGTCGTAGGACCAGTAAGAGAACGATATATCCTAATAAATTCAGAAAGATGAAACTCAGAACATGAGCCCAAACTGGGACAAGGCCTGGAAAAAGGATTTTTGAATGGTTTAGAATTATTTTTTTTCAATTTCAAAGCTTTTAAGTGAGAAAAAAGGCCTGAAAAAATAGATTCCGAATAGTAAAAAGCCAAAAAAAAACCATAATCTTAAAATTTAGACGTTTTTTGAGTGATTGTTTAAATTTGTTTGGCGAAAGTTTCTCAAAAGCTACTAGTTATAAATCTATGAAAAAAATTCACAAAAAAATCACAAAAAAATTAAACATTTTTTTCGCTTATTTAGAATCAGAAAGCTTTTCTTTTCTTTTTTTGTTCTAAATTTTGAAAAATAAGATTAAAAAAAGGCCTGGAAAAAAATTTCAAGCAGTAAAAAGCCGGAGAAATTCAAAATTTCACAGTTCTGACATTTTTTTACCTTTTTGTACCTCATGCCACAAAAAAATATTTGTACCATAAAAAAATATTTTAAAAAGTTTAAAAAGAGAATAAAGCTAAAAAAATTTCAAAAATTAAAAAAATCACAATTTTAAAAAAATTCGTTTCAAGATTTTTTTCATATATTTCAGATCTTTTTTTGAGTTCAAAATTAGATTTTTAAATTTTTTTCTCTCAAAAAAATGTCATAAAACGGATCAAAAATAGAACGACGAAAAAAACTGAAATTTTTCAAAACCAAGGGAGTATCTCATTTTTTAAGCCATTCCAAATGCGACCTTTTTTAAAACTCCTCTCAAGGTTTTAGGAACTTACACTGAATATAAATGAAGCCAGAAGTGAAGCAAAACGGATGAAAAACCGATAAAATGACAAAAGAAACCCAAAAACGGAACTTTTTCTCGTAGTCTTTCACGAGAAACGTGGCGAATATTCTGGATTTTTATAATTCTCGAAATTCGGAATAAGGGTACCTTTCAACGGTGAAAGTTGGCAATATATAGAAAGCTATAAATAAGCAAATCGTGCGGACAAAACTCGCATAATAAAGGATTTCTTGTGATTCTTCATCTGAATATTAACGATTTTGAATAAAAATCGCATTTTTTATTTCACAAGGAGGGTCTTTTTTCTTGAGGCTGGAAATTTCCTAGAAATTGGCCTGAATACTCTCTGATGTACCAGAAAAAGGTTCTGAAAATATCCCCCTGAAAAACTTCCAAGTTTTTGAGAAACGACACACCAAAGTCAAAGAAAGTCTCCATAATCTGTTGAAATAGGTTTTTTGAGACTTTCAGCACCAAAAGAACACCTGGAAGCCAAAGAAAACCATGGAAATCGGTCAAAATATGGGTTTTGGACACTTTCAGTTCATTGAGAGGCCCCTTAAAATCGGAAAAAAGCCTAAAAATCCTTACAAAGAGGTTTTTCGAGGCTCTGAAAACCCGAAAAACGCTTCTTAGTCAAATAAAAACCCTAAAAATCGGTTTGAAATGGACTATTTGAAGACTTTAGGCCACCAAAAACACCTCAAAATCAGAGAAAATTCTCGAAATCCGTTAAAATAGGCCTTTTTTGGGCTTTGAGCCTCTGAAGAACACCTCAAAATCGGAAAAAACTCTGAAAATACTTACAAAGAGGTTTCTCGAGGTTCTGAGAACCCAAGGAACACCTTGAAATCAACGAAAGCCTTGAAAACCCATTAAAATAGGTTTCATTGCGTCTCTGAGCCCACAAAATGCGTTTACATAGGTTATTTTGAACCTTGTTTATCGATAACTAGGACCTTTCCCAGGTTGAGTCAGAACCTTCATCTGGTACCTCTAGAAGCATTCTGGCCAATTTTCAGGAAATTTCCAACCTCCGAATGAAATTTCCTCTCTTGTTTTTTTTTTTTTTAAATTTCCAAGTCCTTTTTTTCCACACACCCTCTTCCTGTTGCCGCAATTGATAATATATCGTTACACAACGGGCCAAAATCGAGAAAAAATATTGGCCGCCGTAATTAATGAATAGAAAATTCAGGTTGAAATGCATGGCCCTGACGAACATTAGCAGATAAAACGTGTAGCAAAATTCAATCCAACTGAAATTTTTCATCATTTTTCTTGTAGAATCCGCAATTTTTAAAAATGATAATTCCCACTTCAACTGAATATATTCGATTTTTTAATTTAGCAAGTGCGCTCCACTGAACTCACAGAGTTACTCGGATTTCAGACGCGCCTTGGACAGTTCTGAGCATTTCTAGTGACCACTTTAGGGGTTTCAGCTCTCTTAAGTTATCCCTGGAGTGGAATGTCTAGTTCTAGAAGTTCTAGTGGCCACTTCAGGGGTGTCAGCACACTTTAGTGGTCCCTAAAGTCGTATGTCTTCTTCTAGAAGTTCTAGGGGCCACTTCAGGGGTGTCAGCACACTTTAGTGGTCCCTAGAGTCGTATGTCTACTTCTAGAAGTTCTAGGGGCCACTTCAGGGGTGTCAGCACACTTTAGTGGTCCCTAGAGTCGTATGTCTACTTCTAGAAGTTCTAGGGGCCACTTCAGGGGTGTCAGCACACTTTAGTGGTCCCTAGAGTCGTATGTCTACTTCTAGAAGTTCTAGGGGCCACTTCAGGGGTGTCAGCACACTTTAGTGGTCCCTAGAGTCGTATGTCTACTTCTAGAAGTTCTAGGGGCCACTTCAGGGGTGTCAGCACACTTTAGTGGTCCCTAGAGTCGTATGTCTACTTCTAGAAGTTCTAGGGGCCACTTCAGGGGCGTCAGCAAACTTAAGTGATCCCTAGAGTTGAATTTATATTTCTAGCCTTCCTAGTGACCACTTCAGGGATGTCAGCACACTTTAGTGGTCCCTAGAGTCGTATGTCTACTTCTAGCAGTTCTAGGGGCCACTTCAGGGGCGTCAGCAAACTTAAGTGATCCCTAGAGTTGAATTTATATTTCTAGCCTTCCTAGTGACCACTTCAGGGATGTCAGCACACTTTAGTGGTCCCTAGAGTCGTATGTCTACTTCTAGCAGTTCTAGGGGACACTTTAGGGACTTGAACCTTCTTAAGTGATCCCCAAGAGTCGCTGGTATACTTCTAGAAGTTCTAGGGGCCACTTCAGGGACGAGAACCCTCTTAAGTAATCTCTAAAGACGCTGGTCTACTTTTAGAAGTTCTAGGGGTCACTTTCGGGACGTCAGCGGTCTAAAGTGATCCCTAGAGTCACATGCCTACTTCTAGCAGTTCTAGGGGACACTTTAGGGTCGTCATCGTTCTCAAGTGATTCCTAGACTTGCATTTTTTTTTCTAGCATTTCTAGGGTCCACTTTTGGGGTGAGAGCATTCTTAAGTGATCCCTAGAGTCGCTGGTCTACTTCTAGAAGTTCTAGGGGCCACTTCGGGGACGTCAGCGCTCTCAAGTGATTCCTAGACATGCATTTCCATTTCTAGCATTTCTAGCATTTCTAGTGACAACTTCAGTGACGTCAACCCTTTTAAGTGATCCCTAAAGTCGGTGGTCTACTTCTAGAAGTTCTAGTGGTCACTTTAGGGGTTCCAGCACTCTTAAGTGACCCCTAGAGTTGCCTAGGTGTATCAGACATGCTACAGACCCCAATCCAGAGTGAGTAGGCGGAAAAGGCCTCCCGCGGGACTTATGCGGGTAGAAAATAGGTTCACCAAATATTCTACCCGTCATTTTTCATTTCCAAAAAAATGGTCTCGGAGAGATTTGAGAAATAGTGAGCGAAAACTGGAGATTTTTAGAGAAATCTAGGCATTTTCGTGGGACAACTTAGTGACTAATGAGAACTAGGATGAAAATGACGTCATTATCACCAGCATATGACGTCATTTTTGCGTTTTTTTACTTGTTAATTGTAGCTTGAAATCATCAAAAATGACGTCATTATTTTTCATTTTCGAGTGATAAAAGTCAAAACAAACAAAAGTACATAAATATCCACCTGGAAAAACAAAATTAAAAAAGAATTTACCCAGGGGGATCCCTCTAACATCTACGTCACCATTATCGAAAAAATTTATAACCTCAAAATAAATTTTAAAAAATGTATTTTGGACCTTATAAACCATTTTCAACCATTTCATGACCCCTCAATTACCTGAGAAATAATAAAAACGCCTCGATTTTATAGGTAATTTCGACCAAAGACGTCAAATCCTCCAATTTGACGACAGTAGTATTGAGCACCATTATGAGACGAGCTTCACTACGGAACATACTGAAAAATTTTGAATGATTTCTTTTATTTTTGCATAAGAGATAAAAATGAAAACTTTCGAAAATTCAGCGACTTGAAAAAAATAGAAAAACTTAACGCGTCGCGGTTGCGCCGCGTCAAGCCATTCCAAATGCGGCTATAAATCTCTAAAGGCGACTTGAAAAAAAGTCCTGATTTTAATGGTTAATAAGTAACTATGATGCTTGAAAAATTTTCTCAAAAAAATAGAAGTTTTTTTCCAATTTTTTTTTCTCGATAAGTTAGAAATTAGAGAAGTGGTTACATTGAAAAAAATTTTTTTTTCCTCTATAATGATTTTTTTCACTTCGTTAGTGAGGGGGAAACTAACAATGAAACACTATGCTACTAAATGAAGGGAAAAACATTTTTTTACATGCATCTTTAAAAAAAAAAAACGAATTTGAAGCTTAAAACTCTCATTTTACAAGGTTTTACGGATCTTGACTTGATTTTTTTCATAGTTTAACGAATTTTATTCAAATATGTATGAAAATATTGAAAAATATTTCTTTATTAAACCACAAAAAAAGTGAACTCAAGGCACAGAACTTTTTAAATAAAAAAAGTTTTTTTCTTGAAATTAATTTCTGCAAAAAAAGCTTATGCAAATTGAGAGCAGGACAGAGGTCAAAAAAAAAAACATAAAAAAACCGGATATCAATTCCAGAGTTCAAGACCGCCCAATGCACTCAATGAACTTTATGAGATTGCTGACAAAAACTTCTTCGAATCATTTTTGAAAAGAAGTTTTTCTTTACTTAGGAACTCCAGAGTGGTCCCTAGAGGGGTCATGGTAGAAAGAATCCCCTGAAGGGGACAAAATAGTGCTCTCTAGAGGGCTAAAATTTGGGTGGTCCTTCAGGGTTAAAGCTCCTGGAGCCTAAGTGGTCCCAAAAGTGGTCTTTAAATTTTTTTTTATGATTTGAAAGAGAAAAAGACGTATACTAGCATGCTCCCCTAGAGTGACCACTTTAGCAAGATTTAGCGCTTCCTAAAGGGAGAAGTTAAGGAAATCAAGGACCCCTAAGATTGTCCCTCTAGGGACCACTTGGGCGTTCTTAAAAAGTGGCCACTTTTGCAAGCTTTAGTGATCCCTAAAGGGGGAGGTAAGGTTCTCAAGGACCCCTAAGATTGCCCCTCTAGGAACCACTTGGACATTTCTAAGAAGCGGCCACTTTAGCAAGATTTAGCGCTCCCTAAGAAGGAAGTTAGGGAAATCAAGGACCCGTAAGATTGCCCCTCTAGGGACCACTTGGGCATTTCTAAGAAGCGGCCACTTTCCCCTTGTTTAGCGCCCCCTATAGGTGGCCCTTGAGAAGAAGCTTAAAGTACCCCTCTAGGGACCACTCTGCAGTTCCTAAGCGCGAAACGGGCAGGTGCGATTCTACGCAATCATCTTTGAAGCTCATGATTATATTTAATTATTAATGTTGCCTACATATTCGTCTAAAAACCTACACAGTCAAATTAGAATCACCAACCGGAGTCCATATTCATAAATAAGTGCAAAATAAAAGAAATTTGTTCCGAAATGAGCTTTTCAAGTCAAAGACGGCTGTTAATGAGCCACGCCTTGTTAAACTCGGTGGAAAAAAAAGGTTCATTTTTTTGAAGAATTTAAGAAAAAAAGAGTTCTAATAGGAATCGAGTTATTTTTGGCTTCATTATATGGCCAAAAGTCTTGCATGGCCCAAAAAATAAACAAAAAAAAACGTTTAATTGTTTTTTATAATGAGCTATGCTCCTTTAACCCTCTTAGCAAAGATTTCTGCATAATCTAGACGAAGGACAAGCCTTTTTTTGAATGAAATTTATAATTTAAAAACTGGGAATTTATGCAATTTTATGAGAAAAAAATTGTTTTCATTAAGCTTCGGAACTGATTTCATTGAAGAAAAAAATGGATATTATCATTTAAAAAAACATTATTTCTTATTGAAAAAAATGGATTTTCTAAAAATTCATCGGGTTTTTTTTCTGTTCCTTTTTGCGATATTTCTGATCTTTAGGTTCATTTGAAGTTTTACTGCAAAAAAATCTGACGAAAAAAATTAAAAAAAGAATGAAATTAAAAAAACTAGAAATATCGAACTTCTGCTCTTTCAATACAAAAAAAGCTGCAGATTTCATAAGCTTATTCAATTTTATTCCCATAAAGAGAAAAAAATTGCTCGTGAGAGCCAAAAACGGCAAATTTATATAGTGTTACTTTCACTAAAATAGACTTCACAATTCTCCTCTGATAAGAAAAAAAAGCCCACATGTAGTTAAGAAAATAAAATTTTACGGCCTTGGGTCATAAATTTGATTTCAAAGAGAACAAAAATTAATTTTCCCCGTTTTTCAATCAAACCTTGGAACTTTAGAACTGATAAAAATTGAAAATAATGACAAAAAAGTGGTTTTTTGGCCTCAAAATTGACTTCAAAAACCAAAAAAACAGCAATTAGAGATTTGACCTAGACAGTGAAGCCCTTGGGGAGTACGGAGAAGAGAAATTCGTTATTTCTTAAAAAAATGACACAATTTTTTTCAAAAATATTGGAAAAAATCTTAACTTTGAGAGCATTTGAAATGAGAATTGTATCAATGGAAGAAAGAAAAATGAAATTTTATATTATTCAAAATTTAATTTGAAGCGCCCAGCTGCTTTTTAAAGTTCAGACGAACTTATTTCGTCTGGAATTTCTTTCTACTACTTACTATAAAAAGATTCCAAAGCGTTTAAAAACAAGTATTACGAATAGAAAAGAAAGGTCAATGTCCACATCCAGTCAATTTTTGAAAAAATGAAAAAAAAATAAACCAGGAAAAAAGTATGATGATGAATTAACACTGTTTTTCGATATTTAGAAAAAAAAGGCAATTTGTGGTTTTTCGCGAAATTTTACAATCTGAATAGTACAAAACCCGTTCGAAAGGATGTCGCCATGAATTCCAAACAAAATAAGTTTGATTACGGGGTTCAAGAGTGAAATTACCATTCGCTTAGTCCTTTTTTATTTCCTAAATCTTTCTTTAAAATTCTCCTGGTAAGTTAAAAAGAACGCAATAGAAAAACGTCTCGATGTCTGGGAAAAATCGCATTAATTTACGATGTTTACGACTCAAATTGAAAAAGAACGAAGCAAATTGGTTTTTGAAAAGATTAAAAGAATAAACCGGCGATTTTTTTTTCCCCCAATGAACATTTTATTCAAAAGGGCCTAGAAGAAAAGAATATAAAAAAAAGCGGGCTCTTAAGTGGGCACTTTGATCCTCTTTTTTTCACTTAAGTGTGCACTTGGATCCATTTATTGCGCGTCATATAAGCTGTTTTTCGTTAGCCATTGTGATTGCACAAGAACAAACACAGTAAAAAAAAAAATTTCGCGGGCTCCGCGCAAGTTTATTTATTATTATTTTTTTTTCGTATTTTTATGTTCGTTTACATTTTCTTTCTTCTCACAAATTTAATATCCGGTAAATTTTTTTTTAGAGTATAAAGAAAAAAGGAAAAAGTCTAAAACCGCCAAATGGAATGTTTTTGGATTGTAGCATAAGTGTAGTCAAACACATGTTTATATTTTTGAAATGGAACTTTGTTTTTTTAGGACAGAAACGCAAAAAAGCAGGTGAAAAAAACTATAGTGGCATTTAGCTTTTGATGGATGTTCAACATTTGATTTTCAAAGACCTTTTTGTTTTTAATCTTTGATTGTTTATGGGGGAGTTGTAATTTTAAAAAAAGTTATAATTTTATAAAAAAATTTTAACCTGTTTTTTTCTATGAGGAAGAGAGCAACGAAAGGTGCTTTAAATGAGAAAATAGGAGTAAATTTCCTTGAAAGGATATTGAGAAATTGTATCGGTTGTTTATTTCACTATAAAAAATGGAAAGAAGGAAATTTGTACTATATTTTGTAGTACTAGTCACGTTATTTTGCCTTTTTTAGGTTTGGAAAGAGTATTGTGGCTCATGTACAATAGAAAAAAATTCCGTTTTATCGATTTTTTTCAACAAAAGTGAATTTTTCAGAAAATTTGTCAAATTTGTGATACTGGAATAACTAATGTCTGGCTTTATTCCTAGCCTTGAAAATCCTGAAAAGGGAAAGAAAATGCTGCCTTCGCGTAGATCTGTCGCAGAAAGCGAAATGGACAGTAGTGGGGTAGGTTTTTTCTGAGATTTATAAAGAAATTAATATTTTGTATTAAGATCGGGAGCATGTTTGATGCTGTTGAAGAAGAAGTTTATGGCAGAATTGAAAATAAACCGGCTCCAGTGGCATCTCGACTGAAAGGAAAGAGAAGATATTACGATGAGGATGACGAGAATCATTTTGGAGATGTTCGTTTCGAAATTCATTTCGAAACAATTTTCTGATCATTATTTTTCAAAATATCTCTGACTCTCCAAAATTTAGTAGTTTTTTTTTTTGACTCTTGCTGCTATTTTGATTTTCGCGACTCACTTTGAACACGGTATCAAAGAAATGTGGCTTTTTCAAACAAATTTCAATTTTTTTTTTTTTTCAAACTCATTTCGATATTTTCAAATTTTCTAGAGTTCTGGTTTTCAATTCCATTAAAGTACGTACATTTTTGAACTTCAAATTTTTCTAATTCGGCCATTAAATTTTTGTGAAAAAAAGCCCTTTTTTTCCTTGAGTCGATTTGAAAAAAATCTTTTTGAGGTTGCAAAAAAATTATTCCAATTTTAGTTTGGATAAGTAATTTTGCAATTGAGATTCAGCTGAAAAAAATGATGAAATATTCTCATTTTTGATCCCCAAACATATGTATTATCATTTTTTTCATGGTTTTTTTAAAATTATTCTTTTTCAAACTTATTCTTATATTTTTTTCAAGTCCATAAGGTTTAATTTTTCAATTCCTTTAAAGTGCGTACAGTTTTAAAGTTGAAATTTTTAAATTTGACATTCAAATCTTGCGAAATTTCTACTTTTTTTCGATTTTTCCGATGTAGATTTCTTCAAAAAAATTTTGACGGAATCGTTAATAAATATTCCAATTTAAGAATTTTAAACTGGAATTCAGCTGAAAAATCCATAAAAATATTCTCATTTTTTTGGTCCTCAAAAAAATTGAATGTTTTTTTCCCAGAGTTCCCTGCACGAATTGATGCGCTCCAACCTTTCCTTAAAAATCGCCGCCGAGTAAAAAAATTGCACCCGGAGAAGAATGAAGAACCGGAAAAAAACCGGGTTCTTTCCAATTTTATCAAAAGGAAGACGTCAATGGTTAGTTTTAACCTGAAATAAACAAGAAAAACCTTGAAATTAAGTGAAAAATGGTTTGAAATTTGGAAAATTTACTTTTTCAGTAGGATTTCTTACTATATTTTTTTTCCTATTGTTGTTTTTTTTTTGCGAAAAAAGACCGTATTTGACCAATCTTCGCTTAGAGACCTTTGTGTGGTTCCTAAGTGCAAAAAAAATGTGGTTACGGTGGCTTTTTCTTTGCTGTGCTTTGAAACCATAAAAAATAATCCAGCTCGATCGTTTTACCATTCTCAGAAACGCCAGAGTGGTCACTAGAGGGCTAAGAAAAAGGCCCTGTTGTGGCCAAAATTTAGATGGTCCTTTTAGGGGTTTTGGTCGGATATCTAAGCCCCTAAGCAGCCCCTATAGGGTCTTTCAATCCTTTCGTTCAATTTGAAAATTAAAAAGACGTATAGAAGTAACCTGCATGCAACTATAGAGTGTCAACTAACTAAAAACCCTAGAGTGGCTACTTTTAGAGGCTTGGTCCTGGGAGGGAAAGGAAGATGGTCCCTAAAAGTACAAACAAATTAGGAAAAAAAGCCTAAATTCTGGGAAAAACGGCTAAAATTCAGGTGGTCCCTATAGGGGTTTATGGTGTGAGCGCCTGAAGCTTCAGTGGTCCCTATAGGGGTCTTTCAACTTTTTTTTTCAGTTTCAGAAAAGACGTATTTTCATTCATTTAAAAAGTTCAATTGCCCTCGCGCAATCTGCGTAAGTGGTCTCTATAGGGGTGTTTAAATATTTAGAAATATTGATCGATAGGTTCTCTGTTGATATTTTTCATTTAAAAATAGTTAATTTATCGATTTTTTGCATGAAAATGCTTCTCATGAAACTTTGTTTTGTTAACTTGCTTTTGTGCTTTTTTCAGCTTTTTAAAATATGATTTGAGATTTAAGGGAGACCCGTAAGTCGGGTCGGAAGCGAGGCGGAGTTGATCCGCTTCGAACTGAACGCCCAGGTTCAAAACTTTCTCGACACTTATCATGATGACATGGAAAAGTTTGGGTATCCTTCAAAATTTTTAAAAATGAGTAATTTTTGATTTTGTTCAGATTTCCCGGAGAAACGGAGAGAAATGAGTCGGGAGTTTCGAACCAAGAAGATTCCGACGGAATGAAAACCCCGTCTCCAATCATTCTTAGGAATCGACTTCAGAGGTTTGATTTGAAGGGAGCCCAGAGTGGTCCCTGAAGGGACAACCGTAGGTCTGTTATAGGCCCACCTTTAGGGACCACCTTGTATTTCACTATAGGGACCACTAAAGCTTTCAAAAATGGCCCTTTTTAATGAAATAATTTCACCAGAGAACTAGTCAATCAATTTCTAGTAATTACGTTCTTAAGATACCACTGTATGGATCACTTGAGCGTTAGGGGTCTAGATATCAGTCCCTAAAGGTACCACTTGAGTTTTTCCCCTCTAGGGAGCACTATTTTGCCCTCTATAGGAGCTATCGTTCTCTCCAACCCCTATAGGGGCCCCTAAAGCTTGCAAAAATGACTTTTTCTTTTTTTGAATAGAACAATTTTGAAAGAGGATTACTCGATCCATTTTTATCAATTACGTTTTTTTAAAATATTCTTGAGAGACCATTATAGGGATCACTTGAGCGTTAGGGGCCCACATGTCAGACCCTATAGGGACCACCTGAATTTCACCCCCTCTAGGGAGCACTATTATACCTCCTTCAATGGCTATTTCCCTCTAAAAACCCTCTAGGGACCACTCTGGCGTTCCTGAGCTTTTTGCATGGTTTTAAGAGATTTATTGGGAATTTTAGCTCTCTTTTATTTTTCTTCAAAAAATGGTTTTAAGGCCTAGTTTTTAGGCTTAAAAATCCCATATTTGAGTTTTTCGCATCGAGACCTTTTTTGAAAATTAGCCTATGCTCCTTTAATTTGGGGGTTTCAGAGTTTAATGGTTTTTTTAACGCGATTTAAAGATATTCTAGTCTTGAAATTCGAGATTTTCTCAGAAAAAAATAAACAATTTAAGCCTAAAAAAACCACGGAAACTTTATTTTATTTTTCAATTTTCATTATTTAGTTTTTGAACCTCATTTTTCCCGTTTCAGGCTCATGGAGAGCCCCTCAAACAACATAAAAAGACCGTCCGAAGCGATGGTCCAGGCGGCAATCATGCGCCGGATCCCGTCGCCAGCTTTTATCCCGAAAACGCCCTCGTTCTCCTCCCAATCGTCCGCCTGCAACTCACCGGCCTATCAGGCGACCCAAACGCCCATTTCTTCCCCAAAAAGTTCATTTTTCGTGTTTTACCTTGAAATTTTGAATTTTTCAAGGAAAAAATGAGCGAATTATGAGTTCTCCGCTGTCGGTACGACGACGGGCGATGCCGGCAACGCCCAGGGCTATTTTTTCCTCCGAAAGAGTCGGACAAAACTCGAATTTCGGGACTCCGACCACTGCCGGCAGATTGTAAGGACTGGGAAGAGAATTTTTTGAGAAAATGGCAGATTTTTCAGTATAGGAGTTGCTAGAAAGAGGATTTTGATAAAAAAAAACAGACTTTGAGGATTTATTGCTTCAGGGGCTTAGAAGTCAACCTCTATGGTGACCCCTAAAAACACTATTTTGTTTCCTCTAGGGGCTGTTTTCCTCTAACCCCTTAAGGGACAACTCTGGTGTTTTAAAAACCGGAAATTTCTGATCATTTCTAGTTACCACTTTAGCGACGTCAGTCCCTGTTCCTCTTATAAATTTCCGATAGGGATTAGGCTATGAAATATTGACCTATTCCTAGTGAACACTTATGAGTGCTGAAGCCGCTAAAGTGATAACTCGAAATGCTCAGAATAATCCAGTTTGAGATACACAGTTCGGACGGACCAAACTTTTGTCCATAGAGCAAATTTGCTAGAAAGTTTGAATTAATTTTTTATAAACTTCTTTTTTCCGAGCCGATTGATTTTTTTCAAGGCGCCAGGCTGTCTACGCTTCACCGCGAGTGTCTCCGTACCGTTTCGGTTTCCGGAATTATCGCCTTTCTTCACGTCATTTGACCATTGGGAGAACCTTTCGGCCAGATTTTCTTGCGGGTAAAAAACAAATTTTCGAGGATTTCCTGGAATTTTTCACTGGGTGAATCAAGGATTTTTTTAAATTTTATAGAAAAGAGGTAGAGGAAAAAAATGAGCCTTGACTAAATTTGGACGGGAAATTGATAAGAAATTTGGCTTTTTTTTTTAGGTTTTATCCTGATTTTTTTTCAAAAAATCTACAGTTAAATTCCATTTTTGGCGGGAAATAAGGGTTCAAAAGCGAAAAAAAAAGAAAGAAATTAGGGGGTTTAAGAATTTTTTCCAATTTCAAGTCATTCAACGGGATTCTGACCTGTCTGCGACTCTTTTCTCTCGCAGGTCAGAGAAAAATGGAAATAGTACGTTGAGTTGAGAGAGTGCAGAGTAATCTGGTTGTTTGAAGTTACGACGAATGGAGTATATTAGATTGATGGAGCGCAAAATAAAAATATTTGACCGGCTATTTTTTCCAAACGGTTTCTAAGAGTATCAACTTTGTAGCCAACCTGCAAATGAAGAAAAATTGGGAGAACTCTCCTTCAAAAGACGTGTTGAACAAGAATCTCTCGTCGGCCCGTTCTCCCGTCAAAAGATCGACCAAATACGACGGTTTCTGCCTCGAAATGGATACTGGTAAGAAGGGATTTTTGAAATCAGTGGGAAAATCGCTAGTGGCTACTTAAAAGGTTTCTCAAGAACTACTTGAAAAGGACGCTAAAGTGACCACTTGAATCACCTAACCGCTATTCTGCGTCTTAGGGGCCACTATAGTAGTTTGTGATTCCTAAATTTTAGCCACTTAAGTGACCACTAAGTCGACTACTACAGTGGACACTGAAACGTCAAAACCCTAAAGTGATCACTGAAAATTTTCCCAGATAATTTTGGAATTCTCAAAAAAATACTATATGGAAAGGACACTAAAGTGGCCGCTAAGAGAACCTCTATACAAGCCAATATTTTGCGTCTAAGTGGGCACTATAGTAGTTTTTAGTGTTCTAGAAGTACCACCAAGAGTTCTAAAGGGACCTCTATCCTTTAGCCACTAAGGTGGCCACTAAAACGTTAAAACCCTCAAGAGGCCACTAAAAAATTTCCAGGGATTTTAAAAATTTTGCAGGGATTTTAAAAATTTTCATTAAATTGTTCCATGCATAACTTTCGTTGCACATGGAATGGCTCGAATTTTAGCTCGTTCCAATAATTTTTGATGCTTTTGAGCGCAAGTCGTTTTAAGTCGGACCCGTCTTGGAACCCTACCTCGAAAAAGCTTAAAAATATCAAGCTTTTAAAATATTTAGAACCACTTTTACAAGCTTTACAGACCCCTAAAGGGGAGATAAAGTGGTCCCTAAAGGGGAACCTTCAAGGGTCCTTAGATTGCCCTATAGGGATCACTCTGAAGGACTTTTTTTTCAGAAGATCCCTCTGGAATCGGTCAAAGCTTCTCGAATGTGACGACGGATATATCCGAGGTGCGTTTAGGGAGAGTATCTCAGTAATAAATCTTCAAAGGTCGCGATTTTATGCCAAATTTTGTGTGGTATTAATCCAATTCATTGCGGATTTAGTACAATTTTTGAAGGGCGAAAATCGGTTTCTAAATTTTCTATTCAGATCTTTCATTCATTCAATGCATTTTTAGGTTCAAGTTCCAAAATTTCCCTTTCTCTGACTTTTCGATTGGCAATTCGTTAGGTCTTCAAATTTTGGTCGCATTTGGAATGGCTCGACGCGCACCCGACCTCGAAACTACTTTCGCGCCTTAAATTTTGAATTTTAACGTTTACGCGTTGATTTCAAATGTTTCTGCTCTACCCTAAAAATTTTCGATTCGCGGGAACCGTTTTTGGTCGGGCGCGCCTGCTTTAATTAAAGCGGTTCAGAGATGGGCGGAGTTCCGCATTTTTTTCGATATGACTTGCTGAAAAAAATTTTTGTTTTATTTTTTTTATACAGTTACAATCATCTCTTTCGAAAAAAACGGTCAAAAAAATATGATTTGGAGGGAAAAAAATACATAAAGTCACCTTTAAAAAAGCAAAAATTATGCTTATTTTTTTGTACTGAACGTTTTTTTGCGCCCCCCCATTGCAGAACAAAAAAAAAGTAATCGATTTTTTTTCGAATTGTTAAGCTTCAAAGTCTGCAAGACAAGGAAATTATACCAAAAAAGCGCTAAATCGAGCTTTTAAAGCCTCTTGACTCAAAAACAAGATCCACTGTCAGAATTTTTTCCTTATTTTGGAATCAGAAGGTCGTAAAGTACACCTCAGCTAAGTTTCATTGGAAATTAACCAGAAGAGCGGGGGGCGGTTAAAAAAACACTCTCCAGTGAGAAAAATCAAAAAAACGACCCCGCTGTTCAAAAAAATCCAATCTGCTGCGGTTACGCGTAGAGCCATTCCCAATGCGACCACAGCATACATCGGCTAGATCCCCCCCAGCTTTTCGTGCGCGAAAAAAAGTTTTGAAAAATGTACTGAAATAGGTTTTGGAAGGGGGGGGATCCAGCCGACGTATGGACCCCAGGCTTCCGATTTTTCCTCGAATCGATATTTCAAGGAAAATTCACCAGTCCGTTCTCCCAAAAAACCGAACAAAGATGAAGATTGCGAGGGAGATGTCGACACGGACGGCTCCTTCGACGAGGAAATCGTCGAGAAAATGTGGGAATTTCGGCAGAATTCATGATTTTAGTTATTAAAATAGAAAAAGTCCTTCCTAGGCTCAAAATGTAGATCATTTGAAGCAGCATGATTTCTCTGCGCTCTCTTTCCTCGAGAAGCTCTCTCAGTCCTTCCTGACGGCGCTGGCGAGAGAAAAGAGGCGCAGAGAAGTCAACGGTTTCAAAAATTAATTTTTCTCACCGAATTTTATTTTTACACCCCCCGAATCGACTTTTTTAACTTTAAATGAAAATTTTCAGGATCCACTGAAACTTCAGCCAAAAAGTAATCATCCTAATAAACGTTTACGAAATGCCCCGCATATTATTGTTTCTTCTCACTGTTCTTTCATAAAATTCCTAGGGTTTTTATCAAAAAAAGAATTATTTTGTCATTTTTTGTACTTTCCCAGTTTGTTCAAACTTTTTTGGTAGTTCTCTGTACATTTTATGTTCCCTTATATTGTTTCCAATGAAAGTTGTTTCGAAAAGATTATTTTTAAATGAAAAATATGCTCTTTACGGAATGTCGATTCGATTATTTTCGTTTCTCAATGAGGAAGAGGGCGGGGGGACCCTAAAATTTCAGTATCTCCGATTGAGCTATTTCTCGGAGGATACAGTACCGTGCAGTAAGATATACAATTTCACTTTTTTCGTCATAAATTTTGCAGGAGTTGTCCGATTTCTGTCAAACTTTCTACAGTTGTTACTTGCATATCCAGTATGTTAACACAGAAAAATCAGCTACCTAGCTGATTTTTCGGAGCCCAGATATGATCTTTCAAAGCCTCGCTGAACAGACGAGAATCCGGGCGTGGTGTCCTAGTGCGATCCGACGGCTGTCGGACTCGGCGTTTTTTTGGCGACGGCCCGCCCATATTTTTTCCGTAAAGTGTAGTATTACGTGTGCATACACTGCGGCGCTCTGGCACGCGCCAAGTTCAACGTAATTTTCGCGAACTGAAATTCAGTATTTTTCGGCATGCTGGAAAAGTCGGTCGGTCGGTCAGTTTGGAAAACTAGGCCACGCCGCAATTTCGCTCCATGGAACGCTTAGAATTTTAAACTTTTTTTTTTCTTTACTGAATTTTCCTTCCTTTTTTTAATTTTACTAAGAAGGTTGTCGATTATTTTCATTCAACTGTATCGTTCTCGCGAGAAAAAACGATGATTACTGCATTCATAAATATAAACTGATTCAATTTTTGAAAATTCTTATTTATTTTCTTGGATCCAAAATAACTTCATATAACTAAATGAATGAAACTAAAAATCATAAGTAATCGGAAAACGAGATAATTCGTAAAATACACATAAAAAGGCAAGAAACAAAGTTACATCCAGTAAAAAGTAAAACATTATCTAGGGAAACAATGATAAATAAGGAACAGTTTAGTTTGAATTGAGGGCATGTGTCCCATATCCTAGAAAACTGATAAAAAAGAAAGAAAAATACGGAAAAAAGGAAAAAAGTCCTAAATTCGATTTTCCATGGAGCAAAACTGCGACGTGGTCTGGTTTTCCAAACCGACCGACTTTTCCAGCATGCCGTTTTTTACTTTCTCTGGTGGCTATTTTGAATTTCACGGAATTACTTTCAGCATGTGTTTAAGAAAACAGAAAATCGCGTTTTTTTTTAAATGAGAAATAGATTCGTCTCGGGACCCATTGATGCGCCTTTAATATCCCGTCACATGACGTCACATGGGAACGACGGAGATTTTGACCACGCCCCCTTAATTTTCGGTTTTTCATTTTCTTCCACTAACAAAAACGCCGTGCGGAGCAACAGCAGGGAGGAGCAGTGGTAAGACGGCGGACTGGGGATCACGAGGTCATAGGTTCGGTCCCACGGTGTGCAAACTTTTTTTGCAGTTTTTTTCTATATTTTCGTTTGAGGGCTCCTTTTTTGAGTTTTGAAGCGTATAAACATGAAAATACTGCGTTTCGAACCTACTCAAACACCTGGACTTTTAGAGGTAGCAAATAAACATACGTAGTTGATTTTTCTCGACTCACCGCAATACTACTAGTATTTTGTATATAACCGTCTCCCGGATAGCTTGGCACGCGAAGGGGCGTGGCTTGTGTGCCCTCTCCATTAAAGGCATAGGGGCAGTAAAAAACGGAATTTCAGGTGAAAGCAGTATCTTATACAGTTTTTCTTTGCGAATCGAACGGTATACTCAAAAAAATTGTGACAAGTTTATAAGAAAAACGCGATTTTACTTTCCCGCCTTTAATTTTGAAAAATGCTTTGGATGCAGACAACTGTTTACAGTAGCCGTGCACGCGATGTTGCGGACGTCTCATTAGACTCGCATTTTGTGAGGAATAACCGGATTTCTGCTTCAAACTAAGGGTTTCTTTTCTGAAAAATCATTGAGTCAAAACTAAAACAAAAAACACCGATAATAAAAAAAGCACAAATAATCGTTATCCCAATCGAAACCTGTGTAAAATCATCATTTTTCACCAGAAAAGCTTTTTTGCGATCAAAGTTTGCAAATTATACATGAATAGAAAGCTTTCGTGACGAAAAGAACTTTGGTGACAACAGAAAAAATTGAAATTTGAAAGAAACGAAGAAGAAAGCGAAAATCCGGAAGATGGCGAAGCCTGTTGTCCATAGAGCGACTTTACTGCAAAGCGCCCTTTTCGCGGGAACTCAAGCTTTCCTCTCTCCGACTTTGAACTATTTTTTCTCAAAAACTAGAAAGTTCTGTACGTTTTCAAGTTCACCGTTCAATTTGCACTGAAAATCTCTACAAAGTACCGCGAACGCACACGCTACGCGTCCCGCCCCTTGCCCCGCCTCCTTCCTCTTTCAAGTCGGGAAACATTGACTATAGTTTATTTGGTTTTTTCTAATGGAATCGCTTCTTCTCAGAGCATATAGTTGAATCACGGTTGGCTTGATCCATCGAGAAAGGGGTTCTGACCACGATGAGAAAAGTGATAGTATCTGGTTGGTTTTCCCAAGTTAGCCGTGAAGTTAATATAGCAATAAACGGCTAGCATGCTCCCTAGAGTGGCCACTTGCCTCCTAGAGTGACCGGCTTCAGTGTCCTCTATAGGGGGAGGTGAAGTGGCTTCATTTAGGGGATCTTACAAGAGTCCCAAAGGTTCTCACTCTAGGGACCAATTTCTGCGTAGATTTTTTTCAGATGCAAACCTAGTAGAACCTGTCCGTACCTGTCGAAAAAGTCTTAATTTACAGCCAATTTCGTCGCCGTCACTTACAACACGATTGTCGATTTTCCGAAAAGAAAAGTTTCCCGATGATGGGGGCTTAAGCGACAAAAGCAGTAAAGATGGCGATAAAAAAGACGAGAAATCTGCGAGTTTGGCTACAATTCTTCTCAGTTCCTCTATTTGTACCCTTTTTGCATACTATTTCGCTTACTGACTTTGAATAAAGTGATTCTTTTTTTTTCTAGCCCAACGAAATATTTTACCTGGATTGGAAAGGAGAAGCTAGCGGGGATGCAATTTTAAAATGTACACGAAAAAAAATTTTCAGGTGAAAGCAGTACCTTGTATAGTTTTTCATTGCGAATCGAACGGTGTACTCCCAAAAATTACAAAAGTTACTGCTTTAAAAGAAAAACGCGATTTCACTTTCCCGCCTTTTATTTTGAAAATTGCTTTGTATCGGCATACGGACAACGGTTTACAGTAGCCGTGAACGCGATGTTGCGGACGTCTGATTAGACTCGCATTTTGTGAGAAATCACCGGATATCTCTTCAAATTAAGGGTTTCTTTTCTGAAAAAAACATTTAGTCTAACAAAAAACACACACCGATAATAAAGAAAACACAAATATTCGCTATCCCAATCGAAACCTGTGTAAAATCATCATTTTTCACCAGAGAAGCATTTTTGCGAACAAAGTTTGCAATCTATACATGAATAGAAAGCTTTTGTGACGAAAAGAACTTTGGTGACAACAGAAAAAATTGAAAATTGGAAGAAACGAAGAAAAAAGCGAAAATCCGGAAGATGGCGAAGCCTGTTGTCCATAGAGCGACTTTACTGCAAAGCGCCCTTTTCGCGGGAACTCAAACTTTCCTCTCTCCGACTTTGAATTATTTTTTTTCCAAAACTAGGAACTTCTGTACGTTTTCACCGTTCAATTCGCACGGAAAATCTCTACAAAGTACTGCTTTGAACTGAAACACCGTTTTTTCACTGCCCCTCTGCCTTCTGGATGATTTTCGAGGTTTCAAAGGTTTTTTCTTGACTTTGGGAAGCTTGAGCCTTTTTTAAAACTTCAAAAAGAAGTTCAGCTGAATCCGAAACCGGTAATAGACTTCTGTCTGAAGGTTTTTTGATGCTTCCAAGATTTTTTTTTTCATCATTTTGGCAAACTTGAGCCTATCTGGAACTTCAAAAAGGTCACTCAGTCTCATGTCAAACCGCCATAGAGCCCCAGACTTCCCTCTATCCCCACTTGACAACTAAAGGCCCGACAAGGACTGCAGAGGAACGTCTGTTGCATTGATGGCCCTTTGTTTGTGTACCTATTACCGACCGGTAATTGGGATATCCGACGACGTTCGAGGCCAAATAAACGAAAAGAAAAGAGCGTAAAGATGATACTTCGATACGGTTGTTCTAGAGGAACCAATGAATATTATATGGCTTTGGCTGGAAAGTTTTCAGGACTACCAGAGTGGTCCCTATAGGTGCCCTTGACCGCCTTACGAATATTACCTAATTCATTTAAAAATCAGTTTTTTGTCGATTTTTATCGCTAGAGTGATCCCTTGAGGGGCACTTGTAGGTGCTCAAAAGTCCACCTAACTTCGCCTCACTAATATTAGCTAACTCATTCAAAAAATATGTTTTAAAACTCTTATAGACTCCCCTCTAGAGACTACCTTATCTCCCCCTATAGGGAGCACTCAGCTTGAAAAGTGGCCTCTCTAGAGAAGCATTCTGGAAAAATTTTTCGACTTCAAACTTTGACGTTTTCGCGAGCACTGTAGTAGTCGGATAAGTGGCCACTTAAGGGGCTCATGTGGACTTTTTGGAAAGTTAACTGGTAAGTGGTACTATTAGACTCCTAAAACTACTATAGTGGCCACTAAGATGCAAATGATAAACCACTTTAGTGGTCACTCTGGCTTTTTAAGTTTGTCCTTCGAAATGGTCTTACTAGGTAATCTTAGACTAAAACCGAAGAAAATAACGAAAAAAGGGCTTTTTATCATATTTTTGGATCTTGAACAGATAGAGCGTTCCAGAAAGTCTCTTAAAACGGAGTTTTTTTCAAAAAAAGTTTAGCTTCTGTCAGCTTTTTCACTTATTTTCATCTTTAGGCCAACTTTTCATGATAAATCCTTCGATCTAATGGAACATCTAGCTCCACAATTTTCCTGCAAGGTTTTCCGATGCTTCTGCGCGCAAGTAGTTTCGTGGTCGGGCGCAAGGAGAACTCGATTACTGTTACGCTATACAGCGTTTCTGAAAATGTCAAGAAGAAAGTCTTTGAAAATTTTTTTATACAGTCCGATCTACACTAGACACCGAAATTAATCTTAAAACTTGTAAAAATCATTTTTTCTCAACAGATCCAGCTTCATTTCAGGCCAAAATGATTGAAAATTGTGATTTTGAACGTTTTTTTTTGCCTGATTTTTAAGGGGTGATATAGCAAAAAAATATTTTTTTGTTCTTTGAGTCGGATTAACGCTAGAGAAAATCAAATGATCCTTTAAAAAAAAAGCCAAAAACGGGATTTTTCAACAGACTCGGGAATTCTATGGTACGACAAAATCTCAATTCCGCAAATCGTGAGGACCGTAATCTTGTGTACGCAGATTTTAAGTCTTGGAAACAAAAATCTTGGAAACTATAAGTTGATAAAGTGCAATAAATAAGACTAAAAAGGAGATTTTTGCTTCCCAAGATTGTGGTTTCCAAGATTAATCTTTTATGGGACTTGAGATCTGCGCACACAAGATTACGGTCCTCAAGATTTGCGGACTTGAGATTTTTTCGTACCATCGGGAATTTCAGACCTTTTTCAGTTTTGATCTACATCAGATCATAAGCAGACTGGCCAGGAAACCGCGTCAAAAAACAGTTTTGGCCTCTTTTTCGTTGTTTCCCAGTTGATAATTTGTTACAATGTTGAGCTGAAGATTGGTTGTATGATTTCTGCTTGGCGGGGAGATAGACAGGAGGGCACGGGACTCTCTCTGCCGCCCTCTGCCGCCTCGCCGTCCGATTCGATCCATTTCGTCGGCCACCGCCTCGGCCCACGCACACGTTCCTTCCTTTTTTTGCTTCCGATTGTCTTTCTTCCTTCTTCCTGTCTTTATTCTCACCTTCACCTGTGCAAAAATCATAACCTGGAGCACGTTTTGGTTTTTGAATGAAAGAAATCGGTTGAGTTTGAGCGGTTTTGTGGCGTTTCATTGCAAATTTCAATATTTTGGTGCTTTCGTGGATTTTTTCGACATTTTTCGCAACTTGAACTTTTTCTATGGTTGAGAAAAAGCTCTTGGAGTTTTCGAAACTAATTTTAGAAATATTTTTCACATTGGAGAAGTAGAATACCAACTTTCAGTGAGGACTGTTTTGTTATTTTACACTTTCGATTGATCAATTTTCGATTTCTCGAAAATTCGAACACTTTTTTTCAATTTCGTGAGAGCTTTTAAAAACACATTTGATGATTGAAAAAAATTTTAAACTTGTAAAAAAATAACAAAGATAATGAATATTGAAGATTTTTCCGTTTTTTTCAGCTTTTTTTAAAAACTAATTCTATTCCAAAAAGCTCCTTTGCAGTAGAAAAAAAAGATCCGAGTATTTTTTTACCTTGACTTGAAAAAAAAAATCCATTTTCAGCTTTTCAGAAAGGAAATGAGTTTTAAGCCCGCGGTCGAGCTTTTTAATGGCGGATCGGGCAATTTTTGTTTTTCCTTTTTTCGTTTTTAGACGTTTCTCGAAGCTTTCAAGCTTTTCAATGTTTTTTAGACAACGTTGAGTCATTTTTAATGTTATGAGAGATTTTCAGAATTTTGAACACTTATATTTCGAAAAAAGCACGCGTTTCATAACTATCTTGATTTTTTTCAACTATTTCTTTTCTAACTAAAAAAATTTTTTTCACATTTTAGATTTTAAGAAAAACGATGTAGACAAATAACAAATGTAAAGAGAGAGAATATTTCATCAAGGAGAGTGAAAAATAAACACTAAAAGTGGCCTGTGCGCAGCATCCTCCCTCAAGGGGCCCCTCGAAATTCGCAAAAATGTTTCGAATTCTTTTCTCGACTTTTCTCTTTTTTTCATTTTTGTTTTGTGGTTTTTGCTTCATGCAAACTTGTAAGGAAAAATATTTTCACGAAATGGTTTATTTTTTTCCGATTTTTTTGATGTCTTTCAAGCTTTTTTTGATCTCCTTATTTTTTTCTTTTTTTCAAAGAGTTTTTTTCACCATTTCAAGAACCTTTGACTCTCAGAATTTTCGCGAAGAGGATTTATAGTTGAAAATTAATTTTTGAAAGGAGATAGAAGCAAATTTCCGTTGACAAATCGTGTCGGAGATCGATAGTTTTTTGTTTTGAATGTCGGGAAAATTCCTCGCGAAATCAGATATCATTTTCCCACAAACTTTTTAGAGAAGGAAAACTCGATATTTATCTGCGGAAGAATCTGTCGTTTTCGCCTCTTTCTTTTTGATTTTACTCGGAGTCGAGCCGTTTTTCCGCGATTTTCGTTGTTTTAACGTTGTTTCTTTTCAGTAAATCGGGTAGTTTCTTATCGCATCCGCTTCCAAGATTGCTCCAGCAAAAAATAAAAAGAAGACGACGACGTCTGTAAAGGACGACGGCGTAATGGGGGACGCCAGAATTGCTTTCGCCCGCGAAGAAGTCTGGCTCGAAAATAAAGATTCCCTAATTGTTGAAAAGTGCGTTTGGGCTTCTCATTAAGAGCTTTGCCGGGCAAGCACTTTTTCGAAAATTATGCAGAAAGAAAAAGTAGGATAATCTAATTTTTTTCATCACTTGACAAAAAAATTGATTTTCATGGCTTTTGTTAGAGTTTAAGTACAAAAAGGCTTTAAAAAAACACTAAATCGGGCAATTATTCGAGTGAAAAGAAAGGAAAATTTAATTTTTACCCAGTCAAGGTTGAAATTAAAAAATTTCCTTATGAATCCAATAAATTTATTTTTCTATTTGAATTTTTTCAACCATTTTCATTGGCTTATTCGAAAAATGCATATTTTCTTTCAAATGGAATTTTTAAGGCAACGGTGTTGGTTTTGAAAGTTTTTATCAATGAAAAATAACTTAAATTTTAAAAAAGGTCCAAATCCTTCACGATTAAAAAAACACGTGGTTCAAGTCACGATTAGATCTTTTAAATACTCAGAAACACACGAATTTGCAGAATAATCGAGCAGTTCCATGAGGAGAACACGAAAGGACTGCCGTTCAGCCGGATTTTGTCGGCGATCGGCCCGGACCGCGTCAAAGATTTCGTTATCGGACCCCGGCATTTCGCCTTTTTGCTAGTTGTGAGTAGGGAAAGGAATGAAAAAAAGTATAACCTGTGAAAATTGTACATAGGCAAAGTCGGAAAGGGTGTAAAAAAGCTCCATAGAACTGTTCCTTTTTGTTGTCTTTTTGCGCCATTTCTTGAGCTGTTATGCACCATTTTTGCTGTCTCTCCCTTTTCCACCATTTCTTGAGTCTTAAAAATCATAGAAAAAATGGAAGGCTCGATAAAGGGACCATTTTTTCTGGCCTTTTGCGGCCTTTTTTGAACCTCTCACTTTTAGCGGGCATTTTCCATCATTCCGATTTTGCCCGAGCATTATTTGGTGTAACATCCCGACTTGTTTAAAAAAAAGTACAAGTCTTGTAGCTTTGTTTATTTACTTTGAAGTTATCAGAAAACAGGAGAGGTATAAAAACTAAAAAGTGCTGAAGATAGTTGCAATATGAGGCATACAAATTAAAATGTCCAAGGAAAAGAAAAAAACTTGAAATTTCATTCAGTAGAGTTTTTCCGAAGACCGAAAAATGCGTGAAGATACAGGGTTTTTTTTTTGATTTCCATAAAAATAATGTATTTTTCTTGTAATATGTCATTTTGAGGGTATGAATCAAAATATATCTGAATTTCGAATTTTCCGATTTTTTCATATCATTAGGGAACTTTCCATCTTTTTTTCCCTTATATTTTTTTCGGTTTATGAAAAAAATCTGTTAACATTTTTTTCTCTTTTTTTCTTGTCTTATAATCATGAATCAACTACCTGTTTTATATAACAAGGTTGTTTCAAATCGAAGATTTTATTGAGTAAAAAAGTCGGTAAGTTCCCTAGCGATATGAAAAAGATAGGAAAAGTCGCCATTCGAAAATCCGTTGGTCTTTTTTTCATACCACCGTTATTTTGATTAGTAAATTCGAAGTTTGTTCCTATTTGCAGGACAACAACATTGTCCGAGTGGCGTTCGACTGCTCGAAAGTGAAGGAAGCCGAGAGGAGCAGCGAACCGACGAGAAACGACTCGAGCGGCTCGCTCAGCTCCATCCCGCCGCCTTCCTCCTTCCACCATGCGACGAGGCCCAACAGCGCCAAGTTCCGCAGATTGATGTTGGCTGCCAATCGCCATGGGTTCGTTCATAATGATTTTTGAGAGTTTTTCGATAAAACTACTCCCGAAAATGCTTCTTCAAAACTCCTATTTTCATGTGAATATCTTCCCTGAAGAAAGTGAGAAAAGGAAAACTTTGCGATGAACTTGGAAAATGAGAATTTTTAGAATGATAGCGAAACCTTTTTTCAACTTTTAACATTTTCTGAAGCTTTTTCTAGTGTTTACAAGGAAATTTTCTAGGCAATTCTCACTTGAAATCAAGTTTCTCATGAATATCTAGCTGGAAAAACACGAAAAAATATAAATTCTTGCGAAGGATTTGAAAAAAATTGAGAAGAAATAAAGAAAAGTGTTTTCTTTGTACTTTCACCGTTCACTATCAAATTTTACCAAATCTTGGAAAAACCCTTAAGGAATCCATTGAAGTGAATCGTATTATTATAGCGCTTTTTATTGTCAATTTCATAGTATAAAAAGTATTAATAATTCAAAAACTTTAACTTTTCAACAGGTTTTTAAAATTTATTAAGTTCTTCATTGATTTTCAGGGCTTTTTATTGTCAATTTCGCAGTATAAATCTCATTTATTTAAAGTATTTATTCGCCACTCCGCAATCTGCACGACAAATACAAAAAATAAAAAATCAACGCAATCGAATAATATCTACAGCTGCGGATAATTGAAATAGTACAAATAGTTCAAGAAGTAGTAAAAGTTTGACTTCTAAAGAAGTTTTTTTAAAGTTATTTTTTTATCATTATCGATTTTCATCGCTTCATACTGTGAAGCTCGTAGTATAAGTAATCCTAGAACTGGAAAAATACTCAGGCTGAAAGGCTTATGAAAATACTTTTATCGTTATCGATTTTTAGCGCTTCTTATTGCCGAGTTCGTAGTATAAATAATCTTAGAAGTGGTGAAATATTCAACTCTGAAAAGCCCTTTGAAATAATTTTCATTATTCTGTACAGAGCTTTCTACTGTCGAGTTTGTAGTATAAACAGCATGAAAAATCCAAGAAGTGGTGAAATTTTCAACTCTCAACGGATATTTTTTATCGATTTTCAGGGCTTTTTATTGTCAATTTTGCGGTAGAAATAGTAAAAACAGTTAAAGAAGTGGTGAAAGTTTGACTTTTAAGTTTTTCAAGGATTTTTTTTTCTATTATCAATTTTCAGCGCTCCATAATGTCAAGCTCGTAGTATGAATAATCCTGGAACTGGAAAAATATCCAGGCTGATAAGCCTATGAAGTTTTTCAGCGCTTCTTATTGCCGAGTTCGTAGCAGTGGCGATCCGCGAAGCGTCATTATCGATCGGGGACGGCCCATGATCCCCGCAAGCGCCGTTCCGGAAGAACTCATCAACCAGGCTCAAGTAATCAAATCTAAAAATAGAAGAAAAAAAAAATCTTTTTTTCAGGTTGTTCTTCAAGGAAAATCCCGTGAAGTCATCATCCGAGAACTTCGACGGACGTCCCTCAACGTCAACGAGGCCGTTAACAACTTGCTGTCCCGAGATGATGAAGAAGGTGCTTAAGGGGTTTTGATGGGGACTCTCTGCTCCCATTGGATTCCTGTTTCTCGTAGAAATTGTAGAAGCGTTTTAAGAGGGATTTTTTTGGAATAATTTTAGGAGAGTTTACGAAGAAGGTGCTTAAGGGATTTCTAGAAGAACTGGCTGTTTTTCTGTTGAATTCCAGTTTCTGTCTAGAGTTTTCTACGTTACTGACCAAGAAGTGGCTTAATGGGTTTTTAGAACTGCTTTCAAGCGTATTTTCATTTCTCTAAAGATAATTATACGTTTTAAAAAGAGATGACAAAGAAGGCGCTAAAGGGATTTTTTAAAAAAAAAAACCGGTTGTTTTTGTTCAATCCCCGTTTCTCTATGGATATTTGTGGGTTTTAAAAAATTTTCTCGATAATTTTAAACTTTGATCAACGTATTCCAACGTCAACGAGGCCGTTGACAACTTTTTGTCTCGAGAAGGGACTAAGGGATTTTGCGAAGGACTTACTGCTTCAATTTTATTTTCGTTTCTTTTTAGAGTTTTCTAAGTTTTGAAAGGGAAGGCGGAGAAAACGCTTAAGGGATTTTGAGGAGGGTTTGCTGCTTCAATTTAATTCTTTTTCTCTGTAGAATTTGCTACGTTCAAAAACTGGTGATGAAGGAGTTTCTTTAGGGATTTTGAGGTAGTTTTTAGTTTACTTCCCATTTCTCTATATATATTTGTACGGTTCGAGAATAGTGCTCAAGGGGTTTTGTGGAGAATTTGTTGCTTTTGATTTATTTTCTGTTTCTCTGGAAGCCATTTTAAACTTTCAAGAAAGGTGACAAAGAAAGTGCCTAAGAATTTTTAAGAACAATGAGCTTCTTTATATTTGATCCCTGTTTCTGTGTAGAATTTCGTACATTTAAAGACAGTTTTTTTTTGAGAAATTTTAACGTTAATGAAGCCTTTCATAACTTATTTTACTAGATAACGAAGAAGGTGTTTAAGGGATTTTAAGGAAAATTTCATCAGAATGGGTTTTTAAATAATATGATTTCGAACCCCATTTTTTCATCGAAAGAACCTTGAAAGAAGTACAGAAGACCCTTCTTTACATTTTTATCAAAGGTGGAAAAATTATTCGGAGCTCCGTTTTTTCCAGGTTTTAAGAAAAATCAGCTTTTATCGGTCTTTTATTTCAGGCTTTTCTGGAATATTCTATGAACTTTTTTCCTTCAACAGAAAGTCATGGAAAGGCGAGAGCCCCTTTTTTCATCCTCTTCAGCCCTTCAAAAAGGGTTCTGACACGAAAAAAGATAAAACACGGTGACACGTCACTAGCCATTGATCGACTTTACAGATTTTTCAAGAACACGAAAAGGGGTTTTTCAGACGACGGAGACGTCGGCGACGGGATGGTCCTTCCGGAAGAGCTCCTACAGCTTCTGGACGCCAGCCAGAGCCACCACTCGATGGCCTCCTCGTCGTCTCACGGGGGCGGGTCCTCCTCCGCCTCAGGTGGGAACGCCTTTCAAGAGTCGGACTTTGCCACGCATGCCGCCCGTCAATTATTAAGTCGCACCCAGTTCAAGAAACGAGGTACCTGTTTAGGGGTATCCAAGGGGAATACTTTAGGGTTTATTTCAATCGGTCAAAGAAGAATTATCTAGTTTTTTTAATTAAAAATTTGGGCTAGAGAGTGAATTTCCATAGGTTTCAACAAAGCGTCAGAAATTTTATTTTAAGCCCACTAGTTGAAAAATTAATGTTCGTATTTTCAAGAAAGCATGTGGGACATGCCTATGGAAACTTACTGGATTTTAAGAAAAAGAAAACGAAAAAAAGGGTAATTCTTTTGTGGAAACTCGTTAAGCACATCAAAATAAAATTAACGATTTTTTTTTCAAATTTTGTTTCAGTGAAGTTTTACGCACCACTCACACTCAAAATAATTGCACTTTTTCACAAAAATTCTTTTTTTTTGTGTTTTCTCAATCAGCACTATTTTTGTGTATAGTTTGTTCAAAAATTGGTTTTTGACTAGGGAACGTTCTTAACCCCCACCCTGTTGAAAAAAATTGAACTTCTGCTGAAACTTTGCTGAAGTGTACTTTAGGACCTCCTGATTCTAGAACCAGCAAAGTTTCAGCTAAAGTTCAGCTGCGGGGGCAGGGGGATGTAAAAACGTCCTCTGTTGAGCTTTTTAAAGGCGCATGTTTTGTAGATTTAGAATAGATTGAAATTCGAGCCAACATATAATTTTCTAGAAAAAAATTGAGGAAGAAAGGTTTTTGAAAAATTCTTTTCTGTTTTATCATGTTACAATTAGCTTTATTTGAATTATATTTTGTTTAAAATTCTTCTTTGAGCTTTTAAAGGCGCATGAGAGGAAGTTTTATGAAAGTTTCGAGGCTTCAAGGTCATAATATTCGTCATCCTTTGAAAAACTGCACCTTTAAAAGCCTCAAATAATTTTTTTTAACGAAATGGATTCCATGAAAAAAATGTAAAGATACCGGTTTTTAAATCTCAACTTTCTCAGAAAAAAATCGAGGAAGAAAGACTCGGAGGGCGGCGTCCGGAACGAGTTCCATTTGATCGAAAATATCGAATGGTGGACCGGAAAGTATGGAGACGGAACCCCGGAAAACCTTGAGAGTGGGTTTTTTTGATTTCTAGTGGACATTTTAGCAAAAACCGAAAAAGAACTTTTTAAAAAAAGAAAATGAGTTCTGAACAGGCTGTTAGAGTTTTGAAAAAATGTTCTGTTTTCGCATCTTTTTTCTGTATTTTTTTTACCAACTAATTTGCCCATTTTTGGTACTTCTCTAATGTTGAGGGCGTTGAGCGGCGCTCGTCACAATTTTCCGCCCGTTTTTATCCCGCGCATTCCCTCGATGAAGTTTTATGGGAGTTCTAGTCCAGCAGATGCTACATATCGTCGAAAAAACGGTTGTAAACGGCCCGCTTTCAGCCCGTTTCGGCCAAGCTTAATTTTAGCCCCAAAAATGACCCGTTTCAGTCGTGCGAATGCCGTGAAAAACCGGGCTGAACATTGAATTACCCGCTTTTAGCCCGTTTTGTCCCACCTAGGTCACTCGAAGCTAATTTTTTGCCGCGTATAGTCAAGTGAATACCCTAAATCGTCGAGAAACAAAAAACCGGGCAAAACATTGGAGCACCCGATTTTAGCCCGTTTGATCTAACTGATTCACCCGAAACTTTATTTTTGTACCATTTTAGTCAAGTAAATGGCCTGAATCGCCGAAAAATAACCCGGGCAAAATACTGGAGCACCCGCTTTCAGCCCTGTTTATTCCAGAAAATTCAACCAAAGTTAATTCTTTGCGCACTTCAGTCAAATTATTTACCCGCATCGCGTAAAAACTGAGTGATGCGTTTGAGCGCCCACTTTTAGCCCGTTTCGGTCCAGCCGAGTTCAACCAAAGCTAAATTTTAGCTTCATTTCAGTCAAACAAATTCCCCGCGTCATCAAAAAAAAAACGGCCAAAAATTGAAGCGCCCGCCGATTACCCGTTTTGCGCCCGCCACCGCATGAAAAAAAAAAATTGTATTTTAGCGCCGAGTTCATGTCGATCTCGGCGACGAGTTTCGAGCTTTTGGCCCTGGATTCGAGTGGACGGGTTTTCGGGTGGCGTTGGCACGACCGACGTGGAGGCGCCGACACGAAAAGCAACTTCAGGGAGATCGTCAAAACTCATACTGGTCAATATTCATTAATTTATAGGAAAAAGAAGTTTTATTGTTTTTTAATAGGTCTTTTGTGTTGAGTAGTTCATTAAGAAGAGCTTTATTATTTTTCATGAGAATAACGAATCCTTGAATTTGAAAGAGGGCTCAAATGTCATTTTTTAGTTATTATTCGAGCTTTTTTTCATTTTTTATTTTTTTGTGATGGAATCTTGAACTTGAAGAAGGCTTGAAAAAGATTTCCTAGCCTTATTTTTTTGAAATTGAACGGATTTTTGGCTTGAAATAAGCGTTGAATGTCCTTTTTTTCTAATTTTTTTACATGAGTTATGAGCTTTGAAATCGATTTTTTTATTCGAAAATCAATTTTTTTAACATGGAACAAGGCCTAAAAAGTCGTTTTCTTTTTCATTATTTCTTGAGTTATGATTTTCAATTTTCGAAAAAAATAATAGTTTTTTTGAGCTTGGGATAAGGCTTCGAATTTCCTAATTTTTACATGACTTTTGCGTTTCATTATTCATTTTTATAAGCACAAAAAGTAAGGAGCTTGATAGAAGGAAAGTCGGTGTGTTTGGTCACTTTTTTTATGACGTCTATTTTTTTCAATTTTCCAATTTTTTTCAATCGAGCTTCAACGGTTTTTAATGTACGTGTTTCTTTATAATACAACTTGTTTCAAAAAAATTGAATTTATAGAAATTCACTTTTTTTCTGAATTTTTTTAAATTTTTTTGCCGAAAAAAATGCTCTCAAATCTTAGTGAACACTATTTCGTGCTTGACATATTTTTGATTTAAGGCCGGATTTGAAAAATTTGACATGAAATTTATTGAGAAAAACACAAAATTTCCTGTTTTAAGCCGTCAATTTTTTTGGTTTTTTTGAAGCTTAAAAATGACCTTACGTGTTTTGGACACTAAAAATAAACTAGAACTGAAAAAAAGTTGAAAGTAAAAAAAAAGCGACCGAACCGACCAATTTTTTTCACCTTGATAGTCATTTTTTTCTGGCTTTGAGTGGAAATTTTTTTATTTGAAATATGATAGTTTTTTTGAGTTTTTGGATAAGGCTTGAATGTTCTTTTTTTCTCAAAAATGTTTACATGAGTTTTCAGTAAGAAACAGAAAAATTTCAGGTCAAAAATCAAAAAGTTTGGCATGGAAATTATTGAAAAAAAGACAAAAATATCCTATTTTAGGCCGGTAATGTTTGGTTTTTTTGAAGCTTAAAAAAATGACATATTCGAGAATTCTACGCATTTTGGACAATCAAACAGTATGAAATTTTAAAAAAAAACCTTCCCAAGTTTCCAAAAAAAAAAAATGGTAATTTTAAAAAAACGACCGATTTTTCCAATTTAAAAGTCATTTCCTTGGTTCTTAATTATCATCATTAATTTCATTGCAGCAGAAATAGACCCAGTGGTTTTCCTGGCGACGAGTAACCTCCGAGTCGGCGTCATAACCCATCGGGGATCATTTTTCACTTGGTTGGACGAAAATGCGTGTGGATTTCGGGCTTCTAAAGCCACTATTGTTCGTTTAAAAAGAACAAAAAATCCTCAATTCCCTCATTTTTCCAGGCCAGAGGCAAATTCACTTTTGATGACGTTGGCAATATCAGCGACGTCTTCATTAGCGACTATCTTTTCGGGTTCCGGATCGGAAATACCATTTCCTGGGCGTGAGTTTCTTCTTAAGGGAAATGAAAATAAAATGGCTTGAAAAGACAAAAATAAACTTTTTGAGGCTCTATAAAAAAATAATATTCTTTAAAAACTATTTAGGCATAAGTTTTTGGGAAGAAAAACTGAAGAAAAAAAGGCTTTTGGAATATGATTAATTCAATGTTTTTGATCCAGAACAGATAATTTTTTTATAATTTTTTTCCCGTTTATAAGGCTCCGGAGAAAAAAACTTTCAAAAAAAGCAAAAAAATGTATTTTCTAGGGAATAAATGTTCAGAAAAATGCCAATATTGCTTATACTTTTTGGCTCTTCTTGCGCGGAAAAAAATCTCATTTTTTTCTGAAAAACAATAATTTTTTTAGAAGGAAATGAACAATAAAGAGGAATATTCACTGTAAGATTGCTACAAAAAAATTTTTCGAATATTCAAAAAAAGTTATTTCAAGCTTCTCTAAAACATTTTTTTAGTTATTTCCTTCTGAAAAAAACATGAATTTTGAAGGAGAAAAATAAATTTTTTTGTTGGTTTAAAGCTGCTTTTTTTGACGCTCATAGGTCGAAAAAAATCAGAATACGATGGGAAAGAATAATTTGAAGAACTTTATTTTTCAATTATTCTGTTTTTCTTTTTATAATGGAAATTGGTTATCAAAAAAATATCACATTTTAAGTTCCAAAAGCTTCATTTTTTTGTTATAAAAAAATTGAATATTTCAAGTTTTGGAATAGCTTTTTTTCCTGGATCAAAGTATCCCTTTTTCACCTTTTGAAAAATTCTTTTTTTCTCGAAATAAAAAAATTTAAATTACAGCTATCAAAAACTTTTTTTATCTCTGGACAAATAAAGCATATTTCTAGTTTTGAAATTTAATATAATGCATTATTTAACTTCAAAAAAACTCTTTCATAAATTGAAAAATATATTTCAAACCATCCTTTTTTTCAGGGGCTTCATTCCGCTGGCCGAACGGCTCAAGACTTATGAAAAAGAGCGGGCGAAACACGCCAAAAAGCACGTTTCCTTCAAGGACGGGAACTCGGACGATATCGTCGAGGGATCCATTGTGCGTATCAATAAAAATATATTGAAAGATTGAAAGGAGATAAAAAAATAAAAAAAGGGTCTTTAAAACGTTTTTTTCGTCTATTTCTTGATGGAAAAAGAACTATTCAAACAATAGGTTATGGATGAAAAAGTATTTTTTTGTGAAAATTGGCCTTTTTATTACAGAACTTTATTTCTGAAATAAAGAGCAATCGCTGGAAAAAAATAACTGAAAAAAAGAATTTTTTTCGATTTTGTTAAAAAAAGAAAGGTGAAGGAATACTTTTTTTCAGGGATTATGAGTATTATTAAATGCCGAAACTAAAAAAATTGGCATATTAATTTGATAAAATCAACGGGAAGCAGCAGCTCGAAAAGTCGCTCTTTTTCGAGCTGCTGCTTCCTCATTTTTTTCAAAAAAAGTACATTCTTTAAAAAATTGATTCTATCAAATATCTTCTGTTCAGGAGTATTGTAATATTCTTTTGCTGAAAAAAATTTTTATTTTTTTAGGTTCAAACGAAGGCCTTGCCGACGTATCGAGCTGGAAGCGTGGCTCTTCTCGTGGACACTTGTCGGCCTGTGGTGGGGTTTCCTTTTTGGAACTGTTGCTAGAACTATCTAAAAAAAAATTGAAAAGAAAAATTAAAAAAGAAGAAAAAAACTGACAAAATAAGCTTTTACCATAATATAGTTTTAGTGTTAGAAGTAGCTTGAGTTTCTGAGAAAACTATAAAATCAAAACTATGGAAGTGGGTATTGAACTATTACGTGGAGGGAAAAGCTCATTTTTTCGCCTCCTTCTTTTTTTCTCCTAAAAGATCCTTTTTTCAGAAAAAAAAGGAGCCTTTGAGGCCCTTGAAAAGTCACTTTAGATCCTTCCGGCTTTTATTTTTGTTAATATTAGAATGTGATTTGTGGAAAATACAGTATGTTCTGACGTTACTGTAGATCCAAGAGGTATTTTCCATATCCCAAGTGTTATAAAAAGCTCAAAAAGAAGTATTTTTGTGTTTCTACTTTTCAAAATTTGTGAAAGGAAACTTACACGTTCATTTCTAACAAGGAAAAAAAATTGCAAAAAACTTTTGCACAGCGTGGGGAGCGAAGCTATGACCCCGCGTGAGTTCGAAGCCAACCTAAATCATGAGCAAAATTCTTCTTCTTCCGTACCGCTTAGCGGCGTCGGCGTCCCAAGTCGATTAGCCGAGGTCCTATCCTGATAATCAGTGGACTGGCTCCAGTGACATATCCGTCCTTGGGGGGTTATGAAGCCCTGGTTTCCCACTACCAACATTTCTCGAACCCCTTGATTGGGCCGAGGCGAGGATCGAACTTGTGACCCTGTGGACCGTAGACAGGCACACAACCTGTTGCGCTACGGCGCGAAAATATTGAAAAAACCAATGATGATTCTCCGTTTCAGGTTGTGGTCCTTCTGGAAGACGCCTGGTCGACCAACGACCGATGCCGATTCCACGTGATGGCACCCGCAGACTACGACTCCGAACGGGAGGTCCAAGAAGACGTCAAACCCGAGCCTTCTCAGACGTCTGTCGTCGTCGCGCCGACTGGTCAATCTTGTGATAAACTAAAAATAATCGATATTAATGATTCCTGCCGTTTATTTTGGTGGTATGAAAAAAAAGAACAGCGAAAAAACGGCGACTTTTCCGATTTTTTCATATCGCCAGGGAGATTTCCGACGAATCTTTTTCCGATTTTTTTTCTCGATAAACTCTTCGTCTTGAATCTTCCTATATAATTTAGGTAGTTGGTTCATGATTATAACACAAAGAAATAGGAAAAAAAAAGTTTATAAGTGTTTTATAAACCGAAAAACATATGGGAAAAAGTCGGAAAATTCCCTGGCAATATGAAAAAATCAGAAAAGTCGCTTTTTGATTTCTCGCTGATCTTTTTTTCATAACACCTTCATTTCCACTTTTTTTTGGGAGTTTTTCGCGTTATTTCGCCTTCATATTTAAAAAAATGTTTGAAGATGATCATTGAATGTTTTTGGCTATTTTATCGGTTCAATGTTCAAAAAAATTACCACTTGTCTGCTCCCTTTACGAGAAAAACGTCAAAATAGGAAAAATTCTCTAAGCTTTGCAGAATAATGATGATTTGTTTTTAGAAAGAAATCCGGAAAATGTGGAAACTTTTATCTAAATAATTTAAAATCTCTATACAAAGTCGAAAAGAAAAAATCAATACCTTGGAAGTTTTTTTGCTTTTTTTTAGTGTCCATCAGATCAAAAAGAAAAAAATTCAACATTTTTTTATACTCATTATCATTTTTTTAACATTCCAGACAGCCGAAAAAAAGGCGCGCCCCATCGAGCCCTTCAAAAGTTTACGAGGAGATTTTCGGAATCGATGACGTCATCTGGATCCATCATCATCGACCCCACGAAGTCGCCGTCGTTAACACGGTTCCAAAGAGAGGATATTCGAAGAAAAATGATTTTTTTTTAGTTGGATGGCAATTATGTGGGTTTGGAGTACATGGAGGACTACTACGAACGGGAATTCGAGAGCAAAATGAGTGTGGCGATTTCGAATGATGTCAAGGTTGGTTTTGAAGATTTTGGAACGTTTTAGGCTTGAAAAGTTTAAATTTTAATCAAAAAAAGTTCGTCCAGTGACTGAACAACTTTCAAAATCTAAGCTTATTTTTTTCGAGAAATTTTTGATCTTCGGAGTTTTTTTGAGAAAAAAATATCATTTCAAGGCTGGAAAAAAATAATAATTTTGCTCACAATTTTTTTCAGTGACAGAAGAAATTCAAAAATAAGATTTTTCTGAGTTTCAAATAAATTTAGCACGTAAAACGTACTTGAAAATAAGCTTGAAATTTTTTTCGCGTACCTTTTTTTCTGTGTAGAAAGATCTTCTTCAAAAATCGAGGATTCACTTTTTTAAGATTCAAAGAAACTCAGAGCATTATGAGGCTCATAAAGTTGAATTTTCACTCAAAACCATATATTTCAATGCTATAAAAAAATTTCAAAACGAAGTTTTTTTAAGTTTCGAAGAAATTTAGTGCGTTTGAAGCTGTAAAAATTGAATTTTTTTATCAAATTATTGATAAAAATTTAAGGTTTTATCTGTTGTGAGATTTTAAGTTCTTTTTTTAAAGGACTTTTAACATTTCAGGCTTTAAATAATGAGGTTTTACTCGCAATATATTTTTTTCGAAGTTTGTGAGTTTCGAAGCAAACCAGTGCATTTTAAAACTCTAAAACAAGAAAATTCTGCACCCAACTGTTCATATAGTAATAGAAGAACTTCAAATTTCGATTTTTTTATTAGTAGCCGGGTTTTTAATTTTCTGAGTTCCTAAGAAATTTAAACCATTTTTGAAAGCTTGAAAAAAATTTTTCATTCACTAATTTTTTTAGTCGCAATATTTTTTTTCTTTTTTTATTTTCAAGTTCATTCCTTTATAAAATTGTGAACAAAAAGCCTCATGACGGTTCTATTTGATACTCTTGATTTTATTTTCAAATTAATTATTCGTTGATTTTTTTCCAGGCGGTCCGACAAGGAAAGCTGCGACTTTTGCGAAAAGATGACGTCATCAAAGTTGACTCGAGTCCCACGCGATTCCCGACCATTTTGCAGAAGAGCGTGCAGAAAATCAGCATCGATCCGTCCAAAAAAGTCATCTCGGCCGTCGCGGACCTCAATGGTCCGTTTTGAAAAGATAAAAAAACAATTTCCATGCAAAAAGTCAAAGGAAAACTCATTTATTCAGGAAAATTTAAAAATGATCAAAACATTTTCCGAAGCAAGATAATAGAAAACATTTTTTTAAAGAAAAGATTGCTTTTTTCTGTTTTATACAATTTTTGAGAAAGTTTAAAGTTGATTCCCGGAAATAATTGTAGAAAAATTTTTGTGAGAAATTCACATGTAAGATTATTTTCAATAGGATTCTTGAGTAAAAAAACCTGAAAAATTTAAAGATTTTTCTCAGGTAAAAAAATGTGTCCGGAGTGAATTTTTTTCGAAAGAAGCAATATGAAAGATAAAGAGAATCTTGTTTCTAACTCAAAAAAAGATATCATATTTCCAGGATTCCGTCTGCTCGTTCAACGCGGACCTTTCATGTACCTGTGCCGGTTGACCGTCTTGGGAAAAATCGCCTCCGAAGTCAAATTGCCGATTCATTCGGATATTTTGTTCGCGAATGGCGATCCGAAGCTTGTCACTATTGGCGATGTCAGTTTTGATTGAAGTGGATAATCTGAAATATTTGAAAACATTATTTTTTTTGTAAAATCTTTAAAGTTTTATCAAAGCGTCAATGAAAAGCTTAGAGCGAGGTACTGGTTGGCAATCAGTAATTTTTGAACTTTCAAAATTTTTTCGATTTTTCTCTGAAAAGGAGCTGAATTCCGTTAGTAGCAGTTTGAATTAAAGAAAAATCCTTACTTTTTCATTTCAATCACTTTATTTTCGCAACATCGGGATGGTATGGTGATGTTGCAGGGAGGGAAAAAGACGACTAGGTGGATTAACTAACCCCACCTGTAAAGAAAAAAATTTGTGTGTCAGAGAAGAAACATAGAAACATAATAAGTAGATATTTAAAACCAAGTTGATTATGGCATTTGAACTCTTGAAAAAAACCTTATTATTAACCTTATTTATTTTTTTCACTTTGTGGATGAGTAAATTATTATTATTAATTATTATTATAAAAAAATATGCTCGACGCCAACATTCCCTGTATACACTAAAAACGTGTCCTTAAATTTTTTCTTGTTTTTTTCTGCCAATAGTTCATGTTCAATGTCATTCCAAACATTAGTAATGCGATGTGATAAGAAATTGAAGAAAACCAGTGAAGGTTTCGTTTTTTTATTAATTTGAAATTCATATTTCTTCTATCAAAAAAATATGCGGATTTTTCCCTTGAAAAGGAGCTTTATTTCAAAAAGTGGTTGAGGGATTTTGAAACAAGGCCAGGATCGAAAATTTCATCCTACAAAACTTTTTTCTCCAAGAAAAAGGTCGCTAGCATCACTATGGCTTATTTTACAAGCTTTTGAAGATTTTCTAATTCATTTTGAGGCTTTTTTTTTCGAAAAAATCCGAAAATTGTGCAAGTTGGGACTTTAAGACATTATATTGTTCATGGAAGAGTTTTCATATCGATTTTTAGAGATTTGCGACCACAAAGTGGAAAAAACTTCTTTTTGAGTGTCTAAATTTTCAACAATATTCAAAAAAATAACGGCTGATGTCAATGTCGCAAAAACGGAAAAAAAAATGGCCAAATAGCTGTTTAGGTATTTTGGAAGCTCTTTTCCGTAGCCTTTTCAGGATCAGAGCCCTCTTTGCCCATGAAAAAATCGAAATTCTTAGAATCCGAATTCTGAATTCCAGGCCAGAACAATCTTCATCCAAGAGGCGAACGGCAGTTTGATTCCGCTGGTCCGCGACGAGGTCCAAGGCATTCGGGAGCCACCTCCAATGCACGCTCCGCCCACGCGTTTCATCGCCACTCATGCCCGACCTGTCGATGAAGTGGCCACCGTTTCGAAGGTAGTATATAAGCGATTTGTAAGGCTAGAAATGACGCGTAGCGGCTTGCGAAGCGGTCGAAGTCTTGCCATTTTCTTAGGAATGCCATAGTGGTCGTTGGAGGGGTTAAGGAGAAAAAAAAAGCGTCTATAGTGGAAAAATAGTGCTTCCTAGAGGGCTGGAGTTTAAGTGATCCCTATAGAGGCTCAGGGTCTGATCCTTGAAGCCCCTGAGTAGCTCCTATAGTGGTTTCTTGATTTTTAGTATTTGAAAGTTAAAAAGGCGTGTAGGGACCACTCGCATGCTCCCCTAGAGTGGCTACTTTTGCAAGCTTAGTACTTGAATTTTCTGCGAATTTTTTGAATAAGAGGCGTAAAAAAACTTTAGTGGCTTCTTGAGAGGTTCCTAAATTACTACTTGGAGAGAGCACTAAAATGTCGAACCTCTGAAGTGTCCACTTAAATTTTTCCTAGTAGAGCTAGAACTTTCAGGCGTTATAATGTGACTAGAAGGCGAAAAATATAGATTTTCTGCGATTCTTTGGGGTCTGAGGACTCAAAACATTTTAGTGGCTACTTGAGAGGTTGCTCAAGGACATCTTGGAGAGAGCAATGAAACGTCAAAGCTCTAAAGTGGTCACTAGAATTTTCCGAGTAGTTAGAACTTTTTGGCGTTATAACTCGACTGAAAGAAAAAAGACTCGAAATTTCTGCGATTTTTTTGGGATCAGAGGACTCCAAACACTTTAGTGGCTACTTGAGAGCTTGCTCAAGGGCTACTTGGAGAGGACGGTAAGCCCTTAGGTGGCCACTGAGACGTCGAAACCCTAGAGGGTCCACTAGAAATTTCCCAGTAGTTAGAACTTTTTGCCGTTGTAACTGAAATGAAAGGAGAAAAACTTGAGTTTTATGCTACTTTTCGGTGTCCGAAAAAAATCAGCGAATTCTCAAACTGTGTCCTTTTCTTTGTATGCAAATATGTGTGAATATGTGAAAATGTATGTTTTTCTATTGAAGAACCACGGCTCGAGGTGGGAAGGGACTTTGGTCTGCGTGACGGGAACCGACAGCGATATCCATCATCGATTCTTGCCCGCCACCATGAGTCTCATGCATTTGGTCCTTTTCGCCGATTATGAAGGCGTCAAGGATTGCCTCAACCATCTGAGGTCTATCAGAGGTTCGTTTGAAGGGAAAAAGGTTCTTTCAACAAAAAAAAAGCTTCTAGGCGTACCCAAGAGTTCTTCATCATGTCATTTTCGCACCTTTAATGAAATTATACTGGAAAGCCACTAGAAATATGCCAGCGGTTTCAATTTTCCTTCAAATATTGATTTTCCAGACTCGCACGCGATCGACATGGAGACGTACACGCGACTCATGCGCGAAGAACTGATGGGAATGCCGTCGGACGGCTGCTGCAACGTCCTGCACGCCGCCCTGCGAATCGCGGTCGCCGAGAAGAACTCGAACAACGTCGACAACGCGGCGCCGGCCCAGCCGCCGCAGCCCCCCGCGAATCCCCCGATGATCGTCGGCGAACCTTCCCGCAACGTGATCCAGGGCGGGGCGCCCGTTCCAGTCCTCTCCATGCAGCAGATCTTCGGAGAGCTCAACGACCTACACGGCCTGCAGCAGATCAACATCCAGCCGCCCATCCCGCCCCAGCAGCAGCAGGATGCTCCTAGTTCGTTCTTGAGTTGGAACAGAAAAAATAGCGAGTTTCCCAGTCCCGAAGAGTACTGTATGAGAAAGTCCGCATTATTTAGTATGCGTTTGCACTTTTGCTGCGTGACGTTTAGGCTACTAAGTATACCTGGCAAGATAAAAGCGCGGTTTCTTGGCGATGTCGCAGTGTTGCTTCATAGCCGTGTAAGACTCGCATTTTCCTTGACGCGATCTCGCTGGCGGTACTTTGACGATATCGCAAAATTGCTGCTTTTTATCCGCGTCAGACTCGCATTTTCCTTGACGCGATCTCGTTGGCGGTACCATGAAGATATCGCTGAAGTTCTGCTTTTTGGAAGATTTCGTCTCGCATATATTTTTCGCGTTTTCGTTTGCACATTGGCGATATCGCAAAAGTTCTGCTGTCTATCCGAATAATACTCGCGTTTTCCTTGAAGCGATATCGTTGGCGGTAAATTTACGATATCGCCAGAATTGCTGCTTTTTACAATGTTCATTTATTTTTTGCTTTTTCGTTTGCGACACATTGGCGATATCGCAAAAAGCGCTGCTTGGTAGCCACGTCGATCTTGCGTTTTTCTTCCCCCTCACGGTAAATTGACGATATCACAAAAGAGAGGCTTTTCAACCGCTTCGGTTTCGCGATCTCTATTGAGGTACATTACCGATATCGTAAAAGGGCTGTCTTTTAGTTGCGTCGCGCAATTTCGCGATTTTTCTTCGTGCGTTAGAAACGCGATGTCGCGTCAAGGAGAAGGCGAGGTTGGAGCAGCGGTGAAAAAGCGGCCGTACCGCTGACTGACATCGCTTTCCTTTTGCGCCGGACTTGGCCTTATTTGAATTTTCTTCTTGGGTAACGTTACGCAACAAAAGTGCACGTCTCAGGAATTTTACTTACAGTACTCTTTGGAATAAAAAATTTCGTCATGGCGTTAAAAATTCTAAGTGTTTTTAATGTGCGGAAGTACAGGACGAAAACTTCGGGAAAAAAAAACAAACTTAAAATTAAGTTTTAAGCTAGGGAAGGTGGTGCTAATAAGAGAATAGTTCAAATTGTTTTAGGCTAAATTTTATCAATCAAAAAACTTTTCATTCAGATCGATGGCAATCAGTCCTTCGAGGAAGGTCCAACCGAAGATCGGACGGCTCTGGAGGAGAAAGTCCGGGAAATCGTCCAGATCCTGCTGAGCTCAGCCAGCTCCTGAGAGGTTGGTAGAAGAAAATACAGCGAATTTTGAGCCAAGAAGGAGTTTTAGTGAGATGAAACTAGAAAGAGAGTGTTCTATTCGAAGTTTCCGGTGTTATAGTAGTCAAATTAGTGACCCCTTGAGGGGTTAAAAATTAGTATCTACTATAGAGGTCTAAGTGTTACTACTAGACAACTAAACATTTTAGTGGCCACTTTAGGGGTCAATGGATCACCATAACTGGTCCAATCTGTTTGTTTTAAATTATCAGAGTTACTGGAAGGAATACTGGATGAAAAACTACTGAAGTGGCCACTGAAACGGAAAATAGTGGCCACTTTAGTGTCCTTTCCAAGTAGTCCTTGGCGAGCCTCTATAGTGGCCACTTAAAATCTTCCCAGTATATTCGTTTTTTTTTGAGATGTCCCGGAGGAATACCCCAGAGTCCCGCCAGGGCCCATCGAACTCGCCATCCGACTGAAACGATACAACCGACCGCCGAACCCGCCTCCCTACGCGACTGGCAACCCGATCAGCGATCCCGTCGAGCGACAACGCAACGCGATCCGCATCATCGAGCTGATCACGACCCATCTGGCCGTCTGCGAACGCTACGAGGACAGCGCCCGAGACGCGCTCATGCTGGGCCCGCTCAGCGACACGTTGAAGCAGTGCGACGTCACCGGAATGACCCCCTTCATGCTGGCCATCCATCTGAGGTCCTACGTCGCCGCCCGCCACATCTGGAAGGCCATCACCGGCCTGGCCAAGGTGACTAGTCAGATTTCTTTGGAAGAACTGGGGGAGAGGAGAGTTGACAATGAAACATGGGATGAAATTGTTCACCTTTTCGTTCTCAGGAATGAATAGAGCCATTCAAAGGCATATGAGCAGTTTTTAACAAGATTTGAGGTGAAAGTAGAGAATGGAAATTCGAAAAAAACAAAGAAAAAAGCGGAAATTCGAAAAATGGCGATGCCTGTTGTCCGTAGAGCAACTTTACTTCGAAACGCCCTTTTCGCGGTCATTCAAATTATTTTCCACTCTGAGCTATTTTTCCTCCAAAACTAGAAAGTCTAAACGTTTCCAATTTCATTGTCCCACGCGGTTTGGAATATTATGAAAGTTGGCTCGGAGAAGTTCTAGCTGATTCCTCACTGTTTAACCTGAAAAAACTTTTATTGGAGGTAGTGAATTTTGAACTTACGAAGTGATGGACACGCCCCGGAAGTTTTCTGAGCGTTTCTAGGTACCACAGTGCACTGAAAGAGTCAGGACGCTTCTGATCGATTCTAGAAACGTTTTAAGAGCTCTGACGCCGCTAAAGTGGTCCGGACACTTTTAAGCAGTTCTAGGGACCCCTCAAGAGTTGTGATGCCGCTTAAGTGGTCACTAGAAATCTCGGAAACGTCTGGGGCGTGTCACAAAAATCCGAGTAAAAGCGAATTTCTGTGCTTTGGAAAATCTTGACTACCAGAATAGAAGACTTTCACGAGAATTTTTGAGATTATTTTCAAAATTTTCAAAATATACTGACCTCGCTTGTTAGATTTTGTGTCAAGAAATTTAAGCTCCGCCCCTAAGGCCGCAATAATCCAATTAGTGATTGAGCACATAGTTTTTTTGAATGACGTCACTGTGCTTTACATTCAAAATCTGAGCAAACTACACATAAAATTCGAAATTTTCGCTTACTATTCAAATTATTAGTCACCTTTTTCACTTTCTAACAGGTTTTGAATTTCGCATAATTGTTCTAAACACGGCAATAGGGGCTCCTTCTCGAGTATTTGAATCCTAGAACTCCTGGGAAGAAACAGTCCTAAATCCTTGAACTCTTAAAAAGCTAAAAGGCTTGAAAAATGGATAAAAAGTAGCAAAACAAATCGATTCTCCAATGAACCCTACTCTACATCTTTCGGTGTCCTTTTAGAAGCTCTTTTGAGAATTTTCGGCAAAATTTTTCAATTTTTTCAAATTAAGCGCCATGTGAACATGGACTATGTGTTCCCGACCCAAAACCAGAACTCCTACTGCAACCCGGACAACTCGCCGCTCTTCCTGCTCTGCTACAACGACACCTGTTCGTTCACCTGGACCGGGGAAGATCACATCAATCAGGTGATTATCTTAGAGAAAGTAACGGGAAAATAATATTTTTACCGTTTTTATCATTTTTATTAATTGTGTAATTTTTTTCTTAACAAAGAAAGAAGAAGCTCAAAATCTTTAATCATGTTCGAGAAATCAGTTACGTTTTTTCTGCTCCATAAGCGATCCTTTCAGACTAAACTTGCACTTATCTTTCGAAAGCGTGCTTTCCTTTCCGGGTGAGAACGAAGATTTGTAAGAATGAGCTCAAAAATGTGTTTCTTTAGGAAAAAAAATCAGTCGCTTTTCATTTATTCATAACAGGTCTTGATCATGTTATTCCGTTCTTACCTCTCAATAAATGTTATAAAGGAGGTGTTTAAGGACATTTACGAGTGCCGAACTTGTGGCCTGACAGGCTCTCTGTGCTGCTGCTCCGAATGCGCCTTGACTTGTCATCGGAATCACGACTGCAAGCTGAAGCGGACCTCGCCCACGGCCTATTGCGACTGCTGGGAGAAGTGCCCTTGCAAGGCTTTGGTCCGTTTTTTGGAAATAACCGTGCATCTCAAAGACATCTTCCAGGTGGCCGGCAGCGAAAAGAAACGCGAAGAACTGCTCCTAGAGCTCCTAAACCACACGCGCCTCTACGAGAAGCTCAACGGCCGCGGCGAACACCTCCTCCTCTTCCTGGCCCGCACCATCATTCGCCAGCAACGCGAGCAGTCGTGTGTCCAGCCGCGGTCCAGTCGCCGTCGCGGACATTACCCCGGCGACCGCGACTCGCCCGCCGCCTCCATCAACATGCCCGAACACGACCTCCTCCCGCCCACCTTTGCCAAATTCGCCATGGAAGCTTGTCTCAAGAAATACGACATTTTGAGAAGCGCCATCGAAGTCGGACTCGTCTCGCCGTCGACGTGAGTAGAGGGGGAATTAAGAAATAATTGAAAGAAATTATAAATTCCTTCAAGATCAGTAGATGAGTTTTTAGAAGGTCAGAATAAAATTTGAGGCTTGGAAGATCAGGATTCACTAGATCAGAAAATCATCAGCTTGGAAGATCATCAGATTCACTATAGTATGTTCAGATTTTGAATGTCAACCAGCTAACTCCGCCCCTCATCGCGCGGGACTAATTTTGATCTTTTTCGATCTAAAAAATAGAAAAAGAGGTCAAAAAAGCAGCCTTATTAAAGGGCCATTGGCATATGTAGATAAAACATTGACGCGAAAGATATTGTAGCCTTGGGGGTGGAGTTAGCTGCTTGACATTCAAAATCTGAACAGACTATAGATCAGAAAAACCTTCGCGCTGTAGAAGAACAGTGAAGATCACAGATTAGTAAATCAAAGATCAAAGATCAATATATTAATAGATCAGTAAGCATCAAGGCATAAAGATCAATAAAGATCCGAGATCAGTTAAGATTTAAGATCAGTTGGAAATCAGTAGATCAATGAAGATTAAGGATTTGTAGATCACTAGTGAAAGATTAGAATGAACTTCAAGGCATAAAAAAAACAGTAGAGGCGAAAAATCAGAATAACTTTTAAAATGTAGAGAACCATCAACGTTCATTAATAGTAGAAAAGGAATAAGCCTTAAGGCATAGTAGATCAGAAAAAAATCAAAGATGAGTAAAGATCAAATATCAGTTAACATAGTAGATTAGTAAATGTCAGTAGAGTAATAAAAAATATTGAGATCAACTTTAAGGCTCAAAAGATCTGCAAAGATCAAAGTGATGGAGTCAAAAGATCAGAATAAGCTTCGAGGCTTAAAACATTAGTAGTGATAGATTTTCGGAAACGCAGTTGAAGAAAAGCTACCGTAAACGCAAGATTTTGCGCTTTTGATTGCGGGGTCCGACTTGTGTGCGAATTTTCTCCGATTAGTTTGAAAATTCATTCATATTTTCAGAACCGAGGAGATGAGCCGCGACGAAATGCATCTGAACGTCCAAAGTGGAGCCACGCATCTTGACAAATTGGTCTTCTGCCTGCTGAATAAGTCCATGGAAAAGGTCCTGATTCCTTCTTTTTAGAGCAGTACGAGGGTCGGCCCGTAAGCCTAATTTGAACGGCTCGGATTTAAAAATTTTCCGCACAGTCATATCGATTTTTATTATATTTATTCGACATTTTTCAGTACCTCCGAATGGTGATCAACACGTTGGTCGCCGAATCGACGAGTTACGTTGCCAAGCAAAATTTCAACTTTGAAGTGGTGGGTTTATATCAAAACATTCATAAAGGGCCTTTATTTGAAAAAAAATATGTTCAAAAGGAAGAATGAACTTTTTTTTCACTCTAAAAGCAGTATATGACTACACTTTCATTTGGAGAAAACATAAATTTTTATTCAAAATTTCGGTTTTTCCGTGACCAAGAAAAAAACGTCTTGATGAGAGAAACAGTTCAATTTTCAGTTATCCTCGAGATTCATGAGAAGTATCGTTCGACTTTTGACGCTCTGCTTTAATGTTTCTCCCGTTGCCGCCTCGACTGTTCTCACGGGTTTCTTTTTCTTCACTGATAAAAATAAGGGCTGCGCGTCTTAGGAACTCCAGAGTGGTCCCTATAGGGGCGACCTTAGGCGCCCTTGAACGTTCCCCTTCTGCGGCCACTTCAGGAGAGCATTCTAGCGGTCCTTATTCGTCTTTTCAACTTAGACCACTATAGGGGCTACTTGAGCTTTAGGGACTTGACCCTGAACCGCTTGAGGTACCATATGAATTTCACCCCTAGACGGCCCTTTTCTATCCCCTGTAGGGTCTCTAATTTCCCTTAACCCTATAGGGATCACTCTGCGGTTTCTGAGGTAGTCTGGCCTTGGAGGCCCGTGTCTCAAAAGGTTTTGAACCGTGGATCAAGTGATCAAAAACTTGGTTAAATTTAAATTAGAATCATTCAACTTTGAAATCAAAAGCAAAAAATCCAGAATTATAACTAGAAAAAGCCCTGGGCAAAATTTCATTTGTTGATGACAGATTTACCTTTTGAATGAATAAAAAGTTCTGATTTTCTTAGGAAAAGCCCCCGAGCCATTCACCTCGCCTCGTGACGACCACAAGAACAGATTGATCCAAGCGATCGCCATGTCCGGTTTTCTGCATGTTCGACGGGATCCTACCAACAAGGCCGATCGGACCAACGCGTGAGTTTGATGGGGAAAAAAGCGGGCGGAAATCGGGTATAACCGGTCGTTTTCGCTTCTGAATCCAATTTGACACCGAGTGAGATTGGAGGGAAAAAATAGGGCGAAAATCGGGTGTAATCGGCCTTTTTCGCTTCAGAATTCAAGTTTATTACTGAGTGAGATTGAAGGGTAAAAATAAGGCGAAAATCGGGTATGACCGGTCTTTTTTGCATCGTATTTTAATTATACCATTGCTCGAGTGTATGAAAAAAAAAAATAATGGGCAGAAATCGGGTTTGACCGAAAATTTTCGCTTATAAATGAAGTTTCACAATGAATAAGTTTAAAGGAAAAAAAATGGGCGAAAATCGGGTATGACCGGTTGCTTTCGCTTCAGAATGTTTTCCACAAATTCTTGGGTTCATAAGAGAAAAACGGGCGAAAAACGGGTATGACTGGCCATTTTCGCTTAGAATTCAATCTGACCACTGAGTAAGTTTGAAGGGAGGAATTGGGCGATTATCGGGCATGACCTATCTAGTTACTTCAAGGGACGTTTAATGGGAAAAATGCGATAAAAAATGAAAAAAATTTCCTGGTACCGGAATAGACGGGGCTCCATCGACGGGCCGATTAAAAATTTCAATTTTTAAAGAATCGCCAACGTCGTCCTCCGAGGAATCGAAGTGCTTCGGTCCCTCCCGATGGTCGCCCTGGTGGAAGTCGTCGGAACGGCCGACGCCCTCTTCTCGACGGTTCGCTACGGCGTCGCAAGGGAAATGATCAACCCCATCATGCTCGGCAACCATGACCCTCTTGAAGTCCTCCTCTCCTCATTTATCCATTTTCATCCCGATTTTCCAGGTCATTGACAAGTTCCTCACCTCGGAACAGTCCTACCAAGACCTCCTGCAAAAAGTTCGATCGGAAGCTGAAAATGCGGAGTTTTCTTCGAAGAGAAAGAGAAAGGTACAGGGAATCTATAGCGTCTGATTTCTCTGCGATGCTCTCATTTTTACGTGCTGTTTTTGCCGTCCTTTGAGCTCACTGGAGAGAGAGAAGAGAGCGCAGACAAGTTAGACTGTCAAGAGTCATGAGAGTCGACAAAACTTGAAAAAGTCGGTTTTCTCTGCAACGCTCCTATTTTTTCATGCTTTTTCATTTTTCTTTAACCTAACCAGTGAGGGAGAAGAGAGCGCAGATAGGTCAGATGGTTCATTTCGTGAAAAATTGAGTATATATCAACAGAAACTTTCTGATTTCTCTGCGACGCTCTCATTATTACATGCTATTTTTGCCCTTCTTTGACCTCACTGGAGAGAGAGAGAGAAGAGACGCAAACAAGTTAGAACGCCAAGAGTCATAAGAGTCGACAGAACTTGAAGACGTCTGATTTCTCTGCGACACTTTCATTTTTACATGCTCTTTTTATTTTCCTTGACCTCGCCGGTGAGGGAGAAGAAAGCGCAGACAGGTCAGACTGTTAAAAGTCATAAGATTCGAAAATGTCTGATCTCTCTGCGATGCTCTCATTTTACATGCTGTTTCATTATTTTTTGACCTCACTGGAGTGAGAGATAAGAGAGCGCAGACAAGTCAGGCGGTCAAAAATATTAGCATATCGAGTATATAGCCCGGTCAACGAAACATGTAACCGTCTGAATTTTTTTTTCATGCTTTTTTATGTTTCTTTGGCCTCACTCGAAAGAGGAAGAAGAGACGCAGACAAGTTAGACTTTTTATTCGAAAAAGATTTATAAGAGGAAATTTATAGAGCAGCCGAAAAGAGACGGAACGCGAGGAGGAAGAACGACGAGAGAGCGAGGAGGACGTGGAGAGTGAAGCCGGTGAGAGACTTTTTGAAAGGAGAATTCTGTGCTCGACTTGCATGCTCCCACTGAATATAGAAATTTAAAAAAATCAAATAAGTTATTTTTATTCAATCACAGATTTTTGGAAAATGTCGAATTTCGCGGTAGTTTACTTTAAAAAATGAAAAATGATGAAAAGAGCCGTTAAAAAAAATTAAAATGGAAAAAATGTTTATTTTGATCGCTCAAAGAAAAATCTAATAATGCGAAAATGGGTATTTTTGAAAATATAATTGAATTTGGAAGTTCTCACCACTTAAGTGATCTCTTGATTGGTTAGTTTAGCCATTCCAAATGCGGCTATCAACTTGGTATGACTTTAGTAAAAAGAAATGATATAATGAACTTTTAAACGGAGAAAATTCATAAATTGCTTATTTTCCGAAAAAAAAGTTATTTATTTTCAAGAAACAATGTTAAGGGAGATAAAAATAGCCTCTTTGGGAGTTTTAAATGGATTTTTTTCTGAGTTTCAAAGAAGACAGATATGAAAATTCTGTCTTGGAAAAAAAAATTCGAAAAAATCGTTAGAATTGAAAAAAAAAAGTTCAACAAGCTTGCGTTGCACTATGAAAAAAATATTAGAAATGATAAAAATAATGAAAAAATCGCGATAATTTGGATAAGTTATTTCGAAAAACCCTGGATAGTTCAAAAAAAAAAAAAAACAAGTTCAACACATTCGATTCAACAAGTTATTGCACAAAAATGGCCCCACCTCCACCTTGTTCTCAACGAGAATTCTCAAAAAAGCCCAACTGCACAGGCGACGGATCGCAGCCGCCGTCGACGCAGCGACGGCGACGTCGCTTCGACGACAGCGTGTCGCGAGACTCGGCGACTGGTCGAGCCAGCGATTTCGAAAGTTGGTTTCCGTGTGGTTTGTCGGCCCCGTCGTCGTCCGCTTTGCATGGGCATGTTGCTCTGTTTTTCGGAATTTCGATGGGAAATCTCCAAGTCCACTAAAAGAATAGACATAAGTTGGAAGATAAGTTGAGAATTTTTTTAAAAAAATTTGGGTTTTCCGGGTTTTTTTCGGTGCCTAGGTTCAATGGAATCGGAAAAAGCCTCGAAAAATTAAAAAAAGAGACTTGATTTTAATAGGAGTTCTTCATTAAAATAAGCTCGATTTTAAGCTTTTTGCATCATTTGATTCACTTTCAGTAGTTGGAAGGGAAATCTTTTAAAAACAGTCAGAATTGGAAAAAAAGTAATTGAGTTATGGGAATAAATGCCCACACTGCAAGAAGCTTGGCATTTTTTTCCTGGTTTTTTTCCATTTTAGAAAATTATTTTTTTTAAATTTTTTTATTTGGTAACCTATAAGATTGGCATTTTCAGTTTTTATGACAAAGAAAAACGGCATTCTGAGATAATTCACCATTTTCTCCGTGGAGCGCGCATGCTCAAAATAAACAGCTTTTTTGTAGAGCCATTTTTTTTCCAGCGATTACTGAATCTTTTTGTTTTCAGAGTGCTTTTTCTCTTCTTTTTTTTTGAGCTTATGAATTTCTGATTTTTTCCAGTGATCGACCCCGAGGAAAACCAGCCCGAGGCGAGTAATTCTGGCGATGCTCCACCTGCTGAAGACAACTCGGGAAGCTCGAGAAGAGGAAGGTCGACGTCCTTCGGCGACGCTCCTCCGCCAGCCGAGGGCTTCAGAAGCGACGGCGACGAATCGACGGACAATGACGACGACGAGGAGGGCGACGACGACGATGATGATGACAGCGATGAGAATCGACAGGCTCTTGTCCACTTTTTGGCTGATGAGGACGACGAGATGGAGTATGAGGAGGCCGCCGAGGGGGCCGAGAGAGGCGAGTTTGACTAGGTGGTGGAACAAGGGCTTGAGGGTTCAAAGAAGAATTCCAAACGTGTAGTTGAACAAGTTGGATCAAGAAGTTCAAAAGTGTAGTTGATCAAGTTGGATCAAGAAATCCGAATTTGTAGTTGGTCAAGTTGAATCTAGGAGTCGGGACATGTAGTTGATCAAGTTGGACTTAGAAGTTCAAGCGTGTAGTTGATCAAGTTGAATCAAAAGGTCCAAACATGAAGTTGATCAAGTTAAGGTCATGGTTTTGCTTCCTTCGCCTCGTTCTTCAGCGCGTAGTCCATTTAGTTGCGCTTTGAGAATGTAGCGGATCTTAAAGCTGGACCCTTAGATCGAGCTCTAGGTGGAAGCCTCGGAATAAGAGCGATTATTTCGAGTAGCCGGAAACGTTTCATCATTTTCTCCGTGGAGCGCGCATGCTCACGAAAATTAGCTTCTTTGTAGATGCGGTAGATACTTTTAAAAGAGAAAAACTTGAAAAAAGTCATCCACGAAATCTTTTGAGAGGTGAAAGGCGCTCGCAATGATTATAGCTAAATCAAGGCTGATCCGAGCTATCTAAAAAAAAGGGTCCTGACACGATCAAAACGACGAGATAGTGTCTGTCTGGTAGAGAGTGCAGACAGGCCATGTCCAAAGCCGTGTCGATTTTTTTTTCTTTTTTTCCTATTCCATAAAAAATGTTCGATTTTTGATTAAACTGAGTTTTTTTGTCTATGATCCCTCTGTTTAGTTTGGTTCGAAACCCAATCGCCGGACGGTGAATACGAAGATGATAACGGGCAAGGAAACGCGGATAACGCTGATGACCAAGAAGGAGAAGACCAGTCGGAAAATCGGCAAGGCGACGCCTCGGAAAGCCGCGAAAACGATGAAAGTCCCGAAAATGACGATTCCAATGCGGTATATTCGAGAAACAAAGAGTGATTTTTGAAGAGTGAGGCTTCAGGATGAAGCTGCGGAACCTTCCGGAAACCAGGAACCGGCAGTTGAAGTTTTTGCTGCAATGGAACCGGGTTGGTTTGATTTTTAGGGAAAGATAGGGAAAAACTTCAAAAAAGGCTTATTTTTTTTTCGAACTAACTGTATTTCTAGTCAACTTTTCAGGTAGAAACTTCAGTTTTTCAAGTTTTTTTCAAAATTGTCTCTGTTCGAAAAGTAACAAGGCTATTCCTCGGTGATAAGATCAAAATCTTAAAAGTCTGAAAATTCCAACCTTCAGAAATTCACAGAATCAAATTTTTTTTTTCGAAATAATCATTTCTGAGTCTTCATCAAGTACATCAGTGAAGATTTTGTCGTTTTGAAAAATTGTGATTTTTAAAAAAACAAAAATTACAAGCGTCTTTTCAAAAACTGTTTGAAAAGCTTAGAAAATTTTACCTCAAACAGTACTTTGGCCCATATTTCGTTCTTCCTTACAAGTGAATTCTAACAGTTTTTCGCCAATAAAAATCTGTGAAAATCCATTTTTCAGACATGGAACGAATCGCGGCGCAGGCGGAAGCTCAAGTCCAACAGCCAGTTTTGAATGAAGACGTGGCGCCGTCGTTCTTCAACGACGCGATGAGTTCGGCCCGTGTCCGCGTCTTCGACCCCGTCCCCACCTCGCGATCTTCAATCCAAAGAAGCGAGAGAAACCCCGTCGCCGCCTCCAGCGATGCTCCATCCACAAGTCGCTCCGGTCCAACTTCTTCGGCGCCGCCGGCCTCGACGTCTTCGGCGCCTTCTGGAAGGGAACGCGACCGCGAACGGAGAGACCGTGACAGGGACAGAGATCGGGAGAGAGACAGAGACAGGGAGAGAGAGCGTAGCGAGGTCAGCACCGCTCGAACCGCCACTAGCAACCCTTCAACGTCTTCCAAGTCGCCCAAACAGCCTCCGGATGAGCTGGTCAAGCCGTCGGTTGCTCAGGTGTGGCTTTTGGGGGAGACTTTAGCTTTCAGAAAGAAGGGGAAACCATGAAATCTAGGGTTTAGAAAGATTTTTTGACCTCCGGGGGATGGTCAAGCCGCCGGTTGCTCAGATGTGGGTTTTAGATGGTCTTGAGCTTCAGTTTAACTATGAAAGTTCTTCGGATTGCTAATTGAGCCAGCTGAGATCATTTTGTACTTATAAGTAGCATGAAGAGGTTTGAAGGCATTTTCGATTTTTTACCTTCCAAAGACTTTCTGAACACCGTCTTAGGTGTGCCTTTTGAGGTGCGGAAGGGGGACTTTAGCTTTCAGAAAGAAGGGGAAACCATGAAATCTAGGTTTTTGGAAAGATTTTTTGACTTCCGGATGAGCTGGTCAAGCCGTCGGTTGCTCAGATGTGGGTTTTAGATGGTCTTGAGCTTCAGTTTAGCTATAAATGTCACTCGGTTGCTAATTGATCCAGCTGAGATCATTTTGTACTTATAAGTAGCATGAAGATGTGGGAATCTAGCAGCCATTTTCATCTTTTCACCTTCCAAAGACTTTCTGAACACTGTCCCAGGGCCTTCAAGACCTTCTAGCTTCCATTCACCTCTTAAATTCCTGCTGGTTAAGAAATTACTAAGATGAAGTACCGAGAAAGAAGAGGAATCATGAACTGAAGCTTTTTAGAGAGATTTTTCGGCTTAAAGTTGAATTTTGAATGGTTTTTTGACCTCCGGTTGAGCTGTCTCTTGCTCAGTTCTGCCTTTGGGCGTGGTCTTGAGCTTTTATTCCTATAGGATTTCGATTAAAAGACCTACAGATGAGCTGGTCAAGCCGTCGGTTGCTCAGGTGTGATGTTAGGGGGTGGTTATGAGATTTTAGAAAGAAGGGATGCCTATAAACTATAGGGTTTCGGTTCAAAGACCCACGGATGAACTGGTCAAGCCGTGTTACTTTTAAAAACCTTGAGCTCTCAGTTCAGCTAGAAATGTTCTTCGGATTGATAAATAGTCCAGCAGAGATCATTTGGAAATTTTCTTAAGCACGAAAAAGCCCTTCCTAGTACCTTGACTGACAGCCTGGCTCGGCGCGGGAGAAAAGCGATGTCGTTGGCGGTATAGTGACAACATCGCAAATCGCTTAGTAACGGTGCCGAGCTCGGCCAAAAAGTGCGGCCTACACCTCGAAAAGTGCGGCCTATCTCGGTATATTTTCAAATTTTTTTTTTCGCGCGCAAAAGGCTGGCGGTGGTTTCCAGCCGATGTATGGTGTCGAGAAAGATTCTAGACCGATGCAGCACTTTTGCGATATCGCCAATGTACCGCTAAATACCTCGCGTACACTTGAGAAATTATTTTTTTATGTCGAAAGAAGTTGTATGACTAGATTATTACTTTGGTTTTTAATGAAGGTTTCGTCTAGGAGTTGAACTTTAGGAAGGCTTTTTGACCTGATGATCAGAGTTTGATTATGCTCTCGAAGTTCTTAAAAACCAAAGTTAAATGAAAAAGTAAGATACCCATGAAATCCTGAAAATATCTGTGCTGCAGGTAAAGTTCACCTTTTTCAGGCCAGCAACCAAATGGCATTGACTTTCACGCTTTTAACGCGTATCACTTGCGATTTGATGTTCCTGATCTCCGCTTCGGTCGACAGCGTCAAGTTCGAGAAGCTGGATAAGGTGAGGAGGTTTTGAAGGATAGGCAAGTTTAAAAAGGATTTTGAGACGAAAAGCAATTTTTTTTTTGTAGACTTATGCGCCTTTTAAAATATTCTTGCAAGCCATCAGGAGCTCTGAAAAACTGAAAATGCGCTCCAGCGAACAAAATTCCTGATTGGCTGGACACGCCCCCTTTTTTTGCTATCTTTCCTGACAGGTGTTCACTAGAGCGCACTTGCACAAAAACTCGAGGTTTCTCATAATTGAGACTTTCCGGGCGTTTGGGCGGAACACTGGGGCTTCTAGTTGGTTCAGGCTAAACTTACGTGAATTTTTTTGTTGGGGGATTCTGACAATTTCCTAAAAACCAACCCAAACGGACCGGGAATCACTCGGATCATGCTGACTTCGCTTTTAGAGTATTCCCGAATTAAAAAAAAAGCCAAAAAATCAAAAACGAAAAAATGAAACTTGAAAATCAGTTGGATAACTCGCTTACTAAAATATGAACATGTCGGAAATGTCAACAACTTTGAGAATATAAATAAATATAAATAAAGCTCTTGAAACAGATATCAGTCCTTCAATGTTCCAAAATTTTCTAAAATAAGTTTTAAATGTATTTTCCGAATTTTTGATGGACAAAGGAGACGATTTTTTATTTAATATCATTGATTTCTGAGGGAATTTATTTCGGATTTCTTCTGTCTAGCCATATCCAGCTTCAAAAATGACAAGAAGTCGTTCAGATCCTCCTCCATGTCGACACGATCCTGGGCAGGTCTTTCGAATGGGTCCGGATGAACCTGGACAACATGGAATCCCAGTTGTTGTTCAACGCCGGTCTGAGGGAACGCGGCATCAAAACGCCCGGAGATCCGTTCTCCTCCCGGACCAATCAGCCTCAGAGCCAGCACTCGACGCCCGAGAAGAAGTCGGACGATTCGAGTGGATCGGGTAAGATTTTTGGGTTACTTTTTAAGTTTTTTTGAAAGTTGGGAATAGAAATGGAGGGGGTTTTGAATAAGAAACAGCCCCTCCCCCTCCTAATATTTGATACGGCCCTCAAAGGTCTTCGATTTCAACCCTCCATGAAAAAGTCTTCGTTTTTACCTTCCGCCGTCAAGCAAACTTTGGCTAAAGACGGGGGTGGGGGCTTTTTCGGACGTGGAAGGCTGTACCCGGAGGGGAGGTAGGGGACACTTTTGAAATCTCAGCCCCCCGTACTATGTGATTCAGCCTTCCAAAAGTCTTCGATTTCAACCTCTTTCTCCCCCCCTTTTTCTCAAAAAAACATAGCTTGGGGGAGGGCTTTTTTTGGACGTGGAAGGTTGTACCTGGGAGGAAGGAAAGGGGCAATTTTAGAATCTCAGTCCCCCCGTACTGTTTGATTTTTGATTCATCCCGACATGAAAAAGTTCTTCGTTTTCACTCGCCCCCCCTTTTCCTCATTAAAAATTTGGCTTGGGAGGAGAGGCTTTTTTTTCGGACGTGGGGGCTTTAACCGGTTTTTTAAGAAAAATTTAAATGATATTTTCCAACTTTTTGTATAGTTTTACATTGAATGTACCTATTCACTTTTCTCAGACGTCTCTGCTGGTCGCCGTGATGCTTTCTCCTACTTGATGTCCATAATGAGATGTGCCAGGGATGAGGCTCGAGACACGCCTCTCGACATTGACTATAGTGTAAGTTGTAAATTTTGAGGTGTTCGATAAAAAAGTTACAAAAAATGATTTTCCAGCTTCTGACCGCCTTGGCCTACGGACTCGACGCCTACTTGGTCTACACGGAAGCCACTCGTCACCCTCCACCCGTTGGTTACTGTAGTTGTAACTACAGTATTCCCATGTTTCAGACCTGGAAAGTACTGCTCGATCAGTTCGACGACGCTGAACGTAGGTCGACCATCTCCAAGACGGTCATCGACAAGGACCTCATCAGGACCTTCTACAGAAGATCCAAGTCGATTTCCTATCTGGAGGACACCAGCGACGGCTGCTGGGACACCTTGACCAATGATGACGCCACCCCGAGTATTAGTATCCAGGTCCTGACAGAGTTTATTGAGGAAGATGGGGGGGGGCAGAAGTTAGAGGCCAGGGTGAAAAGAAATTTTTTTTTCGGTTTTTTAGTCCCTTTTTCGTGACTTGAAGGACTTCTTGCGCCCTCCCTGTCCCTCGGCGACCCTCTCAAGATGACCTGCTATTTCCTTACTTCTCTGACCTCTGCGAAAGAACATAGAGTCGCAGAGATGTCAGACTCTTTGAAGTCGCGGCGAAATGATCATAGGGCATTGTGTAGTCTATTCCTGTCGACTTAAAATACTTCTCAGCGCCCTCCATGTCTCTCGGTGACCCTCTCATATTGACCTACTATTTCCTTAGTTCTCTGACTTCTGTGAGAGAGCAGAGAGACGCAGAGATGTCAGAATATTTGAAGTCGTTGCGAATGGACTATAGCGCATTATGAAGTCAATTTTTCCCGATTGAAAAAAGAGGGATTTTCTCTGCGCCCTCCTCGTCTCTCGGCGACCCTCTCGATTTGACCTGCTATTTCCATGTTCCTCTGACTTTTGTGAGAGAACAAAGAGACGCAGAGAAGTCAGACTGAAGTCGTTGCTAATGACCTATAGAGCATTATGCAGTCCGTTTTTGGCGACATGAAGGAGTAGGACTTCTCTGCGCCCTCCTCGTCTCTTGGCGAACTGAGAGACGCCAGAATGGTCCCTAAAGGGGCAATTGACGTTTCCCTCTGGTGACCACCCTACCCGATTCTGTACGGAACACTAAAGCTTTGTGCTGGGTCGTGCACTTAAGGACGGCAAAGTGGTCCCCATAGGGGCATTAAGGGCCCTTGAAGGGCATAGAAGTCACTGAAGCTTTCAAAAGCGCTCACTCCAGGGATTTTAGTTAGTAGCCAGCCAAGGGGCACATGCTAATCTTTTCAGCTTTCAAAATAGTTAGTTTAATATTTTTTCAAAGAAAGTTAAGAATGAGCCTGAAAATTCGCACTTTACGACGGACAGGTCCAGCTGGAACTGCGTCAAAAATCTGATGGAAAGACTTTTTTTTCGAATTCTCATCAAGATCCTGTTGAAATTCTGAAATGCCTTACGTTAAGCTTCTATCCAAAGTATGTACCTTTAGATACTACATCCTCAAATTTGATCTATTTTGCACCTTCAAATCAAAATCGAATAAGAAGATAAATTTTTCAAGTCAGTCTGATTTTCAGATCCCCGTCATCGGCCGTCCAGATCTACTCCACGCCGAAGCGACTCGAGAAGATCTCTTCAAGCAAAAGTTCACGAAAGCTCGGGATACCCTTCATAATACCCAGAGTGTTGGTTGAAAGAATGAGGACAAGAAATGAAGGATGATTTCCAGCTGATGATGTGGCAGGGAGTTCCGCGGTCGCAGGTGGCGAGCCTCGCCCTGCTCCGTCCGACGGACGACTGCCACGGCAACGCCGGCTGCTCGGCCATCCGCTACTACTACGACGACGGCGCCGCCTTCATCGAGGATAACTTGATGTGGCGCCACGATCAGGGTCTCCAGAGAGCCACTCACAAGTGTCGATTGCCCGTCCAGATAGGTTTATATATCGGAGATCAAAAGTGTAGTTGATCAAGTTGAGAGCAAGAAGTTCAGACGTGTAGTTGATCAAATTGGATCTAGAAGTTCAAAGGTGTAGTTGATCAAGTTGAGATCAAAAAGTCTGAACGTGTAGTCGATCAAGTTGAATCAAGAAGTCCAAACATGTAGATGGTCAAGTTGGGATCCAAGAAGTCTAAACGTGTAGTTGATCAAGTTGAATCTAGAAAACAAAACGTGTAGTTGATCAGGTTTAATCAAGAAGTTCAAAGGTGTAGTTGATCAATTTGAACAAGAAGTGCAAACGTGTAGTTGATCAAGTTGGATCTAGAAGTTCAGACGTGTAGTTGAACAAGTTGAATCTAGAAGACCCAATGTGTAGTTGAACAAGTTGAGTCAAGAAGTTCAAACATGTAGATGATCAAGTTGAATCAAGAAGTCCAAAAGTGTAGTTGATCAAGTTGAACCAAGAGTTCTAAACGAGTAGATGATCAAGTTTGATCTAGAAGTTAGAAAGTGTAGTTAATCATTTTGAATCAAGAAGTGCAAACGTGTAGTTGATCAAGTTTAGATCAAGAAGTTCAGACGTGTAGCTGACCAAGTTGAATCAAGAAGTCCAAACGTGTAGTTGATCAAGTTGGACATAGAAGTGCAAACTTGTAGTTGATCAAGTTGAATCAAGGAATCCAAACCTTTAGTTGAACAAGTTGATATGAGAGTTTCAAATGTGTAGTTGATAAAGTTGAACGTAGAAGTAGAAACGTTAAGTTGATCAAGTTGAGATCATGGTTTCCTTCCTTTGCCTCGTTCTTCAGCGCCTAGTCCTTCCAATTGCGTCTTGGCGAGCTCAGAATGTAGCGGATCTTTTGCTGGAGCCCGTAGACCGAGCTCTAGGTAGAAGCCTCGGAATAAGAGCAGTAACTTCGAGTGAAGACTCTACCCGATATTTAATTCAGGAGAACTTGAAGAGAACTTCAAAAGCAAGAACTTCATTGAAAGATTTCCAAGTTCAGAAAAAACGCCACACATGATGAGGGTGGAGGGAATCCGGGCGAATTTGCTCGAAGAAGATGGCAACGGGGCGAAGAAGTTCTACGCTCGTTGGTCCAAGTCGATCGAGCTCATGAGCATGGTGAGGCAAAATAAAATGTGAAAAAAATGTCTTTTTCAAGGTCTCCTATTCGGAAATTTCCACGGCCGTCGGCTCTGACGCCGCCGCCAAACATTCGCCTCTGATGTCGAGTATCGCCCGCTTCGGGATTCGTCACGAGATCTTCACCAGAGCCACTGAACGCTTCAGATCCACCCAGAACAAGGATGTCCCCTTGGAGGTCCGTTTTGAAGTGAAAACCAATGAAAATGGGTTTATTTTTCAGCTCCAAGCCCATCGAGATCCGGCCCAACTTATCCGCGACACAATGTCCCAGCTGAATCAGATCTATCTGAGAAGATTGAACGCCAGATGTCCGGATAACTCGGCCCCCTTGTCGACTATCAAAGTAATTTCCCGAAAAATAAGGAAAATTGTTTCAGAAGAGACCAAGGGGAACAAGAAGAAAGAAAAGACTTCAGAAAGGGTTCAAAAGGAAAAATTGGAAAATTATCGAATTTTAAAAAAGAATGGCTTTTTTGTGAACACACATGGAAGCTCTACTGGACTATGCTAGCTATGAATCGTATTTTAGAGTTAGAACAGTGATTATTTGATGAGAGGCCAGAGAAAAAAAGTTTCTCTCTTTCTCTGACGTCTCTCCAAAACACGCACCGACCTCAGTCATGCATCTATTTTTTTTTTTTCAATCTCGCCTTTAGAATAGGCAAATTTGAAGAGACGCCAGATAAATTAGAACAGTCGAAATCTGAAGAGACGCCAAAGAAGTAAGATTTCTCTGTTTCTCTGATGTCTCTTCAAGCCGTGCGTTGCCTTCATTCATTTATCTGTTTTTCTGATTTTGCTTCAAGAACAGTATAGAAATTATAACAGTCGGATTCTGAAGAGAAAACAGAAAAGTGAAAATCTGAAGAGACGCAAGAGAAGTAAGGCTTATCTGTTTCTCTTATGTCTCTTTGGGCTGATTCGTTTCTCTCACTCATTCATCTATTTTATCGATTTCGCTTGGAAAAATTTTCTAATAAGAACAAAGAGGGTCTGAAGAGAGGCCAGAGAAGCGGGATTTCTTTACTTCTCTGACATCTATTCAGACTGCCCCACTCTCTCGGTTTATCTAGAGGCTCTTGAAAACAACGAATGTTAGGACCGAATAGATTGTTTTTAACCTCAAGGGGTCACTTCCAGGCTTTTTTTCTTCTTCTTATTACCTTTTTAGGCTTCTTTGCAGTTTTATTAGAAAACGAGGATTCTAAGAAAGGAACAGTACTATTTCAGCTACGCGTCCGATTCGTCGATGAACCCGGCGAGGGAACCGGCGTGACGAGAAGCTTCTACACGGCGCTCGCCGAGGCGTGCATGCAGCTGAAGACGTCGCCCTTCGAAGGCCTCCAGAAGTCGTTGACCCACTATCTCAGCAGCTGCGTCTACCTCAACGACGCCGACGCTCAGACGAAAAGAACCCGACAGAGAAACGAACGATGCTCTCGGCTGTGCAACTCGATCGCCGAGCAGAGACGAGCTTTGGGGTACTGATAAGTCTTCACTAAGGATACTGCCGCGAGAGAAAAGCGATGTCGTTACATAGTCACCTTGGCAACGGAATCGCCTTTTTCTCTGCGCGACATCGCATTTGTATCGCACTCAAAAAAAAAGAAAATTTTTAAAATCGCGATGTCGCGTCAAGGAAAATGCCAGGCCTGCGCGATCAACGCGCGGCTCTTTTGCAATATCGTTAATGTATCTATTTATCTTTAAATTTTTTCCTTTTTGATGAACTCCCATTCCGCGGGAGAGAAGCGATATCGGTATTGTTACAATAGTCAATTTTGAAACTAAATCACTTTTATTTGGCGCGATATCGCATTTATCTCGCAGTCAAAAAAAAAAGGAAAATTGTGAAATCGCGATGTCGCGCCAAGTAAAATGCAAGACCTGCGCGGTTGACATGCAGCATTTTTGCAATATCGCCAAAGACTTCGCGATCCTCCCCGGCATTTCTTCTCGGTGTAGAGACCTTTCCGCGATATTTCATCGAACGCCGCAAAGAAGTCAGACTGGATGTTAGCTGTACTCACGACTAAATAGTTATCTTTAGATATTTTTAGAAGATATACCATTCCTCGAAGCGATGTCGAATTTTTTTTTTGGCGCGATATCGCATTTCTCTCGCACTCAAAAAATGACGAGAAAAATTAGAAAAGCAAAAAAAAGGCACTTTCAGAAAACCACCAATCGACCTCGACGCGTCGTATTTCACGCCCGAAGTCACGGTTAATGACGACGGAACTGAGATAACTCATCCGAATTCGATGAACAAGATCTTCGAAATGTCCGTTTTTATTCAACGAGAAGTAAAAATGATGAAAAATGATGAAGATCGGTAGAAAAAGTTCAAAAAAAGACGATTTGGAAAATCGTTTGAGCTTTGACAAGGGAACTTTTCCTTCCCCCTCCTCTTTAATTTTTTTAATTTTTTTTAAGGAACTTGACTGGAATGTACTTAGGACCTCCTAATCCCAGAACAAGAAAAAAAGCTCTTTTTCTGAGCTTCGAACCTCCAAATAACGCTTTTTTTCTAGTTTTTCATGCAGGTTTCCGAATTTAAAGGGTAATTTCAATTTCAAATAACATTATCCGTAGAGCGCAAAAGCTCCTACGCGACATTTCATTCAATTTGCGATCTTTAAAAAAAATTCTCTGACTTAATGAAACTCAATTTTTGAGATGGATATCATTTGAATATTATCAAAAAAGTTCAACTCAACAAGTGTCTGCTTCAGGGTCGAAAGAATGGGATTCTCGCGCTTGGCCAGCTCCCGAATCACTGGAATTTTGCTCAAAAACGCTTCTCTCGCCGAAATCAACGAGTTTTTCCTCAATGAGGACACTTTCAGGTGGAAATTTTCAGAAGAACTCAAAAATGTATGAATTTTTCTAGAATCCATGTCACGGACATTTGCAACTTGTTGAGAACCCACAAACCCGTGGAAATTGTTTGCGAGGAAGTCGCCCGCATGTCGCAGTTTTTGGAGCCTCGTGAGTTGTTTTTTTTCAGGAATAAGGGGAAAATTCAATGAAAATGAGAGAAGTGAAGAAAAAATGGTTTGAAAATAGTGACTTGCAGGGGGAAAAAGGTCCAAAAATGATCCTTAAAAATGATCCTTAAAGGGGAAAATTCATGTCAGAGTTAATAAAAAAAAAAACGGGTTCAAGAACAATCTGAAAAAAAGGAAAAAATCATTTGAATTTGTGAGAAATCAGAAAAAAAATGGCTTCAAAATAGTAAACTTTCAGAGAAAAAAAAGGTCGGAAAAGGGGAAATTTCATGGAAGTCGATGATAGTTAGAAAAAAACGGTTCTAAATCAGTAAAAATTTGAAAAAGTCGGTTCAAGAACTCTCTGAAAAAAAAGGGAAAAATCAATTGAATTTGAAAGAAATTAGAAATAATGGCTCTAGTAATAAACTTTCAAAAGGTCCAAAAAGGGGGAAACTTCATGGAAGTCGAAAAATAACGATAAAAAAATGGTTTTCAAGTAGTAAAAGTTATTATTTTTTTAGAGCACACTTTGAGTAGAGTAATTTTGGAAAAAAATTGGGAGTTATTTTATTTTTTTAAAGAATAGATGGGAAAAATAGCAGATTTGTGGTCTTTCGGAAGAAAAATTCGGTAAAAATTTGCTTGAGGGTGGGGTCTTGAAAAAGTAAATTAGTGGACTTTTTGACAAAAATGTTGAATTTGGAAGAAACAAACAACATAATACTCTAGAAGATCTGAAAAAGGAAGAATTTGCTGAGAAAAATGTTCAAGGTTTTACTTTTTCAAAATATGTTTTGAACTTGCCGGCCAGACTCCTTTAGTCATTATTACTTCGAAAACTTGGATTTCTAGGCGACGACGTTGAGTTCAAAGACGATTTGGTCTACGATCCGCTGCCGTTGTTCGCCAAGACTCATGAACATGGATACTATGCGCCACTCATTGGAAACGGATCCCACGTCCGGATTTCCGCCTTCAGAAACATCGGACGGTGAGTTTTGAGGGGAGAACGGCGAGATTCAGAAGTAAATCAGGAAATGGAGGACTTTTGAATTTTTGTGATTTTTGGAGAATAGCTATTTTCCTAGGATTATTTTCGGAAAACTCATAGTTTCTGAAGTTTTAGCAGCCACTACAGTGGTCACTTAAATTACTAAAACTCACTGGCCTCTTTAGAAGTCTAATCGGTACTACTAGACCTATAAAACATACTATAGGGGTCACTAAGACGCGAGGGGCTACTATAGAGGTGGTCTTAGTGTTCCCTTCAGTGCCCTCTCAAAGTAGTCCTTGAGGAACCTCTTAAGTGGGCACTAGATCTCTTTCCACTATAAGCATTGGTTTTCCAGGGTGATCGGCATTTGCCTGGCCCAGGGCGACATTTTCCCCTTACGTTTAGCCCGTCACGTCTACAAGTACATTCTCCAACGCCCCATCAACATCTATGATCTCGCATTTTTCGATCCAGTGGTAAGTTTGTCAACTGGAAAATGTACATAGACATGTAAAAAAGCTCCATGAAAATTTTCTTTTTTGCTACTTTTTTGCGCCATTTTATCGGCTGTTATGCACCTTTTTTGCTGTCTCTTTTATTTTACACCATTTCTTGAAAAAATGGCTCGATTAAGGGACCTTTTCGCTGCCTTTCTGCGGCCTTTTTGCAGCCTTTTTGCTGCCTTTTTGCGGCCTTTTTTGAGAATCCTCCTTTTATTGGTCATTATGCACCATTTTTACTTTGCGCGAGTTTGCCGCGACTTGAAAACTTCCGGTTGTCTGCGTCTCTCTGATCCCTCACCGGCAGGGTCAGAGAAACATGGAAATAGTACGTCAACATGAGAGGGTCGCCGAGAGACGAGGAGGGCGCAGAGAAGTAGTTTTAGTCGCGAAAAACGCGCTATAAAAAGCGGATTGAACTATGAAAGTGTTTCAAAATCATAAAATTGGGAAAAAAATTTTGGGGCTGTGTTGTTGAAGAACGGTTTCACTATTTTTAGAGAGCTTGAAAAAATTTCATAATACCTCTAAAAAAGGAAATTTTGAAGCCGATTGTTATAACTTGTTCCGAAAATGTCCGTCACGAAAAAAACCATCTTTTACTTTTCCGTTTTTAATTTTAAAGAAAAATTGACCTTTTCATTAAATTTGGAAAAATTTTCTCAAGTCAAACACATTAAGAAGCATCAAAAAGCGTCTTTATTATATTAAAAAAATCCTGTTTTATGAGCCATATGCTTCGAATTTTCAACGCAAAACTGCTTTATTGAGAGTTTCCTATAAGCTGTCTCTACATAAATTTCGAATCTTTAGTATATTTTTAGTTTCAGAATGATATTTTGCCCCTTTTTAATCAAAATAAGCACGAAAATGGGCTGGATTCATTCAAATTCAAAAAGAAAAAATTATTGATCCAAAAAAAGAACTTGAATGACCGAAATCAGAAACCTTGTGACTTTACTGCAATCCGAACCGTAGGAGATTTTAAGTTCATTCTGCTGTTTCCAGTAAAGTTTATTAGTTTTTAGAAAATCTATGCATAGGATTCTTAAAATAAAATCTTGAGCTCTTATTTCTCAGCTCTACGACAACCTCCGAAAATTGGCCTCCGACCAAAACGGCGAGGAGTTCTACGAGGCCATCTGCATGAACTTCACCATTGACGACAAAAAAGTAGCGATTTTTCCGGGATCTATTCTCATTTTTTGAACGATTTCAGGCCCATCGGACACTGAGTCTCAAGCCCAACGGCCAGAATATCCAAATCAATCCGGACAACGTCACCGAGTACATCTACCGCTACTCGGACTACATGATGTTCGAGAAAAATGTCGTCGCCTTGCAGGTTTATATTCAGAAAAAAACAGTTCAATGTAAAAATCACTAGAAAATCATTGGAAAAAAAGGACGGTTTGGTACAGAAATGGTTGGAAAAGTCAGTAATAACTTCCATTGAAAAAAATAGCCTCGAAAGTTTCCGGAAAATGCGCTCCATGGACAACTTTTTTTGTTTCGATCAAATGAGCCTGAAAATTTGACCTATCGTGCTCTACGGCTAATTTTTCTAGATTAACTGTTTAAATCTTTTTGCAATTCTCCATCGATTTCTTTCCAGAGACAAATTTTTATCAGCGGAGCGAATTTCCTCAAAGTTCTTTTCTTTTTCAAAACTCGGACAGTTTGGTTTGAAATATTTCAAAAATCAGAAAAAATTAGGTGACAGGGACAGAAAGAATCGGAAAATCATTGAAGAATAGGTGAAAAAAAGATAGTTTAGTATAAAAATATCGCAAAAAATTCGGGGGAAAAAAAGAAAGTTTGCTATTAAAGAAAAAAATCAAAAAAATAGGTTTAAAAAAATCTAACAAGAAATATCGTATTTGTATAGAAAACCGCAATGTATCAGTGGAAATTACGTTAAAAATTATGACAGTAGAAAAATCAACGGCTTGGTGAAAAAAGTAAATTTAAGGAAAAGTAGAAAAATTCGTGAAAATGAGAAAAATTTGGTGAAAATTACTTCAAAAATCAACAGAAAAATTGGCGAAAAAAATGAAAAATTTCGGAAAAATGTGCTCTAATGAGAAAAAAAGAAGCAGGTTTAAACATTTTTAAATACGTTTTTGAAGTGAATAATGCAGCTTTAAAAAAACCAAAAAGTTATCCAGAGAAAAAGGTTCTAGTAATAGTAAATTTAAAAAGTAAAAAGGAATATTTTTTTGAATTTCGAGAAGAGGTGTACAGTTTTTACCCTCCTTGCGGCTTGAGAAAGTCGCAAAAATGGTTTTTTTCTGAAATGTTTTGATTAGTTCAGTTTACTGTTGCTTCCCTGAGTATAAATTGGAGCTTTGAATACACTTGGGATGGATATTTTGGAGTTGAATAAGATTTAGAAAAAAACATATCATTTTAATTAAATGGGAAAAAGATTTATAGAGTTTAGGTGATGGTAGCTCGGACTTTCCATTAAAAAAATTTCGAAATTTCAGAATTTTTTTCGGTAGAAAAAAATAGAGAAAATAGTGATTTTTTTGATTTCCAGGCGATGCGAGATGGAGTTCTTGACGTTATTCCGGAGAATCTGATGCAAGGATTGTACGCCGAGGATCTGCGTCTGATCCTGTGTGGAACTGATGATGTATCTCACAAAAATGTATATGGAAAATCAGAAGATTACCTTTAGATCTGCATCGAAACCCTCCAAGCGAATACGGTGTTCCTGGATGAGAGCCGCGCGCCGACGGAGACGCTCAACAAGTTCAAGCAGTGGTTCTGGCAGGTCGTCGAGTCGTTCAACCTTCAGGAGAGACAGGTAGAGTTGGGACTGGATTAGAGGGAAGAACCGAAAAGAAAGCACAGTGGAGTTCGAAAAGAAAGCAAAATGGACTTAAGAACCGAATAGGAAGAAAAAAATAAAAAAAGGAAGGGGGAGAATTTGATCAATTTTGACTAAGAATTTTTTAAAATCCGATGATAGGTGATTGGTCTATAAAAAAGATATAAATAGAACTTTCTTGAAGTACCTCAACTTTAATTTATTAAAAAAAAATGAAAAAATCAAGGTGATCTTTAAAAAAAGGGCGTAGCCGTATTAAACCCATGTTTCTTGGGGCTTTTTGAGTCTGAGTTGGGCTAAAACAGGGAAAAAAAATTGGTGAGGACGGCGGGATATAGGGCACTAACTGAAACCCCTGTAGGGACCACTTTTGGAAGCACTAGGGGCCCCGGCGGAGACTTGTGAAAAGGTCCCTAAGGTTGCCCCTATAGGGATCACTAATTGAAACTCCCATAGGGGTCACCTTTGCAGGCATTAGGGGTCCCTGAAGGGGCTTGTAAAAAGGTCCCTATGGTTGCCCCTATAGGGACCACTTTTGCGAGCACCAGGGGCCCTTGTAAAGTAGAGATTTGTAAAGTGGTCCCTAGAGGGGGTCCTCCTAGGTTGTCCCTATAGGGGCCACTAACTGAAACCCTTTCGGGGCCACTTTTGCAAGCACTAAGGGCCCTTGTTAAGTATGGATTTGTAAAGAGGTCCCTGGAGGGTCCTCCAAGAGCCCCTAAGGTTGCCCTTATAGGGGCCACTAACTGAAACCCTTCAGTGACCACTTTTGCGAACCTTAGGGGCCCTTGTAAAGTAGGGATTTGTAAAAAGGTCCCTAGAGAGGGTCCTGCAAGGGCTCCTTAGGTTGCCCCTATAGGGACCACTTTAAAGTTCCAAAAAGAGAGCATAACTTGACAGCCTTCAAGAATGGTCAGCTTATCCGAATATTCCAGGACCTCGTGTTCTTCTGGACGGGCTCCCCCGCCCTGCCGCCCTCCGGCGACTGGCAGTCCAACGCGACGGTCATGCTCCGCCCGGCCGACGACGGCTACCTCCCCACGGCCAACACCTGCATTTCGCGACTCTACGTGCCCGTCTACTCCTCCAAGAAAGTCCTCCGTGCCAAGCTGCTCGTCGCCATCAAGGCCAAGAACTTCGGATTCGTCTGATTCCCTCGTTTCTCCGATGAAAACTGAGCTTTGAGCCATAAATTTATATTTCGAACTTTTTTAGAACTCGGAAAATTTAAATTTCACACTGTTTAAAATGCGCTCTATTGATAATTTCTCAAATCAGCTGTGAAACTCCGTCAAAATGTGCTCCATGGACAATGATTCTTGTTAAATCCTCCAATGGAAAAAATAGCCAAGAATATTCCCGAAAACGCGCTCCATGGGTAACTTTTCTTTCAATATCAATAAATTAGCCCAAAATTTCAACTTTGTGCGCTCTATGGCTAATTTTTTTCGAATTCACGGCTTGAAATAATTTTTTTCAAAACTTGTATTGATATAAACGATGAGAACCCAATTTTATCAGTGGAGCGAACTTTCTTTAATATTTTTTGCTATTCAAAGCTCAGTTTTCACACCCCTCATTGCATTTTTTTTTTTCAAAATCCAAAGCCCTTTTCTTTTACAATTGACGTGTTCGCGCTCCGTGTAGTCGCGTTGCAATTCTCCTTCTCAAATGTAATTTTTTTTTCTCGCATACTGTAGATTACTGTAATTTTGTTCTGTATAACCGCAACGCGACCAGTTTTAATTCGCCTTCTTTTTCGATGCCAAAATGTTATGCGAGTTTTTTTTTGTAATTTTGTTGGTTTTTTTAATGCCATTTTTTTTGTTGTCCATTGATTAATTGAATAAAGATTGCTCTCGAAAATGTTCATTTTGTCGAAATTTTGTCCCTTCGACGCTTGGCCTTGGTCAAGTCTACTGGCGGCGGGTCGTAGGTCGAGATATCGTCCATGAACAGCTGAAGGTCTTTTGGTATAGTGGCTAAGAGCTCGAAATGGGGCTCAAAGGGTCGATGGATCGACTCCTGCCAAGCTTATTTTGATTTTTGCTCTGAGAAATCGTAGTTTTTCAGTGATAAAATGCGAGGGAGATCTTTTTTCGTCCTTTTTTCACGAAGAATGTGGCGGTGTATTGGCTAAGCTCTTGGAACATGATTCAAGGGTCTCAGGTTCGGATCCTGCCCGGCGCAAAGTCAGTTTTGCCATTTTTATAAGGTAATAAATCTTCTAAAATACAATTTTCAATAGAAAAATATACCAAGAAAGTTGAAAAATCATATTTTTAAAAGTCAGAAAATTTCCATTTTGGTCGTACCTGAGTCATTCTCCGTTCCAAAGCGCGGTACTGGAAATTGGCCGAAAAGCAAAATTCGCAATGATCTCGCTGGGTCATGCTGAAGAACTACTTTTTCGAAGATCCGTTTAAAGGCGCATAGTAGAATTTTATAGAAGGTATCGAAGCGAAAAGCCATTTTGAAGGGTTATTTTTGGCCTTGTAAGAGCTCTGCGCCTTTAAAGTTGTACGTTTAAAGGCGCACAGTCAAGTTTCAAGGAGGTATCGAAGCGAAAAATCATTTTCAAATGTAACTCTTACTCTTGTCAAAGTCCTGCGCCGTTAAAAACTTCGGTTTAAAGGCGCATTTTTGATTTTTTGGGAGGTCGAAGCGAGAAGCCTTTTTTTGTATTATTTTAGAACTGTGAGATAGCTGCGCTTTTGTAAAACTTTCGTTTAAAGGCGCATAGTCAAATTTTAAAAAAGTCTCGAAGCGAAAAGCCGTTTTTAATATTAATTTTAGGCCTCAGAGAAGTTCTGTTTATTCGAACCTATTCGTCGTTCAAAAAAATCTTTTTGAAAGTTTTTGAAATCGAATTATATAATCGAACTTGTTGAGTATAAATTATTCAAATCAGACCTGGGGATGATAAATCGGTCAATTTATAAAACTTAAAGACGATTAAGTTCGATTAATTATATAATTAAACGAACCTGTAGATACAAATCCCGATGCCGCACCACCAGAGGCCGAAAAGGGCCAATTTTCCGAAAAGCGTCGATTTTCTCTGTTTTTTCTGAAATTCATACCAAAAACTCAATTTTTTGAGATGAAAATTACCCCTACGTGACAAACGTCGCACAGAGTCGGGTCGCGATTTGTCGCGATTTCAATATTTAGATCCATTTTCTCGTATAATTTGATTCAAGTTGAACGGCTACATTGGAAATGAGGGATTTTACGTCGTTTTTTTTAAATTTAAATTTCGGAGTTTCTGGACGTCAAATAAGAGTACTTCTTTATAGAAATGAGATCAGGTCAATTTTTTTAAATATAACTAAAACTTTAGTTTCAGAAAAATCCAACTTTTTGGTACTAAATTAATTAAAAAAACTTGAAAAATTGGAATTGAAAAAAATTAATTAAAAAAACTCGATTCTTTGAAGCGTCTAGCTTCCTTAAGGAACTTAGGTGAACTCATCAAAAAAATTCAAAAAAAGCATTATTTTTCGAAATTTCGGGATTTATCCAAAATCTCCGGTTTCCGGATAGTTTTCAAAGATTTTATCATGAAATTTGTTTCTCAGATCGAAATGACCTATCATAAATCAAGGTAACTCCAAAAAGCCCATTTTTACTGAAAATCTGAAGGTTTTCTCCATTTTTTGTTTCAAAATTTCGAACATTCGACCAATTTTTGAGCTTAAAAATTGAAAGTTTCGTTCAATTTTGGATTTTTCTGTGATTTGAAAAATTTATTTCACGGGCAATTTTTAAAGAAAATTTAGTAAATGTTTCCTTTTTTGGGAGATTCGGCCCTAACAAGCCTTTTTTTCTAAAAGTTCGAAGTTCCAGAACAGTTTTTGGAGATTCGACCTCGGACAATTTTTACAAGTAAATTCAATCCTTTCTTGGAAAATTGGCCTCAAAAAGCCATTTTCCAAGGTTTTGGCCCCTTTTTGGTCAAGTAACAAAAAAAAAGAAAAATTTTGGAGGATTAGAAATTTTGTTCAAATTATGGTGATTCGACTTCATTTTTTCGAACAACTTTTCAAGAAATTTCATTTTTCATTGAGTAAACTGTCTTCAAGAAACTCATTTTTTCTTAAAGTTCGGTTTTTTAAATTTTAGTCTAAAAAAATTCCGGGATTTTCTTCAATTTTCAGTGTTTTTATGGTCAAGACTTATTTGCAAAATTTGCACCAAAAAGCCATTCTTCCTTCGGAAATTCAAAGCTTTTTGCTCCATTTTTTTGGTCAATCAGCCTCAGAAAGCCCATTTTTTTTCTGAAAATTAGAATTTTCAGTTCATTTTTTGGCCTGCAAATTCAAAGTTTCTGAACAATTTTCGGACTTGCTTTCAATAATTCCTGAAAACTTAAAAATTCTGACCATTTTATTTGACAAGACTTCATTTTTCCGGGCAATGTATCAAAGTATAACCCGAGTGACGTGTAATCAATTATTTTTTTTCTCTTTCTCTATCTTTCTTGGTTCCAAAAGACAAGACGAGAACCGGACTAGGGAACCCCATTCGTCTCGATAAGTTTTTCTTTGAGAAAAATCGGGGGCCAAATGATTGATATTTGTTATCAAGTTTTATCAATATTTGCCCCCATCTCGCCTGTCTTTCGGCTACTAATTCGTGGCTACCTTTTCTCCAATTTTCCTTGACTTTTTTCGTTTTCTTCGGTCCCTTTAGGGGCCCCTTCAAGGGTCCTCTTTAGGGAACACTTTGCCTTTCCTTCAGGGGTCACTAAAGCTTGCAAAAGTGGTCCCTATAGGGAAGAGGCCAGGGTGATCCGTATAGGGGACCTTCAAAGTTCCCCTTCCCCCTATAGGGGTCACTGAAGCTTGCCGAAGTGGCCCCTCTAGAGGGCATGCTTATCAATTATACAATAAGTTAGCGTTGTTTGAACGAAAAATGTCAATAGAGTATGATTAATCAAGTTCTCAGGAGCGCTAGATTGATCCCTATAGAGGTCATTTCAGGGATCTTAAAGGTTCCTCTCTAGGGACCACTTTACCTCCCCATGTAGGGGGCAATGAAGCTTGCAAAAGTGGTCCCTATAGGGGACAGGCCAGGGTTATACGTATAGGGGACCTTCAAAGTTCCCCTTCCCCCCCCCCCCCTATAGGGGTCACTAAAGCTTGCAAAAGTGGCCCCTATAGGGGACATGCCAGTCGAAAAAATGAAGGCTCCTTCTATCTCCTATAGGGACCACTGAAGCTTGCAAAAGTGGTCTCTATAGGTAGGGACCGCAGGCCAATTTCCAAAGTCAGTGATATAAAGTTGAAACCTATATGAAAAGAAAGCTGATGGCAATCGAAAGCTAACTGCGAAAACAGAAAAGAAAAATATGAAAAATGAAAAAAGTTATGAGCAAAAGAGTGGCGAAATCGGGGGAACCATTTTTGTGTAGAAACTTTCGTCAGGGTCGCAGGAAAAGGGGCGTGTTTATAGATACCGCGCGCTTCTTACTGCGCGTAAATTCACCCCGGAGAAGTTTCGAAAATATATTAATTTGAGTTTTTAAATGAAATGTTGGAGTTTTCATATTGAATACTTTTCCTATTCAATATGGGGCTGCTCTTCGAACACTCAGACTGCTGAAAAGCGAGTTTTGAAGAATATTTCCACCGCATTTCGTAAAATAAGAGAACAACCAACGAAATAAGACAATTGCATAGAAGGAACAGCGAAAAACCGAATTAAAAAAAAAATGCGAAATTCTACATAAACATTTACTGAAGAATATGTATATATGAATTATCACTAAGTCATTTTTCAGAGACATTTTGAAAAAAAAGCGCGAAAGCGTTTTTACTTTTGATTTTTTACATCTTCCATTTTCCTTTGAACGATGAGTGTCTACATGACCTTCTTTTCATGAGATTCTGTGAAAATTCGAAAAAAATTTAGTAAAAGCGAAATTTAATATTTTTGCTGCTATAATGGATATAATTACGCTGGAAAGAATTCCTAATTGTAAAAGGAGTCAAAGTTTTGCCTAAAACGACGATGAAGTAATCATAACTCATTCTAAACTTGAATAAAATACAAAAACAACTTTAAAAAAGAATTTTCACGCTTTCGAAAAATTTCGGGCCCTACGCGGTGTCTGCAGATTTCCAGCGACGCGCAATTTTTATTATCAAATTTGAGCGTTCAAATCAACCATACTTTTCGGGCCATCCTTGGAATTTTTTTATTTTTTGATATGTTGTAGAGAAATGTCTAATCTTTGATATTATAAAAAAAAAAAAACTTGCCCAGAACGCTTTGGGCCGTTTTCAAAGCGTTACAAAAAAACGAAAAATTTAAGCTTTCATATGAACTATATAGTCGATGAAAAACTTAGTTTTCTCTTTTTAAAATTTACAATCAACTGCAAACAACCGTTTAAAAATATAATCAGTAATTATCGATTGCGTTTTTCGAAAATAGGGAATTTCGAAAATCGCGATTTTCAAACTGCATTATTTTTTGAGGCCAACAATAGAATTTTTTTATTTTTTGCCAGATTATGCGTTTTTAGTTGCTTTATGATTTTCAAGAATAAAAAAAGTTGCCCAGAAACTTTCAAGAAAAAACGGGATTTTTATCCGTTTTCGGCCACAAATGCGTTTTAAAAACTGTCGTCATACATTCTTATTTCTCATTTTTCAGTATTTTCTTCTAGTAGGATTGTTAAGCATAGCCGATTGTATGTTTCCCCCAATTTTTTTCCAAATCGGTACAAGGAAACTGTTTTAAAATGTTTGAAACAATCAAAATGCAACGAAAATGACGACGTTTTTTGAACAGCGAAGTGGGCGTGGCTCTGCGGCCCCTATCTATAGGGGTATGCTTATCAAAAATACAATAAATTAACGTGATTAGAATGAAAAATGTCGAAAGTGGACAAAAAAAAACCAACTTCTCAGGAGCGCCAGAGTGATCCCTATAGAGGCAACTTTAGGGCCCCTTCAAGGCTCCCCTCTATCCCCTATATGGACCACTAAAGCTTGCAAAAATGACCCCATCAGGGGAAATTCTGTTTGTTCATTAGAGCCCTATTATAAGAAGCATTTCCAAGCGCAAAACTCAAAAATTAGCGATTTTTAATGAAAAAATATGGACGGAGATTGAATTGAAGTTCTCAGAAGTGATCCCTATAGGGTTAATGGGAAAACAGTCCCTCTAGGGTTTTTTTTATAGAGTCGGACCCTTAAGTACTCAAGGTTTGAGTGGTCTTTTTAGGGGCTAGGATCTGACCTCTTAGTCTTTAAGGCTTGAGTGGTCCCTGTAGGGGTCTTTTGATGATGAAAATTGAAATAAGTTCAATAAAGCCTAATCGATTCTATTTATATTTTCTCTTTCGAAAAGTGAGCGCCTGCTTCCCTAGAGTGGCCACTAAATAAAATCCCTGGAATGGCCACTTTGCAATGTTCCTATAAAGCGGAGGTAACGTGGTTCCAGAGGGAGCCTTCAAAGACCCTTAGTTTACCCTATAGGGACCACTCCGGCGTCTCCAAGTTTCAAATCTGCCCAAAAATCAAGAAAAACACGATAGGGACCACTTGAGCTTAAGAGATTAAGAGATCAGACCTTGGACCCTATAGGGAGAATTTTTCCCCCTGACCACTGTAGGGACCACTTAGGCGTTCCTAATTTTGATTCATTTTATTTCGATTTAGGTGAAAAATGAGGCTGAGCAGCAGCGAGGACCTGCTGGTGATGGGCCGATATTCCTTCTTGGTTTGCACTTTTACGGAAATCGCCATGTTGTCACAGCTCTCCAACACGATGTACATGGTTTATGCAGGTGATTTTGAAGGAAAAGCTGGATTTTTCGCAGAAAAAAGGGGATTTTTGAGCTATGAGCGTCAATGAAGGTCCCCACTGCCTAGTTGAGGAATTTTCGCTCCATGGACAAAATACGCTTTCTCGCAAAAATTAGCCTTAGAGCGCAGAAGACTGGTTTTTCTCATTTTTGAGGCTGTTTTTTCGTTTATTATTTGTCTGAAGCTAGTTCATTTGAAGAATGCGAGAGAATGATTTTTTTAAACAATTATTTGAATAAATCAAGGTTTAGATCTTCTTGACCTTTTCAGAAAGGTTCCATGAGCTACAAAATTATTTGAGGAATATTCGCTTCATGGAAAAAAGACACTTTCTTGAGAAAATTAGCCTTAGAGCACAGAAGACTGGTTTTTCTCATTTTTGAGGCTATTTTTGGTCCATTTTATGTGTGTAGCTAGTTCATTTAAAGCAGATGAAATTTATACTTTTTTAGATCTTTCTGAATTTTCAGGAACCCCACCAAGAATCCTTTCCTGCAAAAACCAGTCATTTGCGACCAACGAGGAAGCCTGCCAGAACTACGAAACTCATTGCAATCGTGGTAAATTTGAGCTCGAGTCGCAGTTTGAGGGAATCGTCGAGGAGGTTTTTGGCTGAACAAAATCATCAAAAATTGATTCTATTCCCAGTTTTCCCTGCACTGTTCCGGCCTGGAAATCGAGAGAATGGGAACCTCCATTCAAATGATCGGATTGGTCTTGGGATGCCTGTTTTTCGGGGCGATCAGCGATCGATTCGGCAGGAAATGGGTGAGGATTTATCGATTTTTTTTTTTGGAAATAATGGTCCAGAGAATTTTAGTGCCCTTTTCGAAGTAATTTTAACGGAATATGAATCTATTTGACTCTCCAAAGTTTAGTTATCTTTCTCTTTCTCTGACAGATTTTTCATGCGAATTAGGAAATCCAGGCCGTGACCTAGTTTTCCAAATATACATAATCTCCTCCTTGGGGGCGCCAGAGTGGTCCCTAGAGAGGCAATCTCATAGGAATTGATTATTTTGTGATAAATACGTCTGTTTCAATTTTTTTAAGATTAATAATAAGAATAAAAGATACCTATAGGATCTATTGAGCTGAAAAAGTTTTTGAGTGAATCCCAAAGCTTCTAAAGGGACGACCTCAATTTTGACCCTCTAGGGAGCACTATTTACCTCTGACTCTCCAAAATTTAGTTACCTTTCTCTTTCTCTGACGGACATTTCACGCAAATTAGGAAATTCAGGCCGTGGTCTAGTTTTCCAAATGTACTAAATGTCTTTCCGAGTGGTCCCTAGAGAGACAAAATTAAGAGCTTTGAAGTTTACGTTCTGGGGACCACTTTTATCTTCCCTATAGGGGCCACTTAGACTTTCAGAAGTGGTCACTTCAAGAAAGAGAGATTAAAAATAGAAGATCCCTGTAGGGACCTCTTCAGACGAAAAAAATTTCCCTCAAGGGACCACTTTACCTACCCCTATACTAAATCTTGCAGTATAAGCCTCTCTAGGAGATGATAGTGGACACTAGAGGGTTTTTCAGCTTTCAAATCGGAACAACAATAAGAAATACCACTTTAGGGGCCACTTAAGCTTGAAGGCGTTAGGGGTCAGACCCTAAATCCCTCTAGGGACCACCTGAATTTAAGCCCTCTAGGGAACTCTATTTCGTCCCCTCTAGAGGCTTTTTACCGCCTAACCCCTCTAGGGACCCCTCCGGCGCTCCTAAGTTCCCCATCCTTCAGCCGATGTTCCTGTGTCTGGTGATGTGCGCTATCCTCGGGGCGATCTCCTCCTTGACGACGACGTTCTGGACGTTCACCGGCGTCCGGACCGTGCTCAGCTTCTTCAACGGCGGCCAATCGACGTGACCGTCAGCCGCTGCGGCGAACCCCAATCAATGACGTCACCATTGCAGAATCTCCGTCGTTTTCCTGCTCGAGAACGTGCCCAAGTCGTTTCGGATGCTTGTCAGCACGCTGATCAGCTTCAGCCCGAATGTCATCTTTTTTGGTGGGTGACCGCGACGCGACCGCAGCGCGTGTGAAAAGAGAACAGGAGTTCTGAAGATGCAACGCGAGTGAAGCTGTCATTTGACTAATCACAAAAAAGCCTTGTTTTTTATTTTGAGTGGAACCGCGAGGCGACCGCAGCGCATGAATCATTCATGTCAAGTTCCGAAAAAATGCTTGATCTGGGCATTTTTTCTTATGAAACCGCGCCGTGACCGCAGCGTATGAATCATTTTTTGTCCATTTTCAAAAAATGCCCATTTCCGGTTATTTGTGTGGAACCGCGACGCGACCGCAGCGCATGCATCAATGTTGTTTGATTCAAAAAATGCCTTGTTCTGGGCGTTTTTTGAGTGGAACCGCGACGCGAGCGCAACGCATCAATAATTTCTGTCGAACTTCAAAATTAAGCCGCATTTCGATTAGTTTGTGTGGAACCGCGACGCGACCGCAGCGCGTGAATAATTTCTATCAAATGTCATAATTAGGTAAGTTTTCGGGTAATTTGTAAACAACCGCGACGCAACCGCAACGCATCTCAAAACATTTACACGATCTTTTGGAAATTTGTTTTGAAGAACCGCGACGCGACCGCAGAGCGTCAATGCACATTTTCGGTTGATTTGTGTGGAAACGCGACGCGACCGCATCGCTCCAATCATTATCGTCAAATTCCAGAAAAGGCTTATTCTGGGCGTTTTTTAAGTAGAACCGGGACGCGACCGCTACGCATCTCTAAATGTTCACCCAATCTTTTTTGAAAAAAATTTTTATATACTATTTTGACCCATTTTTTCTTGGAAAGTCTTTCTTGAACCGCGACGCGACCGCAGCGCATAAGTTGAAATATTATTACTGCATTCGTATACTGTAGTCTACCGTAATCTAGGAGAAAAGCCCATTTTCTGCCCTGTAACCCAAAAAATCACAACATTTCTATTTTCCAGGATTCATCGCCTTCCTCTGCCCTTCCTGGCGTGCCCTAGCCGCTGTAGTTTCGTCTCTGATCCTACCGTCTTTATGTATCCTACCGTAACCTCTGGATAGTACCATCAATTTGTCAATTAAGACTTCAGATTCCTGCACGAGAGTCCCCGATGGATGATGCAGAAGGGCAAAATCGCGGAAGCCCAAAAAGCTCACAGCCAAATCATGAAATTCAATGGGATGCAGAATATTTATTCGGCTGACGAATTGACGGCTCTTCTCCAGAATGAGTATGATGTGAGTCTCGTGGGAGGAAGATTGAAATTCGAAAATGGAATTATAACATTACAGAATGTTCCTGTTACAAACAGAATATTAATTATGAGAAAAATTTGTTCATGTACTCACTTCTCTATATAGTACTGAAAAAGAGTTTTTTGACAATATTTAATCCCAAATCTAGTTTTGATTGTCCAAAATTACATGGAAAAACAGCAAAAATTTGAAAAACGTCCAGAAAACTTGAACCACTGACTTTTCGACTGGAAAGCGGGCTTCTAACCGACTGAGCCACGTGGAAGTTTGAATAGAGTTCCAAAAAAAACAAAAAATCATGAAGTAGTTCAAAGTGAAAAAGTAGTAACAGCAAAAACATAATAAACTGCAACAAAACCCGATCCTTTGACCGCCCGAGTGAAAGACAACTTTCTAACCGACTGAGCCAAGAGTTTCAGAGTGTCGGAGAGCAGAACATCAACCACAGTTTCAAGGATTTGTTCAAGAATTCGATTTTTGGAGCCGCCTCCGCTTTCGCTTTTAGCTTGTATGTTTCAATGAATTTGGTCGCACTTGGAATGGCTCGAAGCGTCGCATTCGCGTCGCGGATGTCTCTGTGCATTGGAGAGTGTTAGAGAAAGCAGAAAAGGGCATTTTTTTGAACCGCAACGCGACCGCGACGCTTCGAACCATTCCAAATGCGACCAGCCGATTTGAAAAACGTAGTGGATCGTGTATGTAGTGTTAAAGTTTCAACAGAGATAATATTATTAATGATTTTTCTTTGAATTTTTAAAGTTTATGTTTCAGTGAATGGCCGCAATTGGAATGGCTCGAAGCGTCGCGGTCGCGCTGCGTGTTTTTTCAAACGCCTCTGGACATTGAACAGTGTTAAAAAATGGAGCAAATAAAATTTATCTCCATCCGCAACGCGACCGCGACGCTTCGAACCAATCCAAATGCGACCAGCCGATTTGAAAAACGTAGTAGATTGATTATATAATGGTGTAGATTCAACAGAGATAATGTTATTCATGATTTTTTTTTCTCCAGCTTTTCGAGCACCTTTATCAACTACGGCAACATGTTCAACCTGGGCGCCATTTCCGGATCAATCTTTTTGAATTCGATTTTGATCGGATTCCTTCGTTATTCTGTCAGTATTTCCTGTGGTCTCATCGACCAGAAATATGAATGGTTTGTACTTTTTTCAAACTGAGCAGTTTTAACTATCTGGAACTTTGAACCTAATGACTTCAATTTTGAAAATTTTGCGTCGGAAAATCCAAAAAATCAATTTTTTCTTTTTCTAGAAGTCGTTTGAGAATAATGGAAGGTTCAGGAACATCAGAGTGGTCACTAGAGGGGCAAGGGGTAAAAGTCCCTACAGTGGACGGGGTAGTGGTCCCTAGAGGGCTCAAGTATAAGTGATCCCTATAGGAGTTTAGGGTCTGAACCCTTAGCCCCTAAAGCATAAGTGGTCCCCATAGTGATCTTTTACATTTTTCTTCCGATTTAAAAGTTAAAAAGACGTAAAGGGACCACTAGAGTGACCACTTTTGCGAGCTTGTGCCCCTATAGGGAAAGGTAAAGTGGTCCCTTGAGAGGAATCTAAAAGAGTCCCTAAGGTTGCTCTGGGGATCACTCTCCGGTTCCCAAACAGGTCATTGAGTACGTTTGGAAAGTTAGAACACGGCCTGAAATTCCTAATTGACCTGAAAATTTGTTTTTTCATTTTTTGTTTTTTTACAAATTTGTTTTTCCATTTTTTTCAAAATGGAGTAGTTGTTTTTTTTTGATTTTACGCGTTCGAAATTGAGATTTCATGATTTATAATAAGAATTTTTTTTTATTCAGGTTCAATAGACGCCTCAGTCATTTCCTATGCGTTTTAATGACGGCTGCGAGTTTGATCATTTCGTTTCTCCTCAAATATTACGGTATTTTTGATTTTTCCTATCTATTTTCGAAGAAAAGGTTTTGTATTCCTAATAAATATATTTTCAGGGAATGAAAACTTACTCATTGAAACGGTGGTTCGTATTTGCGTTTTGGTTTCGTGTGCCATGACGTCACAGGTAATTTTGGTTTAATTCTCTTTGGACAATGAAATAAAAAGATTTTAGGCGTCAGATAAAATGCATTTGGTGTAATGCACCACGGTGTTTTTCGTTTAGTGTTTTTTATCATATAAAATATTGGGATTCTCGCGAAAAATGTGTTTTTCAACAAAGTTGCTCTGGGGACAACTCCGTCTTTGGTAACGGAAACCGGACCCGCGTCTAACCTTTCTGAGCATTTTAAGTAGTCACTTAAGAGGTCTGAAGACGCTAAAGTGACAGCAAACAATTCTTTGATGAAGCTAACGCCGCTAAAGCGATCACTAGGATCAAAGAGTGGTGACGCTCTATAGAGTTAACTAGCAGGTCTCTAATGAAGCTAACGCCCCTAAAAAGATCACTAGCGCTTGAGAAGACTGAAGCCACGAAAGTGATCACTAGAAACGCTCAAAAACGTGCGGGACTTGTCCGGTTTGCGTTACCGAAGTCCAATTTTTCGTTCATTTTCCGTGATTTTAGTATTTTTCGCCCTCATTAAAGCTTTCCGTGAGAATAAAGCTAGAACGGCAAGCTTGAGCCATCGAAAAATGGTCCTGACACGAAAAAAAAAATAGTGTCTGATAAGGGGAGAGCGCAGACAGGCCACGCCCCTTCTAAGATAGATGTGAAACTTTTTTTCAAGGTGGTGATCATCGCCAGCGTCGCCTGCAACGAGTTCATGCCGACGGCTGTTCGAACCAAGGCCTATTCGATCGCTCAACTTTCGAGTCGCCTTGGGATCGTCCTCGCCCCCCATATCTTCACTCCTTTCTTTGTTCGTTGGCCTGAAAAGAACGATAAAATTATTGAAAATGGGAACTGAAGATGCTCTGTCAGACCCTAAACTCTCATAGGGACCATCTAAATTTCAACCCTATAGGGAGCACTTTTTTGTCCCCTATGCTTTTCCCTTAAATCCTAGAGGATTTGAAAAAGTATTTTCTAAGAAGGTAGTTTTTATAGACATTTCATGGAAAGTGCAAAAAGACACAGTTTGAGAAATTGATGAAACTTTGCTGAGAAGTAGTTCCAGGCCCCCTGAATCGAGAACAAGAAAAAAATTTTACGCCTTTTGCCTTTTAACGGAGTTATGATCCCTCAAAGTTTGCACGCAAGAGCTGATATAACTCGCGACGAAGCCATTGCTTGCAACTGGCAGCGTGGTGTAGTGGTTAGCGCCCCTGACATGTAGATGCTGTGATCAGGGTTCGAATCTATTTCGGAGATTTTTTTTTGCAATTTTTTAGCGGATGTTAATTGATGAATTTGGGGAAATAGAACCGTCCTTTTTTGTCGTTTTAAGTAGTTTCTACATGGAAAAATATTCGTCACTTTTTTTTTTGAATACAAAACGATTCCAGGAGTTTTTCAACATCAAACCTTTCCCCTACCTGATCCTTTTCGGTCTCTGCGTCCTCGATGTCTTGTTTTTCCAGGTATTTCCAGGTTTTCGAGTTAATCCTGAAGAAATTCCAGATTTTTGTCCCGGAAACCAAAAACAGAAACATGAGAGACCACGTGAGGGGCAACAAAAAGCCGGAAGACGCCATCTTGCTGAAGGAAGATCGGTCGAAAGCCTGAGAATCAGGTGCAAATCAGTCGATAACTGTGTTGGAGTTGTTCTTAGAAAAATATGACGAATAAAATTCGAGAAAAAGTGGCGAAAATTGAAGAAAACAAAGAAAAAACTGTGAAAAATCATTGGGTCTTGAAAAAAAAGACCCGACTCGAAAGACGCTTCGCGACCGCACGCAGCGTAACAGCGGAATGTCGTTCCATGAAATTTCAACTCGTGGCACACAAACTATAGAAGAATGAAAATGGGAAGAAAAAGCCACAAGAAAAGTTTTTTTTCAGTTTTATCTTGTCTTTTAGAGAAGCAAAGTGAATATATTTCAGCGAAAAAAACGCCGAAACGTGAAAAAAAGGCGAAAAAAAGCATTAAATTATGAAAAAAACAAACAAAAAAACTAAGAAAAAAAAGGAAAAGTTTGTGGAACCGGAATTTTTAACGTCTGAGCCAAACGAATTAAGAAAAAAAAGAAGCCAAAAAATAAGAATCTTCGAGAGGAAAAATTTTGCTCTTGAGTTCATCTTTTAAAAAGAGAAAAATCGATAAAATCCGACCAAAAAAAGCCAAGTGAAAAAAATAAGCTAATTTTGGGAAAAAGAAGGCAAAAAAACCAGGACAAAACCGCAAAAAAACAATGGTGAAATTCGAAAGAAAGGCTAAAAACTTTCTTGAACATAGCGAAAAACAGTAGAACTGGACTTTTTTTAAAAAACTGTTTTCTAGTTAATTTAAAGAGTAAAATTGATAACGTTTGCCGAAAAAAAGGCCAAAAACTCGGGGCAACAAGAAAAAAAAAGTTAAAAAGTGAGCAAGTTTGAAAAAAGGAAGCCAAGAACTTGAGGAAAAACGAGAAAAATCTGTGATGATATTTTTAATGCGTTGAGGTCCCCTTTTAAAAGAGTAAAATCAACTGAATCCAGCAAAAGAAAAGAAGCGAAAAACCTGGATTTTTAAAGGTTGAAGATTTTCTATGACGAACGAAAATTCGAAAAATGAAACCAAACACTTGAAGAAAACTAAAAAAAACTATATAACTGCAATTTTTAATGTTCTAGCTATTCTAAGAGAGTAAATTGACCAAAGTTCGGCCGGAAAAAGCCAAAAACTTGCAGAGAACAAAAAAAAAACAATGAAACCGGTATTTTTACAACTTTCTTTACGATAAGAAGGTTCCGGGTGATTGCGTTTGTGTACTGTGTTAAGTCGATTTTTCAGCAGTTCTTTGTTTTTTCGTGGTTTTCTTGGCAGTCCCAATTCGTAATATAAAAAAGATGTCGAAATAGCCTGCCTTGGTGAATGTTCGCTCCACTGAGAATCTATGAAAATTCGACTTTTTCCCAAATTTTTAAAGCTCAAAATTTTTTTGCGTGCTTCAAAAGTCGATAAAGAAGCTCCTGAAAGTTTACCCCAAGTTTTAATTTTTTGAGAAAATTGTGAAAACAGCCTTGACGAATGTTCGCTCCATTGAGAATTTATGAATTTTCGATTTTTTCTCTCGAATTTTTGAAGCTGAATATTTTTTTTGCATGAGTTGAAATCGATAAAGGAGTTTCTGGAAGTTCTGCACAAGCTGTAATTTTTTTGAAAGCTGAAAAAACATCCTTGGTGAATGTTCGCTCCACTGAGAATCTATGAAAATTCGACTTTTTCCCAAATTTTTAAAGTTGAAGATTTTTTTTTTGGTGCTTTAAAATCCATAAAGAAGCTTCTAAAAGTTTAGCCCGAGTTTTAATTTTGTTCGGAAATTGTAAAAATAGCCTTGTAGAAAGTTTGCACCAAGCTATAATTTTTTGAATATTTGATCTCTGATGAGGTTTTTTTAATAGATAATCAGTTTTTCATTATTTTATGCATTCTGCTGTATTTAAAGGTGCGGGAGGGGTCTAAAAAAGGTCTTGGAAAGAAATTTCTATTTAAAGGATCATTGAAGACGTTCAAAAACTGTCTTAAGGAGCTATTTTTGTAGATTTTTCTTTGCCTCGTAGTTTTTTTTACCATTAAAGCAGCCTAGGAGCTACTTAAGAGTACATAAGAAGACGAAAATCTTCCTTTTCAGTACAATTTTGCAGCGTAACTTGAAGTCTTTCTCTTTTGATTCAACGAACAGAAGTTGGCTGAATCACACACCCTATCAGGAAACCGAACGAAAACAACCAAGAATTTTTGCCCCTTTTTTTCGGCAAACACTCGGTTTGATTCCCACCCCGTTGTGTCGTCACACAGAAAGACGCAAACTTTGATCCTTTAGACTTTCCGAAAATTGTTTCTTTTTCCCTTGAATTGTCTGGGAATTCGGTTGTCTTCTCGGACATTGAAGCGGTTCTAGGGATCACTTAAGAGGCTCCGGAGGTTTCTGGGCGATTCTAGGGATCACTTAAGAGGCTCCGGAAGTTTCTGCGCGATTCTAGGGATCACTTAAGAGTTGTGACGCTACTAAAGTGGTCACTTACAATGCCCAGAAACGTCCGGAGCACGTCCATTTTGTGTTACCATTTTTCCAAAAGCGATCAGAACTCTATAGCATGAAACTCTACTTTTTTCAACTTTTTAAAAATTTATTTCAGAATTTCCCAATCAAATTTTTCTAAAAAAACAAGGTTTTTTTAAATTTCAAAAGACTCGTTTTTTCATAAAATCACTTCTCAGTAATCAGTTGACCTTTGAAAAAAATGTTTATCACTGTTTTTTTGTCACTTTATCAACTGATGACGGAAAAAACATCATTTTGAAAAAAGTTTTCATGTACTTTTTCAAGTGAAGAAAAAGTCAGACTTTTTCTCATTTTTTTCCAGAAATTCTTAATTTTTTTGGACATTATTTTTTTATGTACTATTCATTTGAAAAAGCCGACTTTGGTCATTTTTCTGTTTTTTTGTTGGAAAACCAGATTTTTGAAACATAATTTTAACAATTTTTTTTCCTAATTAGTCATGGTTTCATATGCTTTGCATTTTAAAAAGCCAGATTTTTCTCTTTTTTCGGTTTTGTTGGTTGAAATTCGAGATTTTTTTGGATTATCGTTCAGAAAAATAAAATATATAATTTCTCATGAGTAAGATTTTTGATGTACTTTTTATTTTAAAAAAGCCAATTTTTTTCTCTTTTTTTAACGAAGTTGAAGACTTTTTGGAAAAATCATTCAAAAAAATAAAGTATTTTTCTTCCTCATGTGTAAGGTCTCCATGTACTTTTCATTCAAAAAAGCCAGATTTTCCTATTTTTTCTGTTTTTTTTGTTCGAAATTGAAGATTTTTCGGTTCAGAAATGTTCGTCTTGCTAATATTGTCCCTGGCCCTCATCGCCTACATTTTTTTCGAGTTCAAAAAGGAGCTGATCGAACTTTATCAGCTCAACAGAAAATGTGTGGTCAATTTGAAGGTTTTTACCTAATTTTTTTGTGGAAGAAGAAATGTTCAAAGTTTTAGAAATTAGAAGGTCCCCCACACTTGCCAATAATCGGCTCGGCACACCTTTTCAAGTGGAATAATTTGGGTAGGGATTTTTGTCTAAAAAAATGATTTTTTTCTATGTTTTTTTGAGTGCTTCCGAGCAAATTCGGTCTGAAAAAAATTAGATAAGGCAATTTTTTTACGTAAGAAAAATTAGTAAAAAAAGGTACTTTCGAATATTTTTTTGATATTTACTGATCTCTATCGTTCCTACCGAAATCGTAGTACACGTGGAAAAATTGAAATAACTTTTTTTTCGAAGATAACGAAAAAATTTTGTTATTTTGGAACTTTTCTGATTTTTCTCGTTTTTTTCAGACATCATAGCACTACGGGAAAATACCAGAAAAAAAATTGAAGTTTTTTTTTTCGAAGAAAATGGTCTAAAATAACCAATACTTGCAAATTTTGAAATTTCAATCCTTATTTTCTTCAGGAATTTTTTTTAATAGAAATATTCGACTAGAAAAAGTTATTTTAATGCTGATTTTCTGATTTTTCCCCTGTAATTTCGAAAACCTTGTCCTAGAAAAAAAAATCAAAAGTCCGAAAAAATGTTCCCGATCTTTAACACCTTATCAGAACTTGTATCAACATCATCATTTGATTTGTCTACGTAGATTTATTTATTTATTTATGACATTGATCATGGTTTTTTTGATCTGGAAAGGAACAAAAAAATGTTTCAAAAAAAATTTTTTGATTTTTTTCAAGAAAGATTCCTGTTCAGAATTCACCCAGCAACTCGAAGAATGGGGCAGAACTTATTTATTTGGAGTGGATCCTTCGAAATATAGCGATAAGGTTGGTTCATACGGAAGAAAATCACGGAAAAGTGGTTCTGAAAAATGGCAAAAATGAAGAAACCGTGGGTAGGAGTCGAACCAAAGATCTCATTTCATACATTTATTGATATTATCTAAGTTGATTTTCTGGATTTTTTTGATATTAGATTCGATATTTTTTTGTCATTTTGAAGCGATAAAGCTGGTTTATTCGAAAAAAATCACGGAAAAAAACACGAAATATTCCGCTCAAAAAAATGGCAAAAAATGAAAAAAACCTTGGGTAGGAGTCGAACCAAAGACCTCATTTCAACGAGTTATCCATTTCTATTTTTCTTAATTTTGCGTTTTTTTGAGTTTGAAATTGATTTTTTTGTCATTCCAAAGCAATGTCTTATTAAATTTTCAATATAAGCTTTTTTAAAATCATTTTTTTCTTATGGATAAAAAAATGGCAAAAAAATCCGATGGGGATTGAACCCGGAACCTTTAAGCAAAGACCGATCACCTTATCCACTGATCCAACCTCAAAATCCTTGAAAATGATAAAAAAAAGATTTTTTTAGGACGACAATGGAGCTCACTTCAAGGAAGGACACATCGGAATCATGCCGGTTTGTTGTTTTTGTTTTGGTCGCATTTGGAATGGCTCAAAGCGTCGTGGTCGCGTTGCGGTTCGAATCTGCTCGTTTTTAGCAGCTTTCTGTAATTATTTGTTATGTCTGGGACTCGCTTTTTAGATTGAGCCATTCCAAACGCGACCTCCATTTTTAGATCATAAAATTCTTTGAAAAGGGAAGACTGGAAAACTCTTTAGTGGCCACTTAAAAGTTCCTAAAGGGTTTCTTGAAGAGGACACTAAAGTGATCACTAAAAGCGCCTCTATTGAAACCAGTATTTCGCTCAAGGGACCACTATGGTAGTCCCTTTCAAGTGACTACCAGTTCGGCTACTACAGTGGCCAGTCTAAACCCTAAAGGGACTACTAACTGAAAATGAATAATTTGAACTTACAGGTTTGGATCGGACCAGTACCAGTTGTGTTTCTCGGCACACATGAAAGCATTCGGGTTAGTTTTTTATTTTGTTACCGTTTTGCCATATCGACTGGATCTAGTGATCACTTAAGAGGTTCCTTGAGGATTTCTTAAAGAGGTCCCTGAAGTGGCCACTAAAACCACCCCCATAAAAACTTCTTGAACTTTTAATTCCACTAGAGAGGCTGGAAAAAACTCTAGTGGTCGCTTAAGAGGTCACTTCGGATAGAACACTAAAGAGGCCACTAAACTGCTTCTATAGAAGACCCTATCTTGCTTCTAAGTGGCCACTATAGTAGTTTTCACTGGCTCAGTACTACTGCTTAGACTTCTAAAGAGGCCACTAAATTGTAGTCACTTAAGTTGTCCCTAATGCGACCATTATAGTGGCCACTAATACGTCAAAAACCTTAAATAGTCACTAAAATTTTATTTATTAACGAAAAATCATTGAAAGTGCGCTCTAGCGAACAAACGCCTCTGAGTGGCTGGTCCTTTGATTTTTTTAAATTTTCGAGTCAGTTTTTTTTAAAGTTTTTTTACGTGATGTATTGACTACATTGAGAATTGCGAAAAATTCCAAAAAAATGTTGATTTTTAGCCAGTCCTCGAGAGCACTGTGAACATCTCGAAGCCGGCTCAATACAACAAAAATTACGGAATGGATCGGTTCGGGGCTTCTGACAAGGTACTTGGAACTCAAAAAAAGGGGGGGGAGAAGAGTGTTCGGAAGGGAGGGGGCAGGGGGAGATGGCTTCAAATGCAGTTCTTATTAGACAAAGTTGAAGTGAATTTTTTTGATTCATTGACAGATTTTTAAAGAAAGACGAAGCCAGGAGTGGTCCCGAGAGTGGCAACTTAGCAACCCGAGAGGTTTCCCCTCAAGGGACCACTTTACCTCCCTTGTAGATGCCACTACAGCTTGTAGAAGTGGCTCCCAAGGAGCGCTATTTCGACCCCTCTAGGGACCACTCTAGTTTCCTTGAACCTTTCCTGAACAACACCGAAAAGATTACTTCAGCACCCACGAAAAATGGTTCCAACGTCGGAAAATGCTCACCCCGGCGTTCCATTTCAACGTCCTTCAGAATTATTATCCGATTTTCGTCACCCAGGGCGAAGTTTCTTTTTTTCTAGCTTTTATATTCAATTTTGAATTTCAAGATCTTGACCGACATGCTGGAGAAGCATTGCGGCGAGGAAGATTTCTTCGATTGCTTTGGGTACGTCAAAAGATGCGCCCTGGACATTATCTGTGGTGAGTTACTCGGGAAGAAGGCCGAGTGGTCACTTCAGGGTTTTTCATGATTTTTGCCCTGTAGAGTTTGAAAAAGAGTATTGCCGCTAAAAGACTAGGACACAGTAGAAAAAATGGCCTTCGATATAAATTCTTGGGAGTAACTCGAGAGAATGGCCAAGAGGCCACTTTAGTGGTTTTTGCAGATTTTTGCGCTGCTGCTGTAGAGCTTTAAAAAAGAGTATTTTCGCTAAACTAGGACTCACCTGGTCAGTGGAAAAAACGGCTTTTGAGATATATTTTGGGAGTTACTTTGGAGGATCGCCAAGGGGTCACTTTAGTGTTTTCCATGAATTTCGCGTTGTAGAGAATTTTCGTGAGAAAAATTGAATTGTGGTGAGTTACGCGGAAAAAATGGCCAAGTGGTCATTTTAGTGTTTTTACGATTTTTTGCGTTATAGAGATTTTTAGTAAGGAAAATGAAGTAAGTGGAAGAAATCCTGACGGAAAACTTGAAAAATAATCAGAACAGGGAAACTTTGAAGTGGCCCTTATAGGGAGGGTAACAGGAACCCCTATGCTGTCCCTATGGAATGCCCTAAAACTGTCTTAGGGGCCCTTGTTGTCGCTGGACTCCAAGTGATCACTATAGGGTTGTAAAATAATCGGTTAAAAAACCCTTTTCTATTAATAATTCATGAACCCTATAGGGGCCCCTAAAGCTTTATGGTTCTTTTTTGGCCCTTCAGAAATCCCTATAGTGGCCTTTAAACAACAAATTCCTATAGGGACCCCTCCAAAGTACCTCAGTGAGAACTGAATATTTGGGCGGTGGTAGAAATAGTAGAATCAGTACTTTTTTGTTTTTGTTTTGAGATTTTGTGGTTAGATAGAATCAGTGAAGCCATGTTGAAATATAAATTTTCTATTTCCTTAAAAAAATCTGCAAAAAAAGTCGAAAGTTGTGCGCTCTGAGGCTAATTTAACTGATTCGATTTCAGTTCTTGGTTTTTGAAAAAAATTGCATTTTTCCAGTTTCTTTTTTTCTCACGGCTTTTTTTGTACAGAAATCGCGTTTTGAGCGAATTTTTCGTCCTGAATTTTTTTAGGTTACGGTAGGCGAAAAATTGTGCAAAACTGCTTACGGTAGGTGTAAAATCTGCGACCAGCTTAACATTCCGATTAAAAATTCCGTTTTGAAATTTATAAAAATTCCTAATGAATTTAATCGAATTATTAGGTTAAGCGATTCAAAAAAATCATAAAAAAAGCATTATTAAAAAAATATATAGAATTGATTTTTCATTCTCACCTCAGAAGACTTTGTTAATAAGAATAATATTCTCAACGTTTTCATAAATAAATTTCCAGAAACAGCAATGGGAACTCAAGTCAACGCCCAAATCGGCGAAAATAACACCTATGTGAAGGCCGTCGAACGTGTCAGCGAGATCATTTGGGATCATGAGAGGTTTTTTTCTTCGTTTATTCCACTTTACAGATTCAAAAATTGTAGATAAAGTAAGAATTGTTGAGATTTTTCAATAACAACCCTTTGCAATCCGGAAAACTTCCAAAAAAATTAAATTTTTTATGAATAGACTATAAAAAGTGCCTCTCTGACCTGTCTGCGTCTCTTTTCTCTCACAAGTTAGAGAAAAATGAAAATAGCATGTCAAATTGAGAGAGAAGAGGGCGCAGAGAAAAGCGATTTTTTACAGATTCCCCTGGTATTGGCTGAAGCCAATCTGGTACCTTTCTGGAATGGGACACGAATTTCATCGCAATGTAAAGCTGACCACAGATTTCACGCGTACCGTAAGTTATTTTGCACAATTTTCGCCTACCGTAACCTAAAAATCCACTACCAAACGTCATTTCTGTAGAAAAAAGCCGTGAGAAAATCGCTTTAAAGCTTAAAAATCGTTTTTTTTTCAAAGGGGCAAAGAATTGAAATCGATTTTTCAACTCTCAGTGAAATTAGCGTCAGAGCGCACAAGCTTTTTTTTGGAAAGACAAGTTTTTTTAAAAATCATGACTTTGCTGTTTCTACCTCAACTTAAAATCTCAAAACAAATATCTTTAGCTGTTTCTTCATCACTCAAATTTTAAGATCTCGTTGAGGAATTTTGAAGGGGTCACTATAGGGTTTTGTTTTTTTTAGGGAAAAATTTTAATTTATCTTAAAGATCACATTTGTAGTGCCCATTATAGGGCTTTCAGAACGGTCCATTGGAACCCTAAAGCTTCAGTGCTCCCTATAGGGTTCAAATATTACGAAGAGCTGGAAGATTTTTCAAGCCTATAGGGATCACTTTGAGTTCTTACGATAGCGTTTTAGGGGTCCCTATAGGGTCATCTTTGGAGTCGCTATTACACCCCTGTAATGCCCCCTTCAAAGTTTCACAGCCTTGGAAAAGTCGTATAAAAAGACCATGAATGAGAAAATTTGAAGTGGCCCCTAAAGGGACTGTTATAGGGACCCTTTAAGGCACCCCGAAAGGGACCCCTACGCAGTTTTGACCCCTAGAGGGACCATAACATTTCCCCCCTAAAGTGATCCCTAAAGCAATGATACCCTATAGGGACCCCTCCGAAATCCCTCAGTGACTTTAATTTTCCAGGTGATCGCCGAGCGGAAAGCCGCCCTAAAAGAGATGGATGATCCATTGAACGACGTAAAAAATGGCTCGAAAATGGCCTTCCTGGACTTGATGCTGAAAATGCAGGAGGAGAATCAGCTGACCGACGAGGATATCCGGGAAGAAGTCGACACTTTTATGTTTGAAGGCGAGTATTGCTCATTCTAGAGGAGGAAAAGGGGCGGGGCTTAACCAACAATCAGTTTTCCACAAGAATCGTGACAGCTTTGTGTTGCTTTATATTGCTCATGTTTGGCGGGAAAGAACGGAATTCTTATGTAAAAACTTTGTAGAAACCTTTTATGATTCGTATTTCTCTCTGTTGCTTCTTGTTGCTCATGTTAGAACGAAGAAAAAAAAGCTTATTTTGTGTCAGGTGAGTTCCCAGGAAAACACAACTTTCTATGACTCTTTACAGCCTTGTATTGCGTTATATTGCTCATGTTAGAACGGAGAAAGAAGCTTATTTTGTTTCAATAAAAGTCCTCAGGAACTCTTATAAGTTTTTCATGACTTATTATAGCTTTTTGTTGCTTTTTATTGCTCATGTTAGTTCGGAAAATAGAAGAGTCAGTCTGTAACAGCCATGCTTCCAGCAAAACGTTTTTGGCTTCACCTTTTCTTATTGCTCATGTTAGCTCAGTCTTACAGGACATGACACGACGGCGAGCAGCATGGGCTTCACGATGATGTGGCTTGGACTTTTCCCAGAATGCCAGAAAAAGCTTCATGAGGAGCTTGACTCGGTCTTTGGTAGGTCTCAAGTTCGAGCCCCGTCCAGGGCGAAATCTTTTTTGCCATTTTGAAATTGGGCAGATCTGATCGATAAAATAGTTTTAAGCATAATTTTATAATAATTGAAGGTTTTGGTTAGTGATAGAAAGGTTCCTGGTTCAATCCCATGAAGTAAATTGTATTTTTTGCCATTTTCAGGCGATTCCGACCGGCCACCAACGATGGACGACATCAAGAAGTTGGTCTACCTGGAGAAGTGCATAAAGGTGGAGCCAAGTGACCCCTTGAGTGAAATTAATGACGAGTTTTTCAGGAAGCCCTTCGTCTCTTCCCGTCGGTTCCCATCATTGCCCGACGCTTGTCAGAAGACTGTTTTATTGGTAAATTGACCGCGACGCGACCGCGAATGCACTTGAAACCATTCCAGATCATCCACGACATGGGAAAATCTGCCTTCCGTCGGGACTTACGGTGGCGGTGGCGCCTTTGGCCACTTCTAGGGATCCTCGGTTCGTTAGAAAATGATTTTCTCATTCATTGAAAATCCTGCGTATAAATAACCCTACAGTTTTGGAAATTCAATGAAAATAGCTTTTTAGAAATTTTTCTTGGTGACTTGTATTGGATTCTCAAGTTCTAAAAGAAAAAGTGGTCCCTATAGGGGTTTAGAGTCTGATCCCTTAGCCCCTAAAGTTCAAGTGGACCCTATAGGGGTCTCTCAAGGTCTCTCAAAACGCTTATTTAGTCAGTATTTCCCATGGAAAAGCTTAGAGTACATGACAATTTTCGACTAGCATGTCCCTATAGGGGCCACTAACTAAACCCCCCCTATAAGGACCACTTTCGCAAGCTTTAGTGACCTCTATTTGGGTTGGAAAAGTGATCCCTAGAAGGACCCCTATAGGGACCACTCTGGAGTTCCCAAGAGCCGCCCTTGACTCTAGTTGGATGCGTGGTGTAGTGGCTAAAGCGGTTAACTGTAGTGGCGGAGTCCAGGGTTCGAACCCTCTTGAGGAAATTTATTTTTTTTTGCCAACGGTTTTCCTAGTGTCTCTTCTTCCACGGAAGTCATAAAATACATTTTAAGCTTTTAAAAAAATATCTAGGTACTACGAGAAGCCGGACGAGTTCAACCCGGAGCATTTCAACGCCGACCAAGTCTCCAAACGCGATCCCTACACCTATATTCCATTTTCGGCCGGTTCTCGGAACTGTATAGGTCAATTTTTCATTGAACTTTGAATTTTCAACTCAATTTCAGGCCAAAAATTCGCGATAACCGAAGAAAAAGTCGTCCTTTCGTGGGTTTTTCGCAGATTCTCCGTCGAATCCGAGAACAGTTATGAGAATTTGCGCCCGGTACCCGAATTGATCCTGAGACCGAGCAATGGGATCAAAATCAAGATCAAGAAAAGAGAATTTTGAGCTGGATATGAGAAAAATTTCTGTATAGATCCAAAAATTCATCGTGAATGTACTGCTTTACCTCAAGGAAAAATAATAAAACAAATTTTTTTTTTGTGACACAAAATAACGAATAAAAAAACCGTATACATTCAAAAATTGACCAGTTATAAACATACCGTGCTGACAATGAAAAGGCACTTGAAATGGAGGCAAGAAAGAAAAATACAATTGAAAAGGTAAAAATAGGCATAAAATGGTGCTATAAAAAGTTTGATACGTAGAAATGGTTCAGGAAAGGTTCATCTTTTGCGAATTATTCAAAACTATCTTCGCAACCGAATTTCACCAGTTAATGAACCCAAAAGTTAGAAACGGCATCTTAAGAACGCCATAGTGGTCACGTAAGGGCTCAGAGAACAAAGCCCCTATAGTGAAAAAAAGCTCCCTAGAAGAGTAAAATTGAGGTGGTCCTTATAGGGGTTTAGGGGCTGACCCCCATGCCAGTGAAACTTAAGAGGTCCCTATAGTGGTTTTTTAAAATTTTTTCATGATTTGAAAGTTAAAAAGACGTGTAGGGACCACTAGTATGCTCCCCTTAAGAAACCACTTTTACAAGATTAAGTGCCCCCTATAGAAGGAAGGTGGTCCCTTAAGGGGAACCTACAAGATTGCCACTCTAGGGACCACTCTGGCGTTCCTATTATTGCATGACATAAAGCTAGTAGTATGACTATTTTGAATAAAAAACCGTAAAGACCTGTAAAACAGTTAGGAGATGATAAAGATACTATTTTTCATAGGAAATATGAATAAAATGTCTTTTTTTCAGTTCAAAGGGATACTTGAAGCCGAACTTTTCGGATATAAATATAAAATTTTCTCAATAAATGGACGCAAAAGCATTCTAAAAATGAAGAAATCAAAATACTCAAGCGTTAAAAAAGATATTTCATTTCTGAAATAGCGTTCCTATACAGTAAAACTAGGAAAAGCAAAAATCGACATTTTCTTAGATTTTCAGCTCCTAGCTAGATTTTCATATGAAAAAAAATCAATCGATAAAGACGATTTTGAAAATTTTGCAGAAAGACCAAAGAACAGACAATATTCTAGCATACACAAAAAACCTTTTGAGGAAGTTGATGAACGGGAAAGCGAAATATGAACTGTCCAATCGAACATTTAACCAAGGCAATGGTCCAAATGGGCATTTATGAGCATCTCGTCGAGTATTTCGTTGCAAGAAGGACAAACGACGCGGTTCTCTTTGCCCTGCACGACAAAGGAAAATTCCACGGAATCACGCGAACTTGATCGTCGTCGCGGTTCTAAAAAAGTTTTAATTTGTTGTGTCATTTAAACTAAAAATGATGGAATGATCAAAACTTAACAGACGACTTAGTACTGAATTGAAAAACAAAATCAGAGTGAAACCAGCGGAAAAAGTTTACAAAAAACCCCAAAGAATGGGGATGAAAAATTGAAAATAATGAGCTAATTTGGCGCATTTCGGGTTATGAACGCGTTTTTGATGTCATTCGTTCATTTTTCATCCAAGTTTAAAGAAATTCCGCTAAATTTAATTAACTGTTGTAGAGTGGAAAAGATGAATTTTGTTGGAGAATCAATGAAAATTTAGATTTCCCCAAAACTACTCTAAACACGGCATTTTCCTCGAAACACGTTTCTCATTCACGATACGTGATTGGAGTTTTGAAAAAGTTATATAATATTCAATTAGTGAAGAATGAACAGAAGAAAAAAAGCTTCAAATAAATAAAAAAATGATCCAAAGAATTTTTTTTAAGTAAGATTAAAAACACCGAGAATGCGTCACTAACCCAAAAAAACGCGTCAATCAAGTTTGGCATGGCGCATTTCTTGATGTCAGAAATTTTAACGTTCATTTTAATAATCTGTTTCATTATAGTTTCTATTATATCAAATGAATATTTTCAAGATTTATTCAACTATGAGTTTTTTTCAGGGTTTTTTTAAAACCAAAAAAACTGAAAAAAATCTTTTTGAAAAAGTAACTTTAAAAAAAGCTTGGGATTGTGACTGCTAATAAGACTATATGACCACTCTCTATCAAAACAAAACCCAAAAAGCTCTTCAAATCATTTCACAGAAACACAAAACTCACTTTCAAACCCGTTGTCCTGAGGCTCATCGTCGCTGTCGTCGAGAACGATGACGTCATGTTCCATTCGAGCTTCTCCGTGAACCACGAATCGATCGATAGTTGATCTTGAGCCTGTTGGAGCTGCTCCAGCTCGGTTTGTAGAGGAGTTTGAGTTTCTCCCAGCTCCACTTCGGGCTCCAGTTGGTCCAGCTCCTCCAGTCCAACTTGTGGTCAAGCTTGAGCCTCTTCCAGCTGTATTCTGATCTCCAGTTGGTCCAGCTCCAACCCGTGCCCCTCCAACTAGGATAGAGCTTCTTCCAGCTCCTCCAGCTCCATTTCGGGTCTCAGGTGATCCAGCTTCAGCTCCAACCCCACCAGCTCGATTTGGACCTCCTCTAGCTCCATTTCGGACTCCAGTTGGTCCAGCTCCTCGAGTCCAATTTGTAGTCAAGATCGAGCCTCTTCCAGCTCCGACTTGAGCTCCAGAAGGTCCAGCTCCAGCCCGTGCTCCTCCAACTTGACTATAGCCTGTTCCAGCTCCTCCAGCTCCCCCTAGAACTCGTCCAGCTCCAGAAAAAGGTACCGGAACAGAACCTGAACCGATTTTCTGCATTTTTTCTCCAAAAAAAAATAACTTTTACTTGAGGTTCCGCCGAGTTTGACCCCAGGTCCACTGAAAGGTACGATCGGCTTCTTATCCTCAATTTTGGTTTCTTTATTTTTTGTCTTCACAAAATAATTATCCAGCGTGTTCTTGGGCGAGGTTTTCTTGTTGTTCGGGGCCTAAAAATGTGAAATTTTCTTCTTTTTCTTTTGATTTTTTCTTTCAAACCTCAAGAGTTGGCTGATTTTTCTTGCGTTTTTGGCCATATCCGTCAGGTTCTTTGATTTTGATGAAGGCTCCTGGAAAATGATAGAAAATGATATGAATAAAATCAATTTTATACGATGAAAATAATCAAAAAAAGGGACAAATTTAAAAAAAAATCATTATTTTCAAACCTTCAAGCTTTGGAATAAACCTTGAATACACACTAAACGTAAGTTTATTGATTAAAATCGCCATTTTTTGGACTTTCATCATTTTTTTTTCATACCAACACCAGAATTCTAGTCATTTCAAGGTTTTTCAAAGATTTTAAAGTTCAAAAGTAATGTGAGAACGCCCGAGTGGCCCCTAGAGGGCGAGGGTTATTTGAATGAAGAAACGACAACAGAGGGTTATTCGATCTTACTTTTTTATCTTTCAAAAAAAGCAAAAAACTAAGAGACCCCTACCAGGACCACTTCAGCTTTAGTGGCGCAAGAACAAGAACGTAAACCTCTATAGGGACCACTCTGGGGTTTCCGAGAATGTCTTTTTTTTTCAAAACCGCTATAGGGGTCACTCGAGCTTTAGGAGCTCAATTGGCCTACGTTACTGGGAAAATTTTTAGAGGAGGGTTTTGACGTTTTAGTGGCCTCTATAGTAGTCAAATTAGAGTCCACTTGAGAGGTTGAAAATTAGTGGCCACTATAGAGATCGAAATGCTACTATTGAACCACTAAAAGTGGCCACTTTAGGGATCAATGGATCAACAAAACTGATCCAATATGTTTGTTTTAAAATTATCAGAGTTACTGGGAGGAACACTGGATGAAAAACTACTGAAGTGGCCACTAAAACGGAAATTAGTCCCTTTTTGTCCCCCTTCAAGGGAATCTTACCCCTCTAGGGACCACTCTGGCATCCCTATAAACCTAAAAATCGTCAATAAATCGATAAAAATCACCTCCACAGGAGCTCCGATGATTCTCCCACCAGAGATCATTTGGTCCGGGGGCTCGGTTTGAGGATCTTTTCACGTATCCGAAAAATGGACGGCGGTTTTGGCAAGGGCCTTCGCATCTAGAATATGAAAAATATGAATTTTCATAGAAATCGTATTTTTCCGAGTCTTGAAACTGTCTATAGATACTGTAAAATAAACAAAAAAAAGCGCAGGTTACTGTAGAAAACTTCAAAATCCCATCAATGTAATTGTAATTTCAAATCGTGCCAGGACCAATTTTTGAAAAAATCAATTTTCTTCAAAATCTGCATATTTCTAGGAAGCTGTCTATTAACAGGAGTTTTTAATTTTTATTTTAAATTCCGGGTGAAACAGCAAAAAATGTTTATTTTTTCAAATTAAAAATCGACTTTTAAACAATTTGAAAATCACAAAAATCGAGATGTTTTGAGGAAGAGATCTCACTGGGAAGACTTTTAGTGGCCTCTTTAGGGTTTTGACGTTTTGGTAGCCACTATAGTAGTCGAATTAGTGGTCACTTAAGTGGCAAAAATTTAGTGGCCTCTTTAGAAGTCTAACTGGTACTACTAGACCACTAGAAATCACTATAGTGGCCCCTATAGAGGTGGTTTCAGTGGCCTCTTTAGTGTAGCCCTTGAGGAACCTCTTAAGTGATCCTGGAAGCATGTTGGAAAAGTCGGTCGGTTCGGGTCACTTTTTGGAAACACTTTTTGGAAAAAAGTTTTTTTTCAGTTTTGAATTTTTTAAGCGTCTAAAATGCGTGGAGATCTCGATTGCGGTTAGGTTTTAAGTCTTGAAAAACCAAAAAATTGTGTATTTCGTGTTTTTTTCAATAAATTTCATGTCAAACTTTTTAATTTGACCTGAAATCGAAGTATGTCAAGTGCGAAATAGTGTTCATCGAGTTTTGAGAGAATTTTATAGCCTGACTTGGGATTCTGAGGGGCGTGGCCTGTCTGCGCTCTCCACCTACCAGGCACTGTCTCTTCCATTTTCGTGTCAGGACCCTTTTTTTGATGGCTCAAGCCAGCCGTGAATCAGAAAGTAGAGAACTTCAGAAAAAGCGAATTTTTGTAAAGATAATGGCCGAAATTTTCGAAAAACTGACTTCGAAACTTGTCATATAATGAGAAAAGGTACCTTGAAAACCGTTAACTCCTTTGAAAACCACAGAAAAAAAACCGACCGTTTTCTAAAATTTTCTAAAATCAATACCATTCTGACAGCAATTTTCAAAAATTCCTTGAAAATTAAACCCTAATTGTGAAACAGGAAAATGATGGTATTTTACTAATATTCCAATTTTCACTCTTTCAAGTCTCTAATAGACGATCTTACATTAGGATTTTTTCAAAAACTCAAAAATTTCAAAGCGAAAAAATCTGATTCTTTTTTTAAAGTGCACCAAACTACAAACTTTTTTGGAAAAAACCTAAAAAATCATTGATTTTACCTCCACCAATGCTGTTTGTACAGCGCGACTTCGGCGTGAAAAGTGTGATAGATTGTAATATTCGTCCCGGCGGCCGAATTTATCCTGAAACCTTTCGGAAATCTCGAAAATGCGGCCGTTTCTTCGGAACCTCCTCATGTGGGACTGGAAATGGGGTCCATGCCCGTCTCGGTCCCGATTTCTTTCCTTTACGAACAAAAAAATGCGTGGATCATTTCGTGCTAAAAATGAAGAAATGGTGAAAAAAAGGAAATTTTTGGAATATTTTTTTCCCATTTTTTTCTCGATTTTCTTCAATTTAGCTGTCCTTTATCATTAAAAAAATCTTTTTTTCAGTTTTTTTAGAAGATTTACAGCTTTTTTTAAAAACATTTTTTTCAATAAAAAAATCGTGATCAAAATTTTTCGGTTTATTTTTGTGCTGTGAAATGAAGAAAAATGTGAAAAAAAGAGAACTTTTCGGAATATTTTTTTCACATTTTTTTCTAGATTTTCTTCACTTCAAATCATCTCTGACCAGTAAAAATATAAATAATCCTTTTTTTTCGAGTAAAAAAAGCTTACAAAATTCCATTCTAAAATGACATTTTTTTCAAATTTTTCTTCAATTTAGCTGTCCTTTACCCATTAAAAAAGTCATTTTATCAGTTTTTTTGAAAGTTACAGCTTTTTTTCCTAATTTTTTTAGATAAAAAGCTTGATAAATTTAACTTTCTCGGTTTTATTTCGTGTTGTTAAATGAAAAAAAAAATGTTAAAAACACCCCCCAAAAACGTTAAAAAAATATTAGAAGCAATTTTATTCAAAATTTGAAACTTTTCTGAAAAAATCGGCTCATTTTTTCAATTTTCTCCTCAAAAATCCCCTCTTTTTTCCTATCAAAACTAACTCAGAAGCCTCCCATTCATTAATAAAATCTCCAAAGGCTTCCCGGGCCATTTCTAAGAAAAATAAAAGAAATATGCGAAAAGAGAAATAGAGATTATGCGAGAAATTGGCGAGAGAACCCCCCAGCGGATTAAATAAGATATGCATCACGGGCAAAAGAAAAAGAAATGTGAAAAACAACAAAAATTCGCGAGAGCGCCAAATTTTCTACAATCACGAGAGAAAAATCTGCCCATTTTTTTTTTCAATTTTCACGAGAATTTTGTAAATTTTTACCCTTTTTTTCAAGCTTCTGAACAAATTTCGTCATTTTCCAAATTTTTTTTTCTACTTCTCAGGAGAAATCTTGTAATTTTTTACATTACATTTTCTCACTTTTCAGCACAGATTTTGTTATTTTTTCCCTTTGTGATCTACTAAATGATACAAAGATCATAAAAAAAGCAGTTTTTTTCAGCATTTTTTTTTTTCACTTTTCAGGACAAATGATTTGTTTTTTTAATTTTTATGTGTTTTTTCGATTTTGTCATAAACCAATGTCTATAATTTCGAAAAAATTTGACAAAAATTGAAATTTTTTTGAGCACTCAATATAAAGAAAAATCTGTCCATTTTTTTCAGTTTTCAGGACAAATTTCGTGATTTTCTACATTTTTTTCTCAATATTCAGGGCTTTTTTTGGCATTTTTTTCTCCATTTTATTTTTTTCATGATTTTTGCACTGAATAAACTCAAAAAAATAAGGTTCATATTTTTCGATGAGATTCAAAAAAACTAATTTTGAGCAAACTATATGAAAAAAAGTAACTCAAAACTTATTCTGTTCGATTTTTACAACAATTTAATGAACAAAAAAATCAAGGATACGAAAAATTTTTTTCTTGAAACAGCCAATTAATGAAATTCCCATTTTTTTCAAGGAAAAATTAGACACTTTTTCGAATATTATTGCAATGAAAAAAATCCTACAAGTTTCAAAAATTCTTTTTGGCCTATTTTATTTGGATTTTCAAAAAAATCTTGCTTAAAAATAACGAATTTTTGAAGAAATGTCTCTTTAGTAGAATAAGAAAAAAACAGTTTTTTTCAAACATATTTTCGATTTTTTTCCAAATATCTTTTCGATGAAAAAAATTACTTCAATCAGATTCGTTCGCTGAATTTTTTTCAAATATTATTGAAATTATTATTTTTTTGATAAGTTCTTCTATTTCATTAAAAAAATCTTACCAAAAGAGTTTCCACAAGATCTTTCCTTGGCCGAAGCGATAATAGAGGTTTACTCAGGCGAATGGAACAAAGGCCGCCTCGGGACTCGTAGGAGCAAATCCCAGCACATCTGGAACGGAAAGAATGAGAAAAAAACCTCACAATAAATATAATAATAGGTTTTTTTCAATTGTTCAAAAAATAATAATGAAAAACTGAATCATCAACAGAAGATGACGAATTTTAAGAGCTTCAAGAAAAATTAAAAACTGGGCAAAACTTTCCGTTTTAACCTTAATTCTTAACTAAAAATGTGAAAAAAGCAATAATCATAATAATAAATTTATTAACCCTAAATAATGATACAGAATCGAATCATTAACGGAAAAAAGCGCGAAAATGAAAATTTAGGCGAAAAAATTTGTTTTAAGCTCAATTTTTAAACAATAAATTGTTGGTAGAAGTGCTTATTGGGTTTCAAAATTCAATAGAAAAACTGGGAAATTACAAACTTACACGATAAATTTTGACGTTTAAAAAAATAAAGGATTTGGTCGTTGAAAAACATAAATTTATTTGCAAAATAAAAAACGGAAAATAAAAAAATTTACATGAATTCTAGAGCTTTTTTTCTCTTATCAATAGTCTATTGAATTTTCAAAGGTTAATCCAATTTTTTTCGAAAAAAATTATGACCTGATAGGATTTTACAATAAAAAAAGATATTAACTTTAAATAAAGTTCAAAAAAATCAAAAATGCCCATGATTCATCTAAATTTTGTTTTCGAAAGTCATCTTTTTCTCCATTCAATTCAAAAACCAATTACCTTCTTTTTTTACACAAAAAAAGTGGGAAAACAAAGAAAGGAAGAAAAACTTGGTTGCCAGACAACCAGAATAATTTTCGCCTTGGAAAAATGACATTTTCAACTTTTTTTTCGTCTTTTTTCTGCATTTTGAATAATATATCCATTCTTAAAGGTTTTTAATATTACTTCTACGTATTTCTTTGAATTTATGAAGAAAATTAAGTTCATAAAAAATTTATTTTCCGAGATTTTTTTTCCTGAAATTCAACAAGTCACTGCAGTTATCTGAGTATAAGCCATTTCCAGAAGAGACAAAAAAAAACTTGAAATCAGATTATTTTCAAATGGAAAATTGCCATTTCCTAAGGACGCAATTATACTGAACGGCTGTTATTTTTCAGTCTCTTTTTTGGATCATTTTAAGACCTTGAGACTCCAGAAATGATAGATTTCCTCTACAAATATATTTTTTTATTTACCAATTCAAAAAAATTTGTAATAAAAAAATGATGAAAAATCGAGAGAAATTCGAATTTCCCCTTTTTTTAAAAAGAAATTTCTCACCTTGTTTTTTTCAATTTTTTTAAAAATTTCACAACGACACTCGCTTTCATGGTAAAATTTAGCCTGAATACCTTTTCTAAGTTTTTGATTTAAGTTTCAAAAAACACGGAAATCTCCGAATTTTTTTCCAAACCTTTAAAAACTTGAGCAATCATTTTCGAAAATTTTTTTTCACATTTTTTCAATCAATAAAAACACCGTTATCGAAGTAATTTTCGCGCGATTGGAAATTATCTTTGAACCTCTAAAAACCAGTTTTTTTTTTTCAATCTCTCACGACTATTTTGAATTCGCCGAAATTATTTTGAACACGGAATTATGATTTGGCTTTTTGAACAGATTATACAGCATCTAGTCTCTAAGATAGCTCATTTCGCGACAGTTTATCACTATTTCTTCTTTTCTCGGAGCTACAGTACCCTTCCCTTCAACGCGCGGGCCCTGCGTCTTTAAAAAAACGAGAATTGCAGGCCTTATTAAAGGGTCATGCACAGAGGCAGGCATTGAAGAGATGGTTCTGCGCCCTTAATATGACCAGATATTAAGACTAATCAAAGGCGCATACGCAAAGACAAGCCGTGCGCATGGAAGGAATGAGTCTGCGCCTTTAATATGACGAAAACTGTAGTCCTAATTAAAGGCGCATGCTTAGAGACAGTCCCCGCGCATCGAAAGGTTCTGCGGAATCGGAAAGGAGTTCTGCGCCTTTAATATGAGTAATATTTTAGGGCAAATCAAAGGCGCACACGCAGAGAAAAGCCGTGCGCATGGAAAAGACGTACATGCGCCTTTAAAATACCGAAAATTTTAGACCTAATTAAAGGCGCATGCACAGAGATAGACTGCATGTTTCGAAAGAATCTGCGGAATCAGATAATGGAGCTGCGCCTTTAATATGACAAAAATTTAGGACAAATCAGAGGCGCAGGCGCAGGCACAGAAACACTCCATGCACATAGGACGGAAGGATCTGCGCTTTTAAGATGACAAACATTAGACGCCTTATTAAAGGCGCATGCACAGAAACAGTCCGTGCGCATGAAAGGGATGTGTATGCGCCTTTAATACAACGAAAATTACAGCCCTAATTAAAGGCGCATGCTCAAAGACAGTCCGCGCAACTCAAAGGGGAGCTTCCCGGAAGGGTTCTGTAGCTCGGAGAAAAATAAAAAAGTGAAAAACTGGCGCAAATTAATCTTTTTTTTTTACAGATTTGGGTGGAATGCGGGACTCACGAGTACATTCGGGGGCTCCAGCGGACCTCGCAGCAGGCGAGGGCGCCCTGGAAGAACCGGGCGTCGAACTCGAGGAAAAGCGCGTGAATGTCCGGACAAGGGTCGATCAGCTCGTACGAAGGGTCTACAAGGCTGCCGGCCATGGCGCCAGGGCCCTCCGGCGTCGGATTCTGCAACGACGACCGCGGATTCCGATGCGCAGGACCTGCCAGAGACTGTCCTACGCCGCTCTCGTCTCTAACCATTTCGATGATTATTGATCGCTTTTTCCCCCGTTGTTAATAAATGTATAAATCACGAGAAAATGGTTTCGAATGCAAGAAAAAGATTCAAAAAAGGTTCAAATTGTAACAACTATTAAAAAGAAACGTGTCAGAACGTGAAAAATAACCTTGCCTCGTTCAAAACTTCTTTTTGTGATAAATCGATTGTTTTTGTAATAATTGAAGATTTTCGCCTATTTACACAGGGCTTACAATGCACACTAAGAATAACTGACGAGATAAACGCGAGCTCGGTGGCGGTACATTGACTAACTCGCAAACATGTCGCTTTTTTCTAGGCGCGATCCCGCATTTTTCTCGGCGCGACCTCGCATTTTTCTCGGCGCCATCTCGCATTTATCTTGCATTTCGGAAATTTTCAAATTGCGAGAGAAATGCGAGCTCGCGCCTAGAAAAGTGCGAGCTGGCGCCCAGAAAAATGCGAGACCGGCGCGAGAAAAAAAGCGAGATGTTTGCGAGCTCGTCAATGTACCGCCAGTGTCTCGCGTTTATCTCGGCAGTTATTCTTAGTGCAGAAAAAAGTGAAAAAACAAGCTTTAAAGTATGGAAAATCGAGTGAAACAAATCAAATCTCTTTAAATCACTCCGCTCTAGTTTTGATGGTTGTTGATCAGTTTTCATCATCGTTAATAAATATATAAATCACCCTAAAAAACAGTTTAAAAGCCAAGAAGTTGAGAAACTCTAAAAAAGAACAAAAAGTAAAAAAAATTTCCCAATTCAAGAAAACATAACCAAAAAAATGTAAAAATTAGTTCTATACAATATATAGTTGAAATAGAAAATAAATGATGACTTTGAACGCTGAAAATAAGGCTTAAAACAAAATTTTAAAAAAAAGAAGGAAAATTTCAATTTTCTCAGCATGTCTTTTTTCGGGTGGTGTCTACAGACTTTGCGCGTTCGTAAGAAACTCGCGGAAGATTCTTTTTTTAAATGCTGAAATTAATAGAAAATTAAATTTTTAAAAAAAGTTTTTTTAAGGTTTCATGAGGTTGAGCAAAGCAAAATAGTGCCTATTGATAAGCTCAGAATAAACAGAAATCTCGAAAATCGAAAGAATTAATTCAAACAAAACTCTCGCTCGCGGACGTTTACCGTAATTCGCCAAAAATCTCCCGCGACTGAATTGAGCGCTAACTTCAAACTTTCAAATTTTCTTATCAATTTTCTTTCCCCTGTGTCATTCTTTCTTTTTCAGAATGAAGAAATGAAACGGAACACGACGAATCGTCTCACTGAAGCCTCCTTGCTCAATCGCTTCCACTCCACAGGCTACATCAAACCCAGCACGAATTCGGCGGTAATTTTCGAATATTTTCAAAAAATGTTCATTTTTAAGGACGAATGGGTCACGGCACGATTCATAGACGATCCTTACCACGAAGGAACGTTATTTCTCGGCGGTGACAATGGTCACGTCGCCATTTGCAGCACAGAATCGCTGTTAAATGACGGCGGGGTGACAAAAGGTAGGCTTTTTTGGGCCGAAAAAAATGAGATATTTCAAATTTTCAGTATTTCGAGCTCATAAATGTTGTATAATGGATATGGTGAGCGTGCCGAACGATTCCACGAAGTTATTAACAGTTTCTGGGGATTCTGATGTTCGGTAAGATTCGAAAAAAATTTTTAAAAAAAGCTCAAAAAAAGCAACAAAAAAATTGTTTGATCACTTAATAACCTAAGAAATTTTTACGAAATTATGTTTAACTTTTTAATTTTTAATAAAATACTGATTTTTTTCAGATGCTGGGACATTGAAGCGTTGGGATCTTCAAAATTATTTTTTTGGTCATGAAGGATCGGTAAAATCGATTTCCTGCTCGCCAAAGGGATCCGCGTAAGTTTCAAAAAGTATATTTTTTTATAAAAAAATGAACAATTTTTTTCTTTGCATTTCAATCGAATTCAGACGTTTTTCGTGACCTCCGGAGTCGATGGAGATTTGCGGATTTGGGACCGACGAATCAAAGGAAGTCACGAGGCCGAAAAACCAAAAAGTCATCAATTCTTCCACGGTTTTCCAAAAGGCCCATTCTCTCAAAGGTTTTTTGAAACTATTGTTTGAAATAAAGTTATTTTCCAGTTTCAACGAATAAACGGGCGACGAGCGTGACTAGCGTGGTTTTTATCAATGATCATTTGATCGCGTCGGCTTCGTCCGATGCTTCCAGGTTGGTTTCGGGAATTTTGAAGAGAAAATTATCAAATCTGAGTTTTTATGAAGTTTTTTATTTCATGGGTGGAACAGAAAATTCATTTTGGGGACCCTCAGAAGGTACTGAAAAGGGCTAAATGCTTAAAAATGATGGAAAGCTCAGAAAAGTGCTTTTGAAAATCACCAACAGACCTTTTCATATCAATTTTGCACCCTTTTTTTCCTATTATTTCAATAAAAAAATGAAACTAAAAAGATCCCAGAAGAATATCCTCCGAGGCTATGAAAACAGAGCTCAAAGAACTTCTTTCCGTGAGCTTTTTTGGAACATTTTCAACTTCTGATAGTCCTTAATTTTTTTTAATTATTGAATTTTTACGTGCTCAGGGAATTATTTTGAATAAAATTTTCCATTGGATTTTCACTGCGATTATTCAAATTTTCCTCATTTATTTCAATTATCAACAAGAAACTTCTGTACTATCAGCTTCATTGTATCGATTTTGTTTTTTTACAATTTTTTTAGAGTTTTTTTCCGTCTTTTTGAATAGATTCGGTATTTTTTTCAAAAATTTGTAATATTCATCTGTTTTATGGTTGAATTTTTGCATTTCTTTGAAATTCGAGAAACAGTTTCAAATAAAATAGAATTTTTGATTTCTTAAGCTATTTTAATATTCCAGCTTTCATCTTCAACTTTTTCGATTTTCAAAATTAAGAAAAGATGATTTTACCGTTTCTCTCAATGATTTTGTCGTTTACTGGGAGGAAATTTAGTTAATAGGGCGGGTTTTTCTTTAAAAAGTAGAATTTGTTGCTGATTTCAGAAGTTCTGAGGAAATATTTTTGTCAAAAAGTATTCAAAAGAGGGAATCGATAAGTTCTAAGCTACCGGTGAACTTAGGAACTCCATAGTGATCCCTATAGGGGTATAGGATCCACTTTATCAACCTCTACAGGGGCCACTAAATCTTGCAAAAGTGGTCCCTCTAGAAGCAACCTTAGGTGCCCTCTAGGATCCACTTCAGCAATTCCTATAGGGGTCACTAAAGCTTGCAAAAGTGGTCCCTATAGGGGATATGCTAATCGATACTTGTTATGAACTCTAAGCGAAGAAGCAATTCCATGGGAAAAACTGTTTTTCGAATAAAATTGAAAAATCCCTATAGGGTCCTCTTGAGCTTTAGGGGCTAACGGGTCAGACCCTAAACCCCTCTAGAGACCACCTTAATTTTACCTCTATAGGGACCACTTTTTCGGTTCCTAACCCCTATAGGGACTACTCTGGAGATTCCTAAGAATGGAGTTTTTTTTTCACAATCAAAATTCAGCGGGGTCCGTATTTGGGACATCCGGAAGCAGCCGAAAAACGACGTGAGTTATGTCGACGAGCTGTCGTTTCCCTTGACGACGGACCGACAATTCGGCATCACGTCTTTGGCCGTCGATCGGTACAGATCCCGACTTTACGCGGCCGGGATGAACAACGTCGTCTGCGAGTATGCCGTCACGAGTGCACTGAAAACGCCGGGTTCGTGGAAAAAAAGAGAAAAAAGTTGAAAATTAAACGTCAGGTTGTTCGTTTAGCCATAGGCCAAGTCGGATGGACACTCCGATGGTTCATAAAGGTCCAGAGAAATGTTCCTTTTAGGGTGATGAACGCTCCTTTTTTGCTGCCTTTTTGCGCCATTTTCTCAGCCCATATGCACCCTTTTTGCTGCCTCTCACTTTCTCCACCATTTCTTGAGCCTTTAAAATCCCAGAGATATGGAAGGCTCGATAAAGGGACTCTTTTTGCTGCCTTTTTGCGGCCTTTTTGCTCTCCTTCTGTAGCCTTTTTTGAGCCTCTCCTTTTAGCGGCCCTTATTCAACATTGCGACTTTGCCCGAGGCTGTTCCCCGGCGCGCTTAAGCGATTGAAAAAAGGGTCCTGACACGAAGAAAAAAGGAAATAGTGTCTGGTTGATGGAGAGCGCAGACGCAAAAATATTTTTACCATCACATCGCAGAAAAATGGTTATCGTTCTCAAAATTATACCGCCAGATTCGGAATTATCTCTGCCTCTCTCAAATTTAGTGATCTCTCTCACTCTCGTCTTGAATTTCGCTCCGTTAGCACTTTATATAAAACCTTGGAAAATTAAGTTTGAAGTTTTAAAGATTTTAAAAGCCTTTTTCGAATTTTTCACGTTTATAGTCGATTCACGGCTAGCTTGAAAGAGGCGTGGCCTGTCTGCGCTCTCCACCAACCAAATACTATCTTGTTTTCTTCAAAAATCGTGTCAGGACCCATTTTTCGAAGGCGAGAGCTTGCCGTGAATCAGCTGTAGCTTGATACGAAAAGGGGCGTGGCCTGTCTGGGCTCTCCACCAACCAAATACTATCTTGTTATCTTCAAAAATCGTGTCAAGACCCATTTTTCGAAGGCGAGAGCTTGCCGTGAATCAGCTGTAGCTTGATACGAAAAGGGGCGTGGCCTGTCTGGGCTCTCCACCAATCAAATACTATCTTGTTTTCTTCAAAAATCGTGTCAGGACCCATTTTTCGAAGGCGAGAGCTTGCCGTGAATCAGCTGTAGCTTGATACGAAAAGGGGCGTGGCCTGTCTGGGCTCTCCACCAACCAAATACTATCTTGTTATCTTCAAAAAAATCGTGTCAAGACCCATTTTTTTCGAAGGCGAGAGCTTGCCGTGAATCAGCTGTAGCTTGATACGAAAAAGGGGCGTGGCCTGTCTGGGCTCTCCACCAATCAAATACTATCTTGTTTTCTTCAAAAATCGTGTCAGGACCCATTTTTCGAAGGCGAGAGCTTGCCGTGAATCAGCTGTAGCTTGATACGAAAAGGGGCGTGGCCTGTCTGGGCTCTCCACCAACCAAATACTATCTTGTTATCTTCAAAAATCGTGTCAAGACCCATTTTTCGAAGGCGAGAGCTTGCCCTGAATCAACTGTACATTTTTTTTTTCCTAATGAATCTAGCGATTCTTTGAAGAAAAAATGTCTTTTCCTACGTCTTTTTCCCAAAAATTTCTTTTTTTTTCAGTTCGCCACCTGCTCGGAAGCCATTTACGCGATTTTCACATCGAAATCGCCTGTTCGCCGGTTGATGACGTCATCGCGTGCGGCGACAGCGATTCCCGGGCCGTTTTGTGGGATTTGACGGTACGAAATTTTTGAAAATACCTGGAAAAAATTTCAAATCGAATCAATAATGCATCTCGTTCACGTCAAATTTTTCTCACTCTTTCAAAATTTTGAAAACTTAAAGTACCTTTTTTCGTAGTTTTTTAAACGCAATAGAGGCTTCGCTTTTCATTTTGAGCCTTATTTTTACCTCTTTCAATTTTTTTTCGAATGGTAATAAATCAAACTCGGAAATCTTCTGATTTTTAAGTGAACCCTAGGGACATTTCTTTCACAGTCTTTTACGAATCGCTTTTTTTGACCTTTATGTGGATTTTATCAGTACACAATTCAATTTTTCATGTACATTCTCGTTTTCTAACTTTTTTGATTTATTAAAGGATCGAAAAAAGGTCCATCGAACCCTGGACGGAGAGACGATCGTGCCTTCCTGGACGGCGAATGGCCATCAGGGCAAAGTTACCTCCGTTTCCTGGAGCTCCGTCGGAAAGTATGTGGTTTTTTTAAACACAGCATTCCTAATGGGGTGATGGAAGTTGAGCGAGGCGTCAAAGTTTCTGAATTTACAAAAAAAAAGCAAGTGCGCGCTTCGGATAAAAGGACTGTGACGTCACAGCTACCTATCGTTGCAAATTAAACTGAGTATTCAACGGCATGAAGAATACATTTGGCTGCGTACTTTAGATCTCAAATTTCGCGCCAAACCCTGTTTGGGAATGCCGTGTGAAGATAAAAAGTAAAAAAAAATGAAGTAATATGGAAAATTAGAAATTTTCTGTGTTTGAAACTGTGTAACAGTTAATTTGAGCCGCGTTTTTTTTCACTTCTCAAAAAGATGCTCAAAAAAGCTAATTTTGAGCTCTTTTTACTCAATTTTCTATCTTCCAGATATTTTGCAACTGTCGATGAAACTGGGGTCCGACTTTGGTCGGAGAAACAAGTTGAGCCGTGGCCTTTATTCGATGAGGTTTTTTCTTAAAAATAAATCGAAAAAATGAGTTTTTTGAAGGACAAAATCCCGGCGCCAATCCCAAGGCAGAGAGAAATCGCCTACGAAGAATTCACGCCCTGTGGGTCGAAGGAGGTCCTGGAAGCTCTGGCCGTTCAAAGGTGCTTTGAAATAATTATAACTCGGAATGGTGTATAATGGCCGCTGAAAGGGAGAGGCATCAAAAAGGCAGCAAAAAGGCCGAAGAAAAGCAGCCAAAGTGGTCCTTAGAGGGGCGACTTGAGACGCTTGAAGGCTCCCCTCTAGGGACCACCTTACTGACCCCTATGGGGGGCACTATAGCTCGCAAGATTCTCGGGCAGGAGAGGCTCAAAAAAGGTCGCAGAAAGGCAGCAAAAAGGTCGCAAAAAGGTAGCAAAAAGGTAGCAAAAAGGTAGCAAAAAGAGTCCCTTTATCGAGCCTTCCATTTTTTCTGGGATTTTAAAGGCTTGACAAATGGCGTAGAAAGGGAGAGGCTGCAAAATTAGTGCATAACAGCCCATAAAATGGCCCAAAAAGGCATCAAAAAGGAAAATTTCTATAGAGCCTTTTTCCACCTTTTCCGACTTTGGCAGTGTAGGAAAAAGGAAACTGAAAACAGGAAATTCATCATTTTTATGAACTGAAATTGAAAATTTTATATTTTATGCTTTCTAATAACCCGAAAATCCAACAAAAACGAAGTTTGGCCAGTAAAAATTGAATTCCTCGTAATCCATGAAGCTTTTTTTCAAAAGAATATTCCGTTTCTATGGGAAGTTTCTATTAAGAAATTGAATAAATATGGAGAAAAATGTCGATTTTTCCCTTTTCTAGTACCCCGAAAACTCAGAGGAAAAAAATTTTGCTGGGTGGAAATTGCATTTTTTGAAAATTTGGCTCATTTCGAAGCATTTAAAAAAAAAATGTAATGTCATGTCTCTGGATGAGGTTTCTATTCAAAAAATGAATCAATAAGATAAAACTTGAAGATTTCCTTTTTTGAGAACTCCAAGAACTGAAAGAAAACGATTTTTGGTCAGTAAATTTGAATTTTTTTGGTAATTTTTCTCCCATATTTCGGGCCTTTTTGAAGAAATGTTCTGTTTCTGTTCAAAAAAATTGAATTAGTATGCGGAAAAAAATCGATTTTTTTCCGTTTTTAGAACCTCAAGAACTGAAAGAAAAACGGTTTTGTGTGTGAAAAATTGAACTTTTTTTGTAAAAATGAGCTCATATCCCGAATTAAAAATTCTGTTTCTAAGTGAAGTTTCCATTCAAAAAAATTAAATTCATATAGAAAAAAACATCGATATATTTTTTTAGAACCCCAAAAAGCTTGAAGAAAAAAATAATTTAGTGGGTGACAATTAAGTTTTTTTGTGAATTTAGTTCATATTTCGAAGCTTTTTTTCTCAAAAAAATGTTGTGTTTCCAGGTGAAGTTTCTATTCAAAGAAATTGAATTAAATTGAAAAAATATCGTTTTTTCCTTATTTAGGACCCCCAGAACCCAAAGAAAACGGCCTTTTCCATCATCATCATCCAGTGCAAAACCCTCGCCAATCGACTGCCCCTCGATGAATTTGAGAACTTCGCCGAGGAGCAAACTTGTCAAGTAAAAATCGCCATTTTTACTATTTATAACGATTTAATTTTCAGATTTTCAACGCCCCAAAAAACTCCCTTACAATCGCCCCTGAAAGATTTGACCAACTTCAACACGCCGACCAGCCCGAGGGCCAAAAAGAAACCGAAGTATACGGCTTTTTACAAAAAGTTCGAGAGAAAATGATTTTTTTAATGAGAAATCGTTTTTAGATATCCGACACAAGATTTGCCGAACTTCGTGTATGAAAAGTTTGTGAAGAAGTTGCTGGGAGAGTCGAATGTGGCGAGCGTGACAGCGTCTGGCAAGGTTGGTGGCCTTGGTCGAGTGGTTAAGAGGCTAGGCTGTAAGGCGGTAGGCCACTGGATCGGATCCCGAAGTACTTTGAAACTTTTTTGCCATTTCTTAAATGCTGGGGGAAGCGAATGTGGCGAGCGTGACAGCGTCTGGCAAGGTTGGTGGCCTTGGTCGAGTGGTTAAGAGGCTAGGCTGTAAGGCGGTAGGCCACTGGATCGGATCCCGAAGTACTTTGAAACTTTTTTGCCATTTATTAAATGCTGGGGGAAGCGAATGTGGCGAGCTTGACAGCGTCTGGCAAGGTTGATCATCTTGGTCGAGTGGTTATGAGGCTTGGCTGTGAGGGGAAGGTCATTAGATCGGATCCTGATGGGCTTAGAAACTTTTTTGCCAGTTTTGAATTGTTTAATAAAGCTTTATTCAAGTATAACTTGATGGACAGAGTACTTCAAATTTTTTGAAATTTTATTTTCCATCCATTTCTCCCTTTTTCATTGATTTCCAGGAGAAAGGGCAGGATTTGACTAGAAAAAGGCAAAAACTCAAAAAAATTAAAAAAATTGACGCCCAGAGCTTCAAATCCCGCTTTTAAATGTCATTTTTTTAAAGAAGCAATTGAAAAAAACGAAAAGATTTTTTTTTCAGAGAAAATCAAAGATCGACGACTGGTGGCAACGGCAAAAGCCGGACAGCCTTTTGCAGAAGCTCGGAAGTTCGCCGGGAAGATTGACTCGAGTTCGGTGAGCATAAAAATAATTAACTGACTTCAAAAAATTTTGAAGAAAAGAAAAGAACAATAGTAATGTTTTTCCAGCGTCCCGAGTGTAACCGAGTTCGGCGCCTCAGCTTGTGCCAACGTCCTTCCGGAAGAAGAGCGTCTAGCCCTGAATTCACCCAGGAAAATCGTCGTCCGTCTCACGCCCATCAAACCGCAGCCCAAGCCGAACACGCCAAAAGCTGGTGAGAAATGGATGAAAAATGAGCAGCGAAAAAATCGCCACTCAGTAATGTGACAGCAGCGGATAGAAAAAGGCCGAAAATCAGTTAAAAAAAGGGGAAAAAAAAATCAGGCGATTTCAAGAAGGAATGTGCGCTCCATTCAAATAACTATGAAAGTTGAACTTTTTAAGTCATTAGATAGTCTATTCATTGAAATTCAAGTACAATGACGTCATTCGAAAACGCTCTGTGGATGGGTCGCTCTCTGATTGGTTTAGGGGCGGAGCTTGAGCGACGACTCTTCCATAGAATGATTTTGATGAAAAGCTTTTTGAAAATAACATTATGCGCTCCATGTATAATTATAGTAATCTTTTTTTGGTTCTTTTCTTTTCTGCCTTATTAGATGAGCAACGGCGTTTTTGTTAGTGGAAGAAAATGGGAAACCAAAAAAACGATGGGCGGAGCCAAAATATCCGTGTGACGTCATCGAAACGGCAGAGATTTTGGCTTTAGGAGCGTAAATAACAGGGCGTATTAAAGGCGCAGGCCGCCGTGTTGCCAGAGGTCTTTGAGACGAATTGAAAATTTTCTACATACACGCAATTTTCTGCGCGATAGCGGCGCTGTGCATGCACACGACACATGACACTTTGCGGATAAAAAGTGGGCGTGGCCTCGTCGAAAAAACGCCGTCGAGCGGCTATTTATTCATTTGTCCTTCCAAGTCCTCTTCAAATTCTAAAATTTCCAGCAACACCAAAAAGCACGCGACCGGGTCAAACTCCACGGAAAACCAGCCGAAACTTGTTCGATTTCTTCAACAAAAAATAATTATCTTCCTTTTTATTTATTCAGAAGAATGTACAGTCTAACTTTTCCATGCTCATTTGTTCTATGTTGTGAATTTTTCAATTTCTGCCTTTGAAAGTCTGTTTTTTGCGAAATGCTCTTTTTCTCTGCGCCCTCCTCGTCTCTCGGCGACCGTCTCAAGAGGACGTGCTGTTTTCATGTTTCTCTGACCTCGCCGGTGAGAGAACAGAGAGACGCAGACACTCGAAAATCATCAAGAATGGGACTTCTCTGCGCCCTCCTGGTGTCTCATATCTACGTGCTATTTCCATGTTTCTCTGACCTCGCCGGTGAGAGAACAGAGAGACGCAGACACTCGAAAATCATCAAGAATGGGACTTCTCTGCGCCCTCCTGGTCTCTCATATCTACGTGCTATTTTCATGTTTCTCTGACCTCGCCGGTGAGGGAACAGAGAGACGCAGAGAATCGAAAGTCGCGCCAAACGGACTATACTTCCATATCTATTGTGATGACTCGTTTTTTTTCAATTTTTCGACAGTTTTCAGCTTATTTGGGTTGTTTGTACTTTCAAAAAAAAAATATTCTTCATTCGCGAAAAAATATTTGCAATAAGAAACCCGTAGTGAAGAAAAGACTCAGCCGCGACCGTAGGCTCGGTACCGAAATTTTTGCGACGACGACGACGACGACGCGACTGATGAGTCGCCGGCGACGAGATGTCGCGTCCGCGACGGCGACCGTCGCTGCTGCACCCGGCCAAACTCCCTGTCGACGGTGTTGACCAGCGTGATGAGGGCGGCGAACGCGTCGCGATTCGTCGCCGCGATTCGCGACTCGGGCAGCGCGAAACCCGTTCTGAAGGAGTGAAGAGAATAATTACGTCAGAAAATTGGAGAAAAATCAAGTCATGACGTCACTAGTTTCGAAAAATTTAGTTATGACGTCACTAATTCCGAAGAATTCAGTTATGACGTCACTAGTTTCGATATTTCGCTATGACGCCACTATTTTCGGAATATTCAGTTATGACGTCATAAAATCGAAATAACTCAGATAATTTTTCCAAAGCTCAGGAAAAAGGTGACGTCATTTTATTCTCATTTTAATGACGTCATAGTAAATTTCTAGATTATCAATGATTTTGGAAAAATAAATTTTTTGTGAAAAGAAAATCTCTAAATTTTCGAAATTTCCCCGCCGTGACGTCATCTTTATCATGGCTCTAATGACGTCATCCTCCTTTAATTTGAAATTTTTTTCTGAAAAGTTCTACGTCTTTGATGACGTCATCAGAACTTGAGAGAATTTGTCAAGAAGACAGGCTAATAAATGACGTCACGGCATGCCGTAGCGCAATCGGTTGTGCGCTTGTCTATGTTCCGAAGGGTCACGAGTTCCATCCCGGGCGCGACACAAGAGCGGAAATGTCACCAGAGCTAGTCCACTGATTATCACGGATACCAGAAGGACCTTGCGTCATCGATTTTACGCTCACGCCGTACAAAGGTGCAAGAAGAAGAAGATAAATGACGTCACTCACTCGTCATCGATCGGCGCCAATTCGATGGTAAATGAATATTTGATTCCTCGGCTTTTCGCCCAGTCGTCAGAGGCTCCAGCGGCAGGGTCTGCAAAAATCTTGAAACTCTTTTCGTAATGAAAATTAAGTGTTAAATCGTTCACAGCCCTCGGAAAAAGGGTCTTGACACGAAAAAGATAGTGCGTGGTTGGTGGAGAGCGCAGACAGGCCACGCCCTTTTTTCATATCAAGCTACAGCTGATTCACGGGATAGTTGAGTCATTGGAAAAAGAGTCCTAACGCGGTTCGAAAAAGAGAAATAGTACATAGTTAGTGGAGGGCGCAGAAGGCCACGCCCCTTTCAAGCTAGTCGTGAATCGGCTGTATAACGCTATAGTCTATTCACTACGACTTAAAGCTCGGAGAGAAGACCCGCCTTTTCAAGTCGCCCAAAAAGGTTATAGTCCATTCACCACGACTTCCAACAGTCTGACCTGTCTGCGTCTCTCTGTTCCCTCACCGGAGAGGTCAGAGAAAAAGTAAATAGCATGGAAGCATGAGAGGGTCTCCGAGAAATTTTTCCATTTTTTGAAAATTCCATGAATCTGAAAAAAACAAACACAAGCCGTCGCCGCTGTTGACGACCTTGTAGAAGCTTCCGTTGACGTTCCGAATCGCCAGAGACATGGCGTTGCCGACACGTTTCTGAACGTTTCTTATCATCTCAGAAAGATCTGCCAGACTTACCAAATCCTCAACATCAGCCGGGTATTTATGTACAGTGTGGCCCCAGGGGTAGAGAATCTCCTGGCCGTAGGAATGAAGGGCGGCGTAGGCTCTGATCCGCGACTCCTCCCTTTGGATCGCCGAGACCAGGGCCGCCGTCTCGACTTCGCTCATCGACCGGACTCCGCAGAAGATCTCACTGAAATATAAATGGTTTGTAACGGGCTGACTTGTCTGCGCCCTCCTCTTCTCTAGCCGACTCTCTCAAGTTGACGTGCTGTTTTCATGCTTCTCTGACGGTCCGGGAACAGAGAGACGCAGACACGCGAAAATCATCAAGGATGGGAATTCTCTGCGCCCTCCTGGTCTCTCATATCTACGTGCTATTTCCATGTTTCTCTGACCTCGCCGGTGAGAGAACAGAGAGACGCAGACACTTTAAAGTCGCGGTGAATGAACTATATCAACAGTGAGGTCAGGAAGTCATGAAAACAGCACGAGAAAATGAGAAGGTGCAGAGAAATCAGGCAGCATAGAAAAAGTCAGTACTGCTTCATGAAAAAAATCCGTTGTGTGTTCATTTTTCCTTAGTATCGTACAACGCGTCGCGGTTGCGCAGCGGTTACCTTGAATAAGATCTTTTTCCAGCAACCAACCAAAAACTACTTGCGCGCTCAGGCTAGTTTCCATGAAAGTCGCTAAAAGTCGGGCGCAGAAAAATACTCAAAATGAATCAATTCTTCGAACCGCAACGCAACCGCGACGCATACAGCCGTCTTGCTGCTTTTTTAAAATTTCCACGGAACACTCTGACGTGTCTGCGCCCTCTCTTTTCTCACCAAAAAGGTCACTAATGTTGAAAATAGTATCCAAATACAGCAAGGTCTCCGAGAGCTTAAAAACGCCAGAATGGTCCCTGGAGTGGCCCTCTAGGGGCTTGTGAACTGAATCCTGACCCGCTGAAGCTCAAGTGGTTGCTATAGGGAGAAGGACAGTGGCCCCTTAAGGAGACGCCTCGCCCACTTTTTCTCCGTAAAGTTTCGTGTGTCGTGTGCATGCACTGCGCCGCTTTCGCGCAGAAAATTGCGTTTATGTAGAGAAATTTTGATTCGTCTCAAAGACCTCTGACAATACGCCGGCCTGCGCCTTTAATATGCCCTGTTATTCGCGCTCTTAGTTTTTTGGTTTCGCATTTCCGCTCTGGCGTTCCTAGGTGAAGTTATCCTGTAGGGACCGCTATCAAGCCGACTTTTGCAAGCTTCAGTGTCCCTATAGGGAGCCTTCAGGAGCCCCTGCCCCTTAAGGGACCACTCTGGTGTTCCGGAGTAAAACCATTTTTACCTGCATGGACTGTGGCTGACCCCTTCCGTGCCCCAAAAGAACGGATAGTTCCGGTTCATGTCCGCTCCAGCGCACCGGATATCCTGAATCCGCGACCGGGTCTTGCGCCAGAGTCGGTCGGCGTTCCGACTGTACTCGTAGCCGTCGGGGTTGGTATTGGGCACGACGACGACTTGGACTCGATCCAGGACGTTCTGATAGGCTGGATTCGTGGCGAGCTGTAGATGATAAAAATAATGATTTTTCAAAGGATATTTATCCATATTTGAATTTTATTGAAAAGAAAAATTGTTTTCAGTTCTCGAATTTTCTGAAATTTCGCTTTGTGACTAACTTTTGAACATTTTCTTCGAATAATCAAGGTTTTATGTAGAATAGAAAGTTTTACAGCCTGCCTTCTTCTAAAAACTTGAGAGATTTTTTAAAAACAAATTAAAAAGTGAGTCAAAAGCTCGCAAAAAAATGTATTGATTCGTTTATTTCACCTTGAAGTTTCAGGTGTTAATATTTAACTGATAAAACTACCAGTTTCCCATTATATACGAATCCTCATGAAAAAAAGTTTAGAAAAAAAGCAGTAAAAAAAGAAATTAGACCAAAAAGAGACCCCTCCGATAGGAACCGAGAGTGGCCACTAGAGGGACCAGGGAAAGAAAGGCTTCCATGGATCATGATTGACAATATAGTGCTCCCTTGAGTGTTAAAATGTTGGTGGATTTTTGAGTGGTCCCCAAAGAGATGTTTTAAGTTTTTTTTTTCAGTGATTTGAAAGTCAAAAAGTGAAAAGACGTTATGGCGTGCCCCCCTAAAATAGCCACCTTCATGTTCTTTAAGGGGATCCTTCATGAACCCTCGATTTTGTCCCTCAAGGGGCCACTCCGGCATTCCTAGAGTTAAAAAAGGCGTAATTTTCCGAATCAACCTGTGTAATGAACACATTATAAATAAAAATAAGCTAGCTGATTTGCAGGAAAAAATTTCTCCCGTTATCTCTACCGATGTTTCTTACTATTTTAGAAATCAAAATCCATTTCCTACCGTATAAATCAAGAAAAGAGCCGCATTATAGGAGATCCATTCCCTGGCATGTGTCCCTGAATCGATCCACACGATTGGCTTGGGCCTTCCGTCGTCGCCAATCTAAAAAAATCGATTATTGATTTATGGATTTTTTTTTTCTGACCCTGACTGATCTCAACGAGCGGCCTTCATAGGTATTTCCAATGTCGATAAGTTTGACCCGGTTTGGAAATTGTTGGGCCAAAGTTTCCAAGAAGCGCATTTGCTACAATTTTATTGATTTATTAGTTGGTTTATCGATTTATCGATTTTTTTATTGATTGATCGATTTATCGATTTTTGATCGAATTATTGACTATTTTTGACTTATGTAGCTCAAAATTGCTCGTTTTTTTGGATTTAACTAGCTTGGAAATTGCTCATTTTTCCAATTTCTAACATAAAATTTCAAAGACAGACAAGGTGTCAATTTTAGAAAATCGATTAAAAAACCTCTTCATAGGATAAATACCGATTATCCAAATCCGCAAGTGTTATATCGCCGTCGAGAGCATTTCTACGCCTCCGTTGCTTGAAAATCTCCGGATTTATATCTGAAATTGGTCAATGGTCGAGTGGCTAAGAAGCTTGGTAGCATTTTTGTGACGCTGGTTCCATTCTTCTCCAGTTTTTTGCCATTTTTCAAAACTTTCAAAGAGATGACGTTTCTCTTTAATGACGTCATGGCTATATAAATGTGACAAGAAAGAAGACTTTCGGAACTACGTTAACTACAATTCGCTCATACCAAAGATATTTTCGTGGTTTGAATTTATTCAAATAGCCCAGAAATAGTAAAATAAGTTAGACCCTCATTTATGACATCACCTTGAAAAAAGTGAGAAAACTTCAGATGACGTCATAAAAAAACCGACGTCACGAATTTATAATCAAAATTGTCTTCAATGATTTCTAAAGCTTCTAGCCTCCTCTAGAACTTTTTTAAAAGCTTCAGAAAATGAAGAAAATGACGTCAGAATTTAAATTATGACGTCATATTTTGTCAGATGAGAACATTCTAAAAAAATTAAGCTTCTTTGGAAAGCTTGGGAGAATTTTCAGATGACGTCATAAATACTAAAATGACGTCACAACTTGATAATCAACATTGGGAATTTTTTCTCAAAAATCCGAAAGTTACATAAAAAGGTATTCTTAAAACTAGATTTCAGCTAAATAGCGTTTTTTGAACCAATCTGGTCGCATTAGGAATGGCAGAAAAGCCCGAAAAATGAGAGCAATTCGATTTTCAACGAGCCGCGAGGCGACCGCAACGCGTCGAGCCATTCCAAATGCGTCCAGAACATTTTTTGAAAAGCTCAACGGACTCTTTATAGGCAAAATGAGCAATCAGGACCATCTCTCTTTCTGAGAAACGAGCCGCAGCGCGACCGCAACGCGATGAGCCATTCCAAATGCGACCAATAAACTCCGGACATGACTCAATGCACTCTTCAAAGGCCGAAAAATAAAATCGCCCTCTTATCTGTCTTCAATAAGGAGCCGCAGCGCGGCCGCAACGCGTCGAGCCATTCCAAATGCGGCACTTAATTCACCTTTAACCGAGTATTGCAGGTGATTTTTGTCAAAATGCGCCTTGACTTTGCCCAAATCTTTTCCGGGGATGATAAAATGTGCGGAATGGTTTGCCTTGTGAGATTCGCCGAGAAGATCCGGCTGAAAAATCAATCGATAAAAATCAATCAATAAATGTGACGATTGAAAATCAATCGATATGAATCAATCAATAAAGGTGATGATTGCAAAATCAATCGATATGAATCAATCAATAAAGGTGATGATTGCAAAATCAATCGATAAAAAAATCAATCAATAAAGGTGAAGATTCCAAATAAATCGATGATGATAAATCAAAAAAATTTGATGATTGCAAAGTCAATCGATCAAGGTGATATTTTAAAAATCAATCGATGAAAATCAGTCAATCAAGGTTATGATTGCATAATCAATCGATAAAAATCAATCGATCAAGGTGATCATTTCAAAATCAATCGATAAAAATCAATCAATAAAAAATCAATCGATAACCTGATAGCCTAATTGATTGGTCAGATCCCGGACTTGTCGTTTCGCCGTTTCATCGGGAAGTGTGACCGAAACGACGCGGTACCTGGAAAAAAATCAGTTCAAATTCTCATTTTCCTTTGAAAGGTGATGGATGTCTGGAAAAGACGGTCGTTTTCAATTTTTTTCAATTTTTTTCAAATTTTGGTCGTTTTGAGTACATACTTCTTCATAACAGGAGATATTTGAAAGTCCAATTTTTTTCAGAAATGGGTTCTTTTCTGTATTTTTTTATTTTCTGCCAAAAAGGCTCTAAAATCTAGTTAAACACTATTTTTTTCACATGTATTTCAAATCGCATAAAAAAATTTTTTTGACCTAAAGTTTACTCGAAAAAAACACGAAATTTCCTTTTTGTTTTTTTGGCCTATATTTTAATTTTCCATACTTTCAAATTTTTCCTAAATCAAGAATTACACGCATTCTCATCACAAATTAATTAATTTGGACTGAAAAAAACTACGAAAAATCTCAAAAAAATAAAAGAAAAACCGACTAAATTTTTTTCCAGCATGCTGGATTTTTTTGAAAAAAACTAGCTTTACGGTATCAGAACCTAATTATAAAAAAATTAAAATTCATTCAATCTGTTATGAATCTCCTGTAGCTGTCTAGATTTTCCTATTGAAAATTAAAAATTTTTAAAAACGAAGGTACGCCAGAGTGGTCCCTAGAGGGGCTACTTGAGGCCCTTGAAGGCTTCCCTCTAGGGACCGCCTTACTCACCCCTATGGGGGGCGCTATAGCTTGCAAGATTCTCGGGCAGGAGAGGCTCAAAAAAGGTCGGAGAAAGGCTGCAAAAAGGTAGCAAAAAGGGACCAGAAAGGCTGTAAAAAGACAGCAAAAAGAATGCAAAAAGGCTGCAAAAAGGCTGCAAAAAGGTAGCAAAAAGAGTCCTTTTTTGAACCTTCCATTTTTCTGGGATTTTTAAGACTCAAGAATTGGTAGAAAAAGGGAGAGGCAGCAAAATTGGTAGATAACAGCTCATAAAATGGCGCAAAAAGGCTGCAAAAAGGAAAATTTCAATGGAGCCCTTTTTCACCCTTTCCGACTTTGCCTATAGTTTTCCCTCTTGGGTTTTTAGTAAGTGGTCTCTCTAGGGAAGCAGGATAGGGATCTCTATAGATCTTTTGGGCTTTCCAATCAGAATATGCAATAAAAACCCCTAGAGGGACCACTTAAGCTTTCGATGTTTGAGATCCGTCTAAAGCCCTCCAGGGACCCCTCTGGCGATCCAAAAAAAGTTCAAATAACAAAAAAATCCCATGATTACAAAACTATTGCCGTGGTCGATTTTCAAAATTATCTCTGACTCTCCAAAATTCAGTTATCTTTCTCAGTCTCTGACCTTTTTTTCCCTTTGAACACGACTTAAATCAATAAAAAAATTGATTTTTTTACAAGAATTTAGCAAAAAAATTGACCAAAAAGCCTGAACAAACCCATCATAAGATTTGTAAGCAACGGCCGAAAAAATGCTCGACGTCAGGTACACGAGCAAAAACCCATACCCATTCATGGGAAACGAGCTCTACGGCTGAAAAAACTATCGAATTATCAACTTGAAGATTTTTTTATTCAATTATTCATGTCCAATTTTTTTAAATGACAATGCTTCCGAGAAAAAAATTCAAGAAATCTCACGAAAAAGTCGAAAAAAATGGATCAAGAACGAAAAATAAACGAAAAAAATTGACAAGTTCTAAAAAAAGTCAATACGTCTAGTATTTGATTTTTTTAATGGGTCGAGGATAAGCTGATGACGTCACAGGAATGAAAAAAAGAAAAAAATTGAGAGCTTGGCTTCATGACGTCACAGGAAAAAAATGGCAAAATTCAAAAAGAAAATAATCTATAAAAGGGGCGGAGCCTAGTCAGTGACGTCACAGGAGCAAGAGCAAATTTGTAAAAAAACGTTTAAAAGGAGGCGGAGCTTGGTCAGTGACGTCAGAGGGAAAAAAAGAAAAACTGAAAAAAAAGTTTGGAAAGGGGCGGAGCCTGGTTAGTGACGTCACGAAAAAAAAATGAGAAAAGTTAATAAAAGGGGCGGAGCCTGGTTAGTTACGTCACAAGAAAAATGGCAAAATTCGAAGAAAATTAATTTATAAAAGGGCGGAGCCTGGTTGGTGACGTCACGGAAAAAAATAAGTGAAAAAGTTTGGAAAGGGGCGGAGCTTGGTTAGTGACGTCACAGGAAAAAAATAGCGTTCAAAAATAAATAATTTATAAAAGGGGCGGAGCCTAGTCAGTGACGTCAAAGGACTGAAAAAAAGTTGGGAAATATGCGTGGCCGGGTTAGTGACGTCACGGAAAAAAAGCGGAATTTCTTAAAAAAATTTTTTTCTGATCTTCTCGATTTTATGAATTCAAATCCTTTCAAAAAATCTCAGATTTTTCGAAAAGAAAAACTTACTGATGACTCAAAAAAAAAGTAATTAGTGACTAAATTGAACAAAAACCAACCACTTGGCCGTCGTCTAGTAATGAAATGGAATGGTCCGAAACGTTTCGTTTTATACATTTCATGAAAAAAAAGAATAATGAGCGTAATAAAAAGGAATAGCTCTTATTGTTCGAGAGAAACTTTGAAATAAGGCCTTTCTTATAAAAAAAAATAAATATTTGAAATATTTGAAGAAAATAAGAGATGAAATTTCAAAAAAAGCAATTTTTTTCGTTCTTTAACAGGTCCAGTTTGAAAAAAGTTACATGCATCAGAGCTTAAAACATTCTGGCCGCATTTGGAATGGCTCAATGCGTTGCGGTCGCGCTGCTCAAAGTTCAAAGCATTATATCGCATGCCGGCTTGCGAAAGTCGTTTCGGGTCGGGCGCAGATTAAAAAAAAAAATGCGAAACGTTGATTTTAACTAACACGTTTTGAGCTTCATAGAAAGAGATTTCTTTAAAAAATCAGGGTTTTTTGGAATTGGGCTTTTTTTTCCAATGAAAACCAATCGGAAGGGAAAAATTTGAATGAAGTTTCATGAAAGATTAAAAAAAATCCGATTATCCGAACTGTTCTCTACAACCCATCCAGAAACAAAAGAAACTCTTTTTATAAAGTTTTTTCGAAACGTCAAAGTGAACTTTTCTCAAAATTTTCGCAAAAAAAAAGAGAAAAACAATATAAAAAAAATGGGGACCGAAAAGATTACAGCAATTATCAAATGGGACGAACGCCGCCGTGGAACCTTCCTTTTTTCCGGTTTTTTCGTTCAGTATCTTTTTTCGCCTTTACCTAAAATATTTGCTCAGGTATTTTGGGAAGGTGAGTCAATATTGATCAATTTTTGACAGGAAAGTTGGAAAAATGGTTGATTTTTGGTATCGGAACAGTAAAATTGCGATTGAAACGGAAAATTTTGAACTGGGCATTCGAAAATTTCGTGGTCAATTGGTTAAAGTTCTTGGATATCGTTGGGAAGGTCATTGGATCGGTCCCCTCAGAGCATGAATAATTTTTGCAATTTTTCCAGATTTTTTTCTATGAAGTTACGGTTCATTTATCAACAAGAAGACTTACAGAAAAAAATTTTTTTCAAAGGTTTTTTTCAAAAAAATAAAAACGTGGCCGAGTGGATAAAAAAACTTCAACTTCATTCAAAAGGTTCCTGGTTCGATCCCCAGACTTCCTTATCATTTTTTTGCCATATTCGAAAATTCAGCCATTTTCATCCAGTTTATCAATGACAGAATATACTTCTAGAAATAGTACCTAAGCAATTTTTACTCAAACAGGGTGGTCAAGTGGATAATTATCTTAAATAGCGTCAGAAAGGTCACTGGATCGGACCCTTCAGGAAATGATTATTTTTTGCAATTAAAATAAAAGTTATGGTTCATTTATCAACAAGAAGACCTACGGGAAAAATTTTTGAGCAATTGTTTTTTGAAAAAAGATGGCCGAGTGGTTAAGAATCTTCAACTTCAATCTAAAGGTTCCTGGTTCGATCCTCGGCTTCGTATCAATTTTTTTGCCCTTTTTTTCGAAAAATCAGATGTTGTTCCAGTGTATCTCCTGCTAGCTGAAATGTTATTTTATTATGAATATATGTTTTAACTTGATGGTCAAGAGGTTAAAGTCCAGGTAAGACGGTTGAAAGGTCCCTGGTTCGATTTATCCAGTTTCATGAACATTTTTTGCACTTATACATGGAAAAAAAAGCAGGAAAACGATACCTAGTAGCATGAAAAGAGAAAAATGAAAGTGAAATAGAGAAAAATGAGCAGAAAACTCCCTTTTGAAGCACGAAATTCGACAAAGAAGTCAAAAAATTGAAAAGAAAAATCGCCGGAAACATTTTCCCCTAAAAAAATTCTTTTTGAATATATTCAAGACAAAAATAAGTAGAAAAAGTCTGTTTTTTTATGGTTTTTGTCCAAAAAAATCATTGGAAAAAACGTTTAAAAATGATGATTTTATCGATTTTATAATGAGAAAATGTCGCAAAAGGATAGGCTTAAAAGAGTGTAATGTTAGCTTTTGCCCTTCCAAAACCCGAAAAACTCCCTAAGCCTTTCCTCCACTTTTTTATTGCTTAGGGATTTTCCTTTTCGATTTTTCTGGATGATACTACACTCATACCCAACTTTTTTTCCAGATTACTGTAGAAACCTCTCCTTTTTTTGCACGCTATTCGTTGATCTGTTCAAGACTTTTTTTCGTGTTGATTTTGGCTGACTTTGAAATTTTTTTCTGTTGGAAAAATGAAATATTATCTATTTTTTTGCTATATATATAGTCGGGTCAGCTGATTGCGATCAAGAGCGGAAAAAAATAATTAAAAACCTTTAAATGAAACGGGAAACTGCGGGAAAAAAATGAATTATCACATGAACTTGATTTTTGAAAAAAATTATTTTTTTAATTTTTTTGGTTCGAAACCAGTTTGAGTAAGACCTTATAATCACACGTGGAAAAGTTTAAAGCTGAAAACCGTGGTTTAAAAACTGCGCCCGACCAGAAACGACTTGCGCGAGGAAGCATTATGACAGCGACGCTTTGAGCCATTCCAAATGCGACAATTTTAAACTCGGAATTTTCATTTTGTAGCCTATTCGAGCCAAAAAAATTGAGGGCTAAAAAAAATCAAATTTTTTTAATGTAGATAAAAAGACAAAAAAATGAAATTTTATTAATGAAAAAGATTTTTTTGAAAAAAAGTCAAAAAAACGATCGAAAAAGCCCAATTTTTTTCTCGATTTTGAAGCGAAAAAAACCCAAAAATTTCAAACCCAAGGTAAGAAAAACCTGTGAACCCTGAGCAAATAAGTTTCAAATTCCGGTGAAAATTCGAAAAAACTTGAGCAAACGATTCAAAAAAGTTCTATTTCCTCGGTTTTTCCAGCCCCCAAAACACTGAGAGATCAGAAATCAATGAGAAAATTGAACCATAAATATGAAAAATGATAAAAAAACGCAGAAAAACGTCTAGGTTGATAATCAAGGCAAACAGAAAAAAAGGTGAAAAAAATGTCTGGGTCGTTTCTGAAATCAATTTTTTAACGTTGTTGTAATATTTCGAATTCTGAGATAACAAAAAAATCGATTTTTTGAGTTTTTTTCATGAAAAAAATAGCAAATAACTCTATTATTATTCTCAACCTTTCCGAAAATGAAAAAAACCTCAGTTGAATGAACTATTGCGCTCTACGGATAAAGAAACGGAGAAAAAGCCATAAAGTACTAAAAATCGGGCTCTAGAGACAAAAATGACAAAAATAGCCTCAGGAAGTTGAGCTAATGCGCTCTATTGATAAATTTCTCCAATAAAAGCTTTTTTCGTTCCTTTCATCTTTTCTACTATTTGCCCACCTTTAAAAAATAAAACAAGGTATTACAATATTGCGAAATAGCCTTAAAGAGTCGAGTTATTGCGCTCTAATGACAACGAAAACACAGGAAAAGCCTTAGTTTTTGAGATCAATAGGGACTGCTGGACAAAAATAGCCTCGAAAAAATTGAACTATTGCGCTCTATTGAGAAAAATCTCACCAGAAGGTCAGAGGTCGGAAAAAAATAGCTTTTTTCATTTTTCTCATTTTATTTGTTCTCTTTATTGTTTTCTCACCCTTCCAAAAATTAAATTGCCTCGAAAAGTTCAACTATTGCGCTCTACGGATAAGGAAACATTAAAAAAAAACCCTAAATCATTTTTTTGAGCTCCACAGACAAAACTTAACAAAATAGCCTCCGGAGCTCTAGCTAGTGCGCTCCACGGAGAAGATAACACAAAAAATCACTATAATCCTAAATTTTGGGCTCTATAGACAACTTTGAACAAAATAGCCTCATGAAGTTGAACAATCGCGCTCCATTGATAAAACTCTTCGAAAAAAGGCATTTTCGCCTCTTGTTATCCTCTCACTTCTCTAAAACCAAAACAGCCTCAAAATGCAGAGTTTTTGCGCTCTACCAATAAGGAAACGCAAATTAGTCTTGAAAATCCTAAATTTTATAGACAATTTCAAACACAATAGCCTCAGGAAGTTGCACTATTGCGCTCTACGGAGAAGAA